CTCTCTCCTTTCCTCTCTTTTCTCCACTTTCTTTCCTTTATTCTTCTCACCTCACCCTTCTATTTTATTATTTTTATTAATATTAATAAAATATTAAAATAAGTTTATATATAAACTAAATTAGTTTTCATGATGGATCAATCAATCTCCTTGTGTTTCGACTTGAGACTTACTTCTATACTCATATTTTATTAAGTCTTAGTTATAAATATTATTAGATAGTGTGTATTTAAACACAATGATAAGTGCATACCAGTGGCAGATATACGAATCTTCTTTTGATGAATTTTTAATCACAAAGAGAAGAAAAATTAGATAAGAAATAAATAGTGAAATGTGAGATGATGTTGAATTCTTTAATCCTAATGTGTCTAAATAAAAACTCTAATTTTCCTAAATCTTCCTATCACTTAGGAAATCAATAGAAAAATTAAATAAGACTAATCTACTCTTAAACTACCTTCTAATATCTTCTAATCATTATCTACTGCTAACTAAATGCTCAACTTTGATGAATTAATGGGTAAAATAACATTGAAGGAGAATGATCTAAAGTATCATAAATCTGCCATGTCTTGCTCACTCTTTGAAATGTGATCAATCTTGATAAATTTAGAGATCAACATACATCAAGGGGAGTAGATGAAGGGTAGAAAGGTTGGATTCTATACTAAGATCAACTTAATGTCACTATAAGGATCAAAGAACCAAATCTCTTCCTACTCTTCAATCGGATCAACTCTTTCTTTGTCTTAAAAGGAAGGAAATGTAATAAGAAATAAAACTCATTCATCCAAGACTTAAACAGGTTCATAAAATATAAATAAAATATAATACATTTACCTACTTGGTTAACCCTTGGAGTGCTTCAAGGGAATTCTTAGACATTTCTCCCTTAGTGAAGTTCTTAGCCTTGCTCCTCTTTTACTCTATGTGGCTTCTTCTCCCAAGTAAAGAATAATCTTTCTTCTCTTCAAATGATGTTTTATTCTTGTATTGGTTGTATCCATTCTTAGCCCTTAGATCATGAATGAGAGTGCACAGCCCTTGGATGAGATTTTTGTCACCAAGGACAGCCGAAGGAAGGTAGGCAGCACCTAGAGTGTCTTCTTACGATCCCTTACCCTATAACTTATCTTAGCAATTGGATTTAGTTAATAGAGGGGTTGAGATAATCCCAAGGGTTGCCAAATGAGGGAGAGGGGTGTGGTCAATTAGAAGAGGCCACTTACCCCCTTTGACTCCTTCAAAGGAGGAAAATGGGCAATTTCCCCACTTAAGATGGGCGGTTTCCCTATTTAGAGGGGCACCACCTTCCTTTGGTAGTGGTCTTCTTCTCTTAAGATCCATGTGCCTTCCTCAGTTTGTGTGGGTCTTCTAATAAGCCCATGGGCCTATTAAGCCTGTATTAAATTAATAAAAATAATTCATAGAAGTCTTTTTAATCAAATAGAGAAAATAACTACATAAGCAAGTCATCTCTCTCTAGATTATAAATTAATTATGCATGATATGACTTTAGAACTTATGAAATAAATAATAGATCATGCCAAATATATCAATTATGCTTACATAATCATGATTTAAAGTAATTCAATTAAACCGTATAATAATAATTAAAAGATAATTTATCCAATAAAATCTCATGATCAATACACATGCATCAATTCGGTGTCTTATGCTTTCAAATCAATCATCATATGAAATTCATAGTCTATTAATTAATCTTAATAACATGCTAATTATAATCATATAACTATGTAAAACATGTAATAAATAAGCATAATTAACATGTTATCATCAACTGACCTAGAAACATTTCACAACGCCATTAAATATTATGTTCAGATCTTGATCGGGAACTTCAGAAAAGTGGTGAAATTAGTATAAGAGAGACTGTCGGGTCCAATAAAGCTTGAAAGTTTTTTATGCATAACCATATAGTTCTTAATGAAGTCATAAGTTTGATGAAGTTCTATGGGAGGATGAAGTATGAGGGAAGTAAGTAATTTTCCTATTATTAATGGCCAACATGTGTAATGGACTGCGTATAAACAGAGACGCACCGTTAAAAACAGTGAGAAAACGTATTTTACGCACGACGCGTCTTAAGTCAGATAGTGAGACATCGAATCCCTGACAACATTTATGAACCCTCCGATTATAATAGACTTGGGGAGGATGACAACTTTCTGTAGATTGATGGGTACTTTACATAGAAGGAGAGAAAATGTGATAACTGATATAATTTAGTAGAGCCCCTCGTTGTCCAGCATCCATGTCGCTCCAGTTGCAGACAAGCTGTCGGAGCTCCAGTTGCATTATTAAGCCCCCTCGCCGTCCGGCATCCATGTCGCTCAGACCAAGCAGCCTATTCAAGTCGGGCCGAAGACTTTTTCATCATCCAAGGATAACGTGTATTCTCTCTGACAGAATACAAGGACGAGGCGGTGGAAGGAGGAAGGCCCCGGTTGGCCTTTCCACGAGGAGGTGGATACTCCCCGTTTTTACCCTAACCGGCTACGATCTGGGCCGTCCGGAAATTTAATAGACGCTCTAGAGTGTTTCTTAGTATTTTTAATCACCGTTTCCTTCTCTGAAGGCTTCTGTTTCCTTTTCTTTTTCTTCTTCTACTTACACATCTTCTAATACTACTATTGCTGTAGTGAAATAAAGCCGCCATAGCGAGTGTAGAGTGGATAAACAAATGCAAACGACACAGAATAAGACAAACAAGAGATATTCACCCAGGTTAAGGTGGGCTACCAATGAATGTTCCTCGTCGTCGCTGGAGAGAGACGCCTCTGCAAAAATCACCCCTTCGAAAGCGAAAAGAAGTGGAGAAGAAAACTGTAGGAAGAAGGACGAGAGATCTATCTATTTTTCCGGCAACAGCCAACCAACCCAAAAGGAGTTTTTCAAGCACGCCCGTTGTTTGAAGTTTAGGGTTTCGTACCCTATAAAAAGAAAAGTAAACAACTGGGCCCGCAAAAAATGTCTCGGTCAGCTGAGAAAAAAAGAGGGCGTGGGTCCCTAAGTCCACGGGCCTGCTCGCGTGCCTTCACGTGGCTGGTTGCCCACTTCTTGAGCATCCTCCTGGACCCAGTCCGCTTCGGTCTGCTGGGATGGCTGACACACATCCCAAGAATTACTACGACAACAAGTATCATGGCTAAGTCTCCTCTACTGCCATTATTTCATATGCAGTGCTGCTGCCAGAATTGCTTCTGGCTTTTCTGCCTCAGAGAGCCCTTTTTCTACTTTTGAAGATTAGTCGTTTCGGTGGAAACGACCCACGGCGGAAGAAACCGGCGGAAGTGGTGAAGTACTATTACCAGAGTTCTGTCCCTGTTACCAGAAGATCACTCAGGAATCAGGTCATTGACAAAAGTCATGGCATGGCAAGCCATGGCTGGGGACGACCTCACCGCTTCGTTGAGAGAGTTCATACGACGGTTTGGCAGAGGAAGGGGGTTGATGTTGGTTAGCACATTTTTTTTCGTAACTTGTCTCAACTAGAACGAATTCCGGGCTATTGTCGCACAATAATCAACGTTTGTCAATGACACGATTCTTAGGCGAGTTAATAATTAATTGAGAAAACTTTAAGAAAATTCATGACAATAATTCTGGTTAATAAATATCTATATGACGCATAACCACTTGGTTCTGAATGAAGTTGACGCATAAATATCTCTATGACTTGTATATTGATTACCATTAATATCATTAGGAACTGTTATTTATGTCATATGTGGAGGTCAGCGACGCCACGAACAGTGTTGTAGATATATAGAACACTGTTCATGAACAATGTTCTAATAAATGATCTTAACGTCAGTTAATACTTCTCCTCTCTCCTACTTCACATCGTACGGATCATGAAAACAGTCTTGTGAAACTTTGGGATTTTACTCTAACATGGACAGTATTGTACAGAAATCCATAACTCAAACATATATACCAGCGTGATACGTTATGGATGCTTTCTGTTGCAAGTTGTGAAGTTTCTCTCGTACTTGCAACATTAACCGCAATGAAGACTAATCTAATCTCGAAAAAAAAGCACGCGCTAAAAAAAAAAAGAAAAACCTTTAGTGATTGCCACATCATTTTCATGTCTGCTGTGATCCAGACAATACTTATATGAAGAATTTCACATTTCAGTGAAAAGTCAGACGTTTGGTTCACCACTAAGAAAGACGGTCACTTGGGCTCACTGATTTTTCTACGGATTGACGATAAAGTAGACGAGCACCACCAAATTATTGCCTATGTACGTTGTTGTTGTTGAAGTAGAAAGCATGACCATCCCAAAGATGTGACCACTGACGAGCTGTCCGATGAGACGAGGTCCAATCGAACGATTACGCAGTCACCGTCGAAAGAAAACGCCATTCTTCGGAATCGAAATTTGACTTGGAGCAGGAGCCCTTGGCTCCCGGCGAAGGTGGACAGGTGTGCACGCTCTTATTGCACGTGGTTAGCTAGGAGGACCTTTCAAGCTGTAAATGCATGGGGAGGGGGTGCACCCGGATTCGTTTCTCTTCCTTTTCGTCCACTCGGATACCCGTATACTTCCTAACCCCAACGACTAAGAAGACGTCTGGTGCTTACCTATTCTCACCTTAATGATCATTAAAAGACCTCGGGAGTAATCCCTCTTTAATCACCGCCACCTCGTTATCCTCAGTTTTCTTCTTCTTCTTATCTACCTCCATTAAACAAAATCCCTAACCCCCGCCGGCGAAGGAGACGTCCTCTGCTTGTCTCTTCTCGCTTTAAAAATTAATAAGGAGATCCACACCTCGTCCTGTCTTCAGTGCTTGTTCTGCTTTTTCTTCTTTCTTAGAGAACTGTTCTTCTACTTCTGAAGATAGCTTGCTCTCGTGAGGATACCTAGATGGAGAGACCAGTGGAGATGCTGAAGTACTGTTACCTGTGTCGGCTTCTCTGAATTGTAGACGACCAATTCGCGATCACAATTCGACGAAGAAGCCATGGCTGTGCCCGAGCTATCCTGTTCGGCGGGGAGCAGCCGGAGGAGCTGGCGGAGCCATCATTCCGGAAGCTTTCGGGAGTTGTGGACCGACCCATCGGACGTATTCCACTCTAGGAGGGACGACGAGGATGATGAAGCCACTCTACGATTGGCAGCCCTGGGGAAGCTATCCGGGTCGCGGAGGGAAGTCGAGCAGTACCTGCCGGGGCGCGACGCCGTCGACCTCGCCTCTTTTAGCAGCCAGGACGGGAAGATCTTCATCGACAGTGCCCGAGAGATTGTCGAGGATAATGAGGGGCTCCTCCGCCGCCTCAGGGAACGAATAGACAGGTCGGTTTTTCTTTCTTTCTATTTATATGTTTAATCGGTTAGTAGGTATGATCTCTTTTATTTTGATTTATTTTTGAACGTGCAACAGTGTGGGGATTGAAATGCCGAAGATCGAAGTCCGGTTCGAAAATCTGTCGGTAAAAGCAGATGCATACGTGGAAGGAGGGCTCTTCCCACGTTACTAAACTCCATAATCAACGCAATAGAAGTCCGAATCTCATTGTCATCCTTTCTTCTTTATTTCTAATTCATGTTTCCTCTTCCTATTCCACTAATCTTATTTTAGGACGATCTTAGAGGTGAATTTCCGTCTCATCCCGCAGGGAATTGTCGGATTGGCTGGTCTGTCCCTCTCCAAAAAAGTGGTCAATAAGATCTTAACAGGTGTCGCGGGAAGTTTGAAGCCTTCAAGGTACGTCGACGGAGCCGTTACAGTGACAGCAATAAAACTAGTGAAATAATAGGAATTCGGAACTCTGAAGATAATATCCTTCTGAAAATTATTTGAGAGGGCCTTTCTCCGTCCGAGATGCCTCCTCTTAATCTCTACTTGGAATCAGTAGTCAGGACGAGAAGAGCTCTCCTCGGTCCGTTTGATCCATAATTTTTTCATTCAGGATGGCTCTTCTTCTCGGTCCCCCCGGATCAGGGAAGACAACTCTATTATTGGCTCTTGCAGGAAAGCTAGACAAGAGCCTCAGGGTAAAGTTGAACCTAATTAATTAATTGCATGTCAATTGGCCTTCTACTCTTTTTGACGAATCAAATCGTTTAACAGGTAGATGGCGGAATCTCATACTGCGGTCACCAGCTGTCGGAGTTCGTCCCCCAGAGGACCAGTGCGTACATAAGTCAACACGATCTTCACCTCGGGGAGATGACCGTTAGAGAAACTTTAGGTTTCTCTGGGCGGTGTCTGGGCGTCGGATCCAACCACGAGATGCTGTCGGAAATGTCGAGATTGGAGAGGGACGCTGGAATATATCCAGACCCTGAAATTGAAACCTACATGAAGGGTACCATGTCACGAGACCATGGCCGAAGTGTAGCCATGGATCACATTCTCAAGGTCTTCCCTTTTCTCTAGTTCTTCATGTTTCCCTTTCTTATTATCTGAGAATACGTTCTGACGTATTATTGATCGATCCGGAAAACGTTGTGGGCAGAAGCTCGGACTGGAAACGTGTGCGGATATCTTAGTGGGTGACGAAATGAGGCGAGGAATCTCCGGGGGACAGAAGAAACGTGCGACTGTCGGTAAGCGAGCGATAACGGAGATTGGGGACCAACAGAAATTCATCCTTTTTAAGGACGATCATCTAGTTATCAGGCCGCCACATGCACAATAATAAAACGTAACTCGTCAATTCGCTAGTCACTTGTAGGTTTCGTTAATATTTTACCACAGAATCTTACTGCAACTTTCTTTGTGCTTCCAGTTGAGATGCTGGTTGGACAGCGAGAGCCCTATTCATGGACGAGATTTCTAATGGTTTGGACGCCTCCACAACCTTTCAGATCGTGAAGTTCCTGAGGCAGATTGTTCACTCTCTGGACACAACCATGGTTATCTCTCTTATTCAGCCGGCTCCCGAAACCTTTGACCTTTTCGATGACATCATCTTGCTGTCGGAGGGGAAGATCGTATATCAGGGTCCTCGTGAGAAGGTCCTCGATTTCTTTGAGTTCATGGGCTTCAAATGCCCCGAAAGGAAAGGGATCCCTGACTTTCTTCAGGAGGTGACGTCTAGAAAAGATCAAGAGCAATATTGGACACACAAGGAACGACCGTACAGGTACATGTCAGTTAACGAGTTCGTCGAAGCTTTCGACTCGTTCTACGTTGGCCAGCAAATGAAAGGAGACCTTGAGGTGGCTTGTGATAGATCCAAAACTCATCCATCTGCATTAGCTAAGGACAAATACGGCGACACTAGCTGGGAGCTCTTCAAAGCATGCTTTACGCGAGAGTGGTTGCTGATGAAAAGAAACTCAATTCTCTATATATTTTAAACCGGCCAACTGATATTCCTAGCTGCGCTTGGAACCAGTGTTTTCCCGAGGACACAGATGCACCGCGAGTCGATCGCCGATGGGGGGAAGTATTTGGGGGCGCTATTTTACGGCCTGGTTAGCGTGATGTTTAATGGGATGGCGGAGATCATAATGACTGTTCTGGGGTTGCCTGTCCACTATAAACAGAGAGATTTATTATTCTATCCTTCTTGGGCGTTCGGCTTGCCATTGGTTCTCCTGAAAGTTCCGATCTCACTTTTGGAATCAGTCATCTGGGTCTCTATCACCTACTATGGAATGGGGTTTGCGCCCCCCGCCGGGAGGTAAGACGATACGCCACCCTGTGCTTTGTGTCATTGTGGCGTCTGAAAACATCATTTGCATGCTGGTCATCTTGATTTATTTTCAAGTTGAACTCCCATGGTTTTGTGGCGATCACTGATTGGACGGTGACTACGGATTCAACTGATAGTCTTCCGATCATTTCAGATTTTTCCGGCAAATTTTGGCGTTGTTTTGGACGCATCAGGTGGCTATGGCTTTGTTTCGGTTCATAGGCGCAGCTGGAAGATCGATGGTCGCTGCCAACTCCGTCGGTGTTTTTGGCTTGGTCATAATGTTTACGCTATCAGGATTTGTGATATCCAAAGGTAATAAAATCGATACCATTATTTCGCGCCTCCATAAAGGCATGTATGTTTGAATATAGTTACCAAATGAGTTGTTTTGTCGATTCACTGAATGTTTACGATCAGGACTTCTCATTTCTAAAGCTATCTGGTCCGTATCATTGTTTCACACTTGATATACGGCATCAATATCTGTGTTCGAATATAGTCCGTGATACATTGCTATATAGGCCATCACTTCGCGTAAGTGTGTACTGAACACGAGGTGATTTGCCTCTTTTTGCTCTAAGATGACCTCGACGCGTGGTGGATATGGGGCTACTGGACCTCCACAATGATGTACGGGCAGAATGCTCTGGCCATCAACGAGTTTCTTGATTCCAGCTGGGGCAAGGCAAAATTCCTCTCTCATGCCTAGTTGATCGTTATATTTCTTCCGTGGTAGATATCATTGTCCATCTTCGCATAATTAATGAATCTAACGGGCGATGGCATTTCTGCGCGGGACAGCCGAACAACGAGACCAGCATCGATGCCCCCACGGTGAGAACGGCACTTCTCAAATCCAAGGGAATGTTTGTGGATGGCTACCGGTACTGGATATCCATAGGAGCTCTGATAGTTCTCACTGTATTCTACAACCTCGGCTTCGTTGCTTGCGTGGCTTACCTGGACTGTAAGTGATAATCGTTTATTGCCGTACTTTTTCATACAAACTAAGCCCTCGTTTCGTCGTCAAGTGTTGCTTGCGTTTTATTATTAGAAATTGCAGCCGCTTACAGTGGTTTTCTCTGTCATGGACACCGAAAAATGAGCGACTTATCAAATATTATAGTCACCTTTGGAAGCGCATTAGCAGAGAAATGTCTATTAATCATTTTTACGTTTCGGAAGCTGAGCATCGCTACTCCTTCCATTTCCGGATAGAGTTTTCTCAATGCAGGGTTAATGATGACATGAAAAAACTGATGTGACATGCAGCTGTGGAGGAATCCCGAGCCCTCGTCATAAATGACGAAGAACAAACAAAACTACAGGGGTTGTCGCCACCGCAGTGCTCCGAAAGAACTGGAGGGATTGCGCCCAACGGTACCAGATTTTTCTTCCTTGCTCTCTGCTCTGACGCATTTCAAGCTGTTCCTCCCTAATAATCAGTCGTCTGACCTATCTATCTCCAGGTACTCGCGCAAACGGCGGTTTTCGTTCAATCATGTGAACTATTACGTCGACATGCCCGCTGTAAGTTTGTTCATATTTTCCTATGATTTCGACAAACTGTTTACCTTTTGAAACTTGCATACTTATTAATAAAACAACTACTGATGTATAGATCGCTCGGATAAAATGTGTATAAAATATGAACAAGTTTGTTTATCGAACCTTTTAGATCATTACACAATTATGATCAAACATCAAATCACGATAAAGTACTCACTCATTCGTTAACACATAAAGGTCTTGTTCAATTAGGACTGTCGTCCTCTTTTAATCAGGAAATGAAGGGCCAGGGGATTGAAGAAATCCGTCTCCAGCTGCTCTGCGACGTCAGCGGCGCCTTCAGACCAGGAATTCTAACGGCATTGGTCGGCGCTAGCGGAGCCGGGAAGACAACACTTATGGATGTTCTAGCCGGGAGAAAAACCGGAGGATACATCGAGGGAGACGTCTCCATCTCCGGGTATCCCAAAAACCAGACGACCTTTGCGAGGGTCACCGGCTATTGCGAGCAGAACGACATACATTCTCCAAACGTCACCATCTACGAATCACTCGTCTACTCTGCGTGGCTGCGTCTACCTCCCGGCGTGAAACCAGAAACAAAGAAGGTGCGTTTGATGAACTTCCCTTTCTTTCACAGACTTAATCTCAACTCCTCCATTCTCATTCCTCAAACTGTTAAGTCCTCGGACATCGCTGCCATACCTCGGCACCTTCTATATCTTCCAGGTGTTTGTGGAGGAAGTGATGGACTTGATTGAACTGGACCAACTGAGGGACGCTCTGGTGGGTCTCCGGGGAGTGAACGGCCTCTCCACCGAGCAGAGGAAGAGGTTTACGGTCGCCGTTGAGCTGGTCGCAAATCCTTCCATCATCTTCATGGACGAGCCGACTACGGGTCTCGACGCCAGGTCGGCGGCTATCGTCATGCGAACCGTGAGGAACACGGTGAACACGGGAAGGACCGTCGTTTGCACAATTCACCAACCCAGCATCGATATATTTGAATCTTTTGATGAGGTGCAATTTTTATTCGTCGCAATTCATTTCTGATCGTACGTTATACGCACTTATATGCTGTAATCCACTGATTTTCGTAGCTAATTTTGATGAAATTGGGAGGGCAAGTCATATACGCGGGGCCACTCGGACAGAGTTCCCGGAGACTTATTGAGTACTTTGAAGTAAGTTCCCCGCTGCCGCAGTCTGATACACGGTATGTGTTCTGATTATGTCAATAACTGTCGCTTGTGCAGGCGATTTCAGGGGTTCCGAAGATTAAGGAGGGTCAGAATCCTGCCACTTGGATGCTCCAGATCAGCGTTCCTTCAGTGGAAGCTGACCTCAATCTTGATTTCGCAGACGTCTATTCGAGATCCTCGTTGTATCAGTGAGTCGGATGAGGCGCTGACCAGAGAGCTGAATATAGTTAATTGGGCACGTCTCTTGATTGAACCTGTTCCCGTATGTTTCAGGAAAAATCAGCAGATGATCGAGGAGCTGAGCACTCCTGCACCTGGTTCCCAGGATCTCTATTTTCCCACGAAGTGCGCCCAGAGTTTTGTCACTCAGTGCGCGGCCTGCTTCTGGAAACAGTACTGGTCCTACTGGAAGAACCCCTCGTACAATGCCGTTAGATTCTTCACCACAGTTGTCATGGGTCTTTTATTTGGCACCCTTTTCTGGAACAAGGGCCAACAGACGTAAGTTGATTAGTTCTTTACAGAAATCCATTCCAACAGCGTTGAATGAAAAGAAAACCTCAAACAAAGCTATTTTAAAAACGAATGAAGCGAGTTGGAAACATATTTGACATTCGTCGTCGTTGAATGTGCTTTTTAATCATGACTTTTGGTCGTTGTGGCGTGAACAGGAGTACCCAACAAGACGTGTTGAATCTCATGGGAGCTGTGTACTGTTTTGCTTTCTTCCTCGGATTCACTATTGGCGCAACGGCGCAGCCCGTGGTGGCTATTGAGAGAACGGTCTTCTATCGTGAGAGAGCAGTGGGCATGTACTCGGCCCTTGCCTATGCCTTTGCTCAAGTCAGAAAAAAGTTCCCCCCCTTTTCTTATTATTTTCAACATGATTTAACAATGCCGCAAATGTATCAATTTCGGTTGTTAATTGGTCGCACTGTTCGTGTTTTTGGCAGGTGGGCATCGAAGTTATCTATATTGCAGGTCAAGCCCTACTGTACTGCCTTATCTGTTACTCCATGATAGGTTTTAGCTGGCAAGTGGACAAATTCCTGTGGTTCGTCTTCCTTGTGTTCATGTGCTTCCTCTACTTCGGGGCACAAGGGATGACGTCGATAGCGATCACCCCGGCATATCCAGTCGGTAGCATTGTAATGCTTCTCTTCTTCAACTTTTGGAACATCTTCAGCGGTTTCCTCATCTACAGACCAGTAAGTTAACTATTAAATTATAAGCACGTTAGAGGATATAAGAAAAACGTATCACGAAAATATATTGCCTTACTTTACTCATATTCATCTCATTTTCAGTGGTTATTGTTTATGATGGGCTTTTGGCTTGTGATCGCATTAATGTTGTTTACATGGCTGAAGACACCAGACTTTGCCTTGCCGATGTGATACATAGAACAATCTAGACAGGATAAATGTAATGAAAATTTAGAAAAATTTCTTCCATTACCTTTCTGCTGGTTTGCCCGTGAGATTAGCTTTCTGTCATAATCACATAATGATGATACACCCATCGAATGAGTTTTGTTCCGGCTGTCTGCAGATGCTTCCGAAGTGGTGGAGATGGTGCTACTGGACTTCACCGGTGGCTTGGACAATCTATGGGTTGATAGTGTCTCAGTTTGGGGAAAGCGAGAAGATGCTTCGAATTCCAGGGCTGTCTTGCATGACGGTCAAGGCCTTCTTAAAGGAGGTGCCGGGCTATGAGCGTAGTTTCTTGGGGTACGTGGCATTGGCCCACGTCGGCTTTATGATTTTCTTCTCCTTAATCTTCACCTTAGGCATCAAGTTTCTCAATTTCCAAAGGCGGTAGGTGTCTATTATTTTTGGAAAGTTATGTGACAACAATAATAAATAAATAATATTTATGAGAACTGCTAACCAAAATCCTCTCAATAGCAGAGCTAGAGAGAATTCAAAGATGTTTTAATCCATACGGATAAGCAAAGTAGAACCCAATTATATGATTTTCTTACCTACATACAGAAGCACAACAATAAAAATGTTCTCGATTACATGAGAGACTTGCTTTTCTCCATTTTTCTTTGTAAAAAATGTGAATGATCGTTAGAACATCTGAATGCTCTTTCTTCAATTATCGGAGTTACAACGTATTTAAATCTTCCCTGAACTTTTGGTTCGATGTGATGTTTATCATTCAAGTCAAGACAATCATATAACCTTAAAAAAGTTTCGAACCTTTTTAGCATTCTCGTTTACCTAAAACCAGCGCAAAGCAATTGTAAATAATCCTTGAAAACGTTTACAAATAGCAACGGTAGTGGTTACAAAAAAATCATACATTTGAAGTAAAATATAACATTCTAATATTGTTTAGTTTGACTTTATAACAAAATCACATCGTTGTTGTTGTAAGACCGCAGGTTATCATAAAAGGCGACATTTTTGAATTTGAAATCATGCTGGAATGCTAGGAATCTTCATTTAGATGATAAAAAATAAGTTCATCTCTCTTCAAGTCGTAAAACCTAACCAATTCACCTGCAAAACAAACAAAATGTCCATACCTTTACAAGAAGAGAAAGTGAAGGTTTGAAGTGAACATAGGTTCTCATCTAAGTGAAAAAAGAGCTATTATTTCGTGAAGAATAACTGAATTTAGATAATAAAAAGTAGATTAACCAAGAACCAAAAAATGCTGCTACTGGTGCTTGCTCGAGGAAAATGTCGATACCTAAACATGGCCGGGAAGATAGATCGTTAACCGGTAGTTTGTCAGGGCCAGTACACAGATTCCCAACGAAGCCGGGGGAACCATTAACAGCGCTGCTGAGTGAATGGACCAGGTTCATCTTAGTTGGGGAGACAAGAAAAAAGTGGATCCCTTGACGCTTCAGGAAGCAAGAGCCCCCTAGTCCAGGACAAGGATACGAAAGCCCTAAACAAAGTCAGGAAATGTGCGTGTTTGCCCATCATTAACTAGTTATCCTGAGAGAAATGACCAATTAGCCTGAGGAATTCAGAAAAGGGTGGCAGCCAAGTTCCGTCCATAACTACAGTTCCAGCGGAGTGATTTTACCAACAAATCACTATCCAATAATCTTATAGGCGGTCCATTAGATTGGTCCAGCAGAGAGATTTGACCAACTACTTGACGGGCCGCAGTTAGAGAGCTCTGTGTACGGAAGAGATGAAAAGACCCTTGTATTGGGAATTCGTGGCGCCATGTCCCAAGCCTTACCATGTTTGGAGCTCACTTCCTTCCACCCACTCGTTCCAGCGTCGGGAAGTCGGCGGGCTAGATTTGTGGCCCGTGCGTGGGGATGGTGAGCTCCTACCTCTTCGCCGGAAACTGATGACTCACAAGAGATCACTGGAAAATCAGCCGATATCCCGTAGGGTATACCGTCGACACGAGAGAGAGGGAGAGAGGGAGAGAGGGAGAGAGGGAGAGAACAAGGGAAGCGGCACACAGAAAGGAGCGGTAACAGGGCTCAATGTAGAAGAAGGGGGGGTGGTAACGACCACGTTCGAGGGGGTCAGCCTCCGCTGACTCACTTTCTTCCTTCCTTTCTCCAGCGTTCGATATTTCTTATAGTTTCCGCAACCGACTGTTGGGTGGCCTGATTGCTTCGTTTTCCTCGTTCTGATTCGTCTTCTGGGTGCTTAGGTCCATGAAGATGATCGAAAGATTTCCGACCAGCTCAACGGCGACCCTAAACCTCTTCTTTTGTTCGGTTGAGATGCCATTAACTCTTGGGAGACCAACTAGAGTGTCCCTAGTTGGTCCAGTTCGATCAACGGCATCACTTCCTTCACAAACATTTTGGAACATATAGAAGGCACTGAGGCATACCAGCAATGTCCGATAGACCAATAGTATGAGAAAAGAGAATAGAGGAATTTAGAATAAGTCGGTGAAAGAACAGGGAAGTTCTTCACACACACCTGTGTTCCTGGTTTCACATCGGGAGGGAGACACAGCCATGCCGAGTAGATGAGCAATTCGTAAATGGTGATGTTTGGGAAATGTATGTCATTCTGCTCACAATAGCTGGTGACCCTAACAAACGTCGTTTGGTTTTTGGGATACCCAGAGATGGAGACATTTCCCTTGATGTACCCTCCAGTTTTTCTCCCAACTAGAATATTCATCAGTGTTGTCTTCTGATAATAAATATTGATTATTTCTTTAAGTATTTTATGAAGTTTAATATTTTAGAGATTTTTTTGAAAATTTTCTGAGTTTTACAGTTATAATTAATTTTTTATTAATATGAGAGAATTTTAGAAAATTTCGATATCTTTTTATGGTTTTTATGAAGTCGATATATGCTTCAATAGATGAGATTTGATATGTGGAGATGAGACAACAAAATCAAGGGTTGAGGTGGTGACATGCAACATCATTAAATGAGGAGATCAGAAGACATCGAGAATGTCTACACAATCAACGATAAATGGAGCATACTTATTGAGGGTGCAACGGATCTCAACATTTAGAAAGATCTTATGATTCTGATAAGACTTCTAAATCCAATGTTTCAGATTAACTCGAGAGGAAACCGACTCTCGTCTAATTTCATCGTGGCCCAAAAGATGAAAATACCCTTATTTAATCACAACACTTGATCAGATGATCTCGAATGAACCAGCTCACGAGAAGACAAGATTAACCCTACACGTGTACTCTCATACTTTCATGTTAACCCTTACACATTTAAGCTGCCGTTTAGGAGCAAAAAATCTAACTTTTAATGTCCCAACATTTAGTCGGCTTGCATAAAACATCATTGAGGTTTTGCATTTGTTTTGGATGAATTTTGATTGATTCAAGTGTGGATTCACAATGTAAATCTTTAGAAAAGCTACTCGAAGAGGAAATCATCTGGCCTTCGCGACATATAAAAGCTCGAGGCAAGTTTATTCATGTTCGACGTGTTCTGATCATGACAAATCAACTAGGTATTCGTAAGTTTGAAATAGAGTGATTTACAATTTCAATTTTATATTACGAGTCTTCTATGTATATGTTTCATCTCCTTATCATTATCCATATCATTAATTTTCTATTTCCCTCTTTTTTGATAGTGAAAATCCTTCTCACTTGACGTCACTTCTCCTTTGAGTTCATTTGATTTAAATCTATCAATTAAATAGAATGATAACTAATTAACACCTAATCCTCATTCTCTATAGATCAACCTCAAACTTACCATAGTACTTACCTATTTTAGTATTTTAATTTAGTAAATTCGTGATTCTAAATATTTTTGATCAATTGATTTTGGGGCTTTTCAACGACCCTTGATTTCATTTTATCATTTTCTCAACTCTAAGAATGCCGACCAACATTGTTAGAATTCTTAGTTTGAAGGTATTGCTGATGATGCAGAGCAATTGAAGATAGGTTTCTACAATCTCTTGACTATTCAATTCTTTATTGAAATAAAATATGCTAGTTGTGTGAGGGCTAATTATATTTTGTGAATATTTTATTTAATGAGCAATTAACACATCATATGTAGTACTAGTGTCCATCCACAAACATTCCCCTCGATTTGAAAGATCAAGTGGATTGAAAAGAGAATCTTGGCTTTCTCCATCTGCCCCTCGATTAAGAAATCATATTGCCTTGCTCCATATGGAATCAAGAAACTCAATTTATGGCCAAAGCATTTTGCACATACATCATTGTGGAAGTCTAGTAGCACCATATCCACCACACTCTGAGGTCATCTGCAAGCATTGAGAAACACACCAAGGGTTTCATGGTAGAAATTTATGTACAATTGATGGAACATAACAATGTGCACATACATTGAGAATGTGGCCATGAATGAGTGAAATAGATACATTTAAATATGATAACTCCTGAGAATGAAGATCCAATAAATTAGTTAAATGATGTGGGACAAGATGATGAAAATGACTAGACTACCCTAAAGAAGGTTAACTAAAGTAAGATTGAGTGACTTCCTGTAATATTTGAAATAAAAAGATCAACGCAATTAAGAAATCACCAAATGATTAAGGTGTGCTTCACAATCAATAAGTCAATGAATTGCAAATCAAGTGGGTTAAGACGAGTCACTAACTACCAACTATGAATATAAGGGGACCTATATGTGGATTACACAACGGCAATATTGCAAGATAAAATACTAAATGAACAAAATACTCAAAATTGGAAAAGAAGAGTATAAGAGGAACTGAAGCATAGACCCGCTTTTAAAAAGTTGACCTTACGTTGACCGTCTCGTTGACTGTTGACTGGGTGCCCTGGTTGATTGGCGGACGGGCTCGAATCGGAGGGTGGGACAGGCGCGGACCAGGTCTAGGACCAGCAGGATGGGCTGGTGGGGACCAATGGTCCGAGATGATTCGGACCAAGCGGTCGGGCCGGTTCCGACCAACGACTCGGGATACTGTGAAGCGGGCCTTTAAGCCCTATAAGCGGGAAAGGGGAAACACGAACGGCTGGTGCCGGGCGGAGGAAAGGAAGGCGACGGCAACGGCGGAAGAGGTGGAACGGACGGAGACGGAGGCGGGGCTGGCGGCAGCAGCGGCGACGGGACGGCGAAGGGTGGCAGCGGATGGGGGCGGCGAATGGTGAAGGCGGACAACGGCGGGAGCGATGGGGCAGAAGGTGGCAGTGAACGATGGGCGACAATTGATGGCGGCAAATGGCGGATAATGATGGCAGACGGTGACTGCGGACGGCGGTGGCGATGGATAAGTGACCCTCACGGCCTCCCCTTGCGGAGCGGATGAGGTAAGCCTCGACTAATCTCTTCTCTCTCTAATTGTTCTTAGGGCTAGACAAGGTTATTTATAACCTCTCAAGTTGGAATCCGGAATTAATGGGCTTGGCTGGTGCGCTAATGACGCGGTCGTAGGCTTCGTCTTCTTCGCTCCTCACCAATAAACCTGTCAGAATGTGTGACTATACATAAGCATAGATGTGTGCGTGTGTGCTTGGATAGAAATGGTATCGATTGCCTATCTCTCGAAATGACAAATCCGGACAGTGACTATGCCAGAAACACCGAAAGAGTTGGCAGCAACCATCGATCTCCCAGCAGCGCCGATGAATCGGAACAAAGACAGAGCCACCTGATGCGTGCAGAAAAGCACCAAGAATTGCCGGAAAAAAATCTGGAAAAATTGCAGGAATATCAATCGGATCAGCCATCAGAATGTCACGATAATAATCAAAGCAACACCGATGCTAAAGCAGATAAAAATGTAGCCATCAAAAGTGAGCATTGCCACTTTGTTCATGTTGATGACGACCACCGTATCCTTTTACCTCCTGGAGGCGGGTGCAAACCCAGATATCTAGTAGGCAGTAACGACCCAAATGGCTGACTCCAAAAAAGAGATAGGAATTCTTAAGAGGCAGATTGGCAAGCTGAATGCCAAAACAGGATAAAACAACAAGTCTCTTTGTTTATAGCGCACGGGCAGCCTCTCAACGGTCAACGGTCATTACTATCTCTGCCATCCCGTTAAACGTCACAGCCACCAGTCCGTAGAATAGTGCACCTAAATACTTCCCCGCATCGGGAATTGTCTCGTGGTGGATGTGTGTTCTCGGAAAAACAATGTTGCAAGAACCGCCATGAATATAAGTTGACTGGTTTTAAAAATCTAAACGAACGAGTTTCGTTTCATCACTTAAGAAGGTCAAAAAGTCGAATGGGAAAAGAGGTGGTTCTGTGGTTAGAATTGGCTCGTCTTAGTTACTGACCCATCCAACTTAAACCCGTTGTCAATGAATGGAGTACCCATTTGACATAAAACAAATATGGAACTATTCTAACATGGGAGATCGGGCTAAGGAATAATCAAATGAAAGGTAATGTTCCAAGGTTGATACTAATGGGCAGGCTGGACTATTGGCATGTGGAAGCCTAGAAGTTACCGTGAGGGGTGTCACACAAGGCCTTAAGAAAATTCAAAGATGTAATTTAAACTCTTTCGCTTAGCTTAAAAATGGAGAGAAATATTTAGCAATTATAGACGTCAAGAAAAGGTTCAACCGGTTTTCTGGCTTTTTAATACTTTTTCATAAGCAAGTTTACTCATTTTCATTAACTATGTAAAAACTCGGATAACTATTATTACCTCGTCCTTCATCATGCACTATACTACTCGAGATTATACCTCCTGTACTGCTTCTTCAGTCTTTCTTGGAAGCGCGTAGGTAAGGGAGGAGGTAGAGAGCTGACAGAGGGAGGTCAGTAGCAGCGGCGGTTGCCAACAATTACTGAGACAAAGAAATACTCATTATCAGAGAATTGGTGCATTTGCAACTAGTTTGCCAACAATTTAGGTGGCATATTGTTGAAAGACCAAATAACTCCCACATAGTCACAAAATCCATGATAAATGTTTCCTAGCAAGAAATGGAGATTGACAAGTTTGTCTTAATATCACTTTGTCAAATCTGTAATTTGTTAGCCAAGTAACTCAGGACGGGGGAACCGATTCCACCCTTTTTTAAGTTCTCTTTATTCCACCCTCCTGGTTTAGGAGCTTTTATCAAGTCCATAGACACTACAATCTTATAGTTGTTTGGTCCTCTCGACCTGCACTCTCCAAAACCCAAGTCATTAGGTGCCATTAATTATCTAATAATATACATACTGAATTCTAGTCTCAACCACCTCAAGGAATATATTAAGTGGTTGTATTATTTTGTAAATCATAATAAATTATAAAAAAATTCATTCAATGGAAAAATGGTCTGTATACACATCTCAAATTAATAAACAATTTTTAGGCATCATTTTATGTCACACGTATATGCATGAATGTAATTTTTAAAAAAAGAAAAGAAAACACAATACAAATAATGACACAAAAATTTTGAAGATTTATGATGTATTATGATCTTTTCAAAATTATTAAATGTCGTGTGGAGCTTAAACTTCAGGTGTAGATGTGATTATCAACTTGCTACTTTCCAACTAAAGTAAGTGACCATTGGATGATCCAGTATGCTGGATATACAATAGGAATTTAAGTCTACAATAGTGTTGAACTAAAGAAGAAAAGGAAATTAGATGAGTCACAATACTCACATTCTTCCTACATGGAGTCATGACAAAATTTGCACCCTTGCATGCTGAAAATAGAAGGATTTCTGCTCTTTCTCAAGTCATCAATGACTCTACTAATTACACATTTCCTGCTTGAGAACTGTAGTTTTTTGTCTCTCCCTCACTCTCTAATATAAAATAAGTTGGAGAAGAAAAAAATTATACCAACATCAACCATGGCTTGCTAAAAAAACCTCTGACAAAATAGTTAAATGACATGTAAAAGACTAATTGTTGTTTCTTTTGTGAGGATCTACATGATCAAGTAATGTAAGATGAACTTATCCATAATTAAAGTGATTTATAAATAGTAAAATTAAATGAATTCTTTTTCTGGGTAATCAGATTTTAAATGGGCCTTTTTATAGATTCATGGATGTGAGGAAATTATAATTGTCCCATAAGGCTATTAATTAAGTGAATTGACTAGAAATGACGTTTATGTGGGATATAGTTTTTTAAATTCCCATTTTGAGTAAAATAAACCCAAATTCTGGGCTTCAAAAGAGGCTCCTATTGAAGAAATTAGTTGATGTAGAATCTGGGAAATTCCGTCGAGTATGAGGAGGAGAGATGCCAAGAGTGGGGGGGTTTTGAGTTTTTCACTAAAGTTAGAAGGTGGGAAGGGGGCGAGGTTGATGTTAAGTAAAGTGAAGTAGTGGTTGGAATGAAGTAAACGAAGGGTGATAGGGGAGAAGAAGGTGGATACGAGCAGGGATTGTAAAGCTTGTTAGAGGTAGTGAAATGGGTTGATTAGTGATCGTCAATGGAGTGAGGAATTGATGTGAGGCATAACATAAAAATAATATTAACTTAGTTGATAAATAAATAAATTCATTTCATTACAAATGATCTAGAAATCAATAAAAAATACAAAAATATAATAAGTCTATATGGTTCTTGAAAGCTGCCACTCATTTGAGGCGTTGGGATGGTGTGTTGGTTCATGAAAAGACAAGTGAGATGATAGAGGGGTTGTATCATGCTTCCTTGGGGAAAGGTAAAATGTTTCTAGATCTAAGACAAAATCAAGATTATATACATATGGGTTAAAAGTAGTTTAATCTAGGAAAGAGAAGGGGCATAAATAGAATGGGTGCAACTAAGTCCATTGGTGGGTGCACAGACTAGTGATGACCTGTGTTGATGGGTGCATGCAAGTGGGGTGGATGGAAACTGATGGTGGATAAAATACAAGAGAATTTACGCCAATTTAGCTGATTTTCAGTTCCTGGAGTGGGGGAACCGGCGAAGGTGAAGTGCGCCAGATTGGCCGAATCAGATCCACCCGACCCAGCTCTGTTTTCTGTACCACACGCAGGCACACATGCTGACTTTGGCACTTGTCAACACCTTGAGCGGTCCATCCAACAATGTGTTAGCGATCCGACGACAAGAAAGGTCGTCTCAGCAGGACACCCACGAAGATTTTGTCGTCGAGTTCAGTCAAGCGGCAAGAGTCTCCGCCGGTGCTACTGCTGCTCACATTGGATTCCACGCGGAGTGACCTGAACTGGTTGGCCCGCCGTAGAAAATTGCTTTCTATACCCCCAGATTTATTTAAGGGGAGATTCAAAGTCGAAGAATCACGGTGCGTGCCATACAAGTTTGCACAAGATCACCCGAAACGAGTGCATATTAAGGTAAAGAAAGAGAAGAAGATGATCAGTCAGTGTCGCGGACGATGGTCTGAGAAGGGAGTATCAGAGCCGCCACAGGGGATTCCTTCCTCCCGCCTCCTTCGTCGACAATGAACCGGAGACCCTCCAGGTGAAGCTTTCCATGGTGCCCACTGACGATTATCGTGGGCGTCTCCCCCGATAGTTCCTGCACAGGGAAAGTTTCCCGCATACTGAGCACGCACTGCGGAGACATGATGTCCTTGGGGAGAAGAAAGAATCAGGAGGGAAGGAAGGCACGATAAGTGTGAGGAGGTAAGCCACCAACAAGAGAGAGAGAGAGAGAGAGAGAGAGAGAACAAGACAGCGTGGTACAATCATGGACTTGCTACCAATTTATACTGATCAAAAGGGGTCGATGAAAGTGGTTTGAGAAGACCGATCAAGAGACGGGGCCGATCTGTTGTCGTCCACAATCTGAGAGCCCGTGGGCCACTTGGCCGGTCAGTTCTTGGAACCGAGGGTATCGATTTTTAACAAACCCTGGTGTTTAACAAACCCGCAAATGGGCCAGCAGCACATAAACATTCGAGAGAAGCTCGCCAGTAGCGAGCGCAAAACACGAGAAGGAACTGGCTTTACAACAAGGGCATGGGGAACAGACAGCTCTGACAGGACTGGACTGGTTTGGTTTAGAGTTTGGGGTGAGGGTCCACTTCGGCCCCCTAACCAAGGTTCAAGAGACAGCACCATTTGGCTTCACAAACAAAGATAATACAATGCCCATCGTCTTACTCAAATCATAAACTTCTTACAGCACCAAGGTTAACCATATCCATGCCTCTTTCATCTTGCTGGAGACCACGCGTATCTTCCTTGTTGCCACTCATATCTTCACTAATGAGGGATTACTGCTCGCTGACCACCTTAGAAGGCATATTTTTTGTAACGGGAATCGGCTTTGAAGGACTTGCAGAGTGGAACCGTGCATTGCCGAGAAGAGATGGGTCTCCCAAAGAAGGAAGCACTTCTCGAAGCGACACAAATCATTTCCGGACCCATCCTTTCTCATATTCAACATTCAGGCCTGTGTCTGTGTTTTCATGTTGAGAATCCTTGGTGGAAGGCGAGAGATGCCAAGGGGACATGATGCTTCCCCAAAAGATTCCCCCAACCGCTATTAACACAGACGGGGGCTCAGAAAAGAACCAATACAGAGGGCAGTACGGCCAGCTGTTCCTCGACACGAAGATGGAGAGATTGGCCATACCATGAAAGTCGACGAACAACCGGATGCTAAGATATTCACCATACTGGCCCAAAGGATGTCAAAATCACTCAAGGTCAATCGGACCTGTATGAGCCAAACAAAATCGGGAAATCCTAATGTTGATTCAAGATCAGTGGTGCTGCGATGCAGCAAGAACTTGGGTAAGCCCACTTTGATCAACAAGATATCAAGACAGGAATTCACACAGGCAGCCACCTCGTCGCAGAACGCTAATCTGATAATAGATCAAACGCCGCTGGGGCCTCACAGGTTGCCCGAACATCCACATGAGATCAATCTGCTGAGCATGAATTTCTTGCAACTGGTTCAGGTTGCATCCAGTATTGAGTCCAGGAACATCTACAGAAGCTAGACCATAGCGGGTTCATTTCTGCAAATGAGGAGATGACAAAACTTGCGTTCTTGGATTATAACGCCCAAAAAGCAGACAAGCATCTCTCTTTTCATAGGTCGGAAAATAGTATCCATCCAATGATATCATCATTCAGGCAACAAATTATTGTATGAGGTAGGGGAGGAACGGCGAAGCTTTGAGGAATAATAACGACCACAAACAAGGGCATATAAGCATATCTTCAAAGGAAATAATGGTCGATTCAAGTTCGTTACCTTGGGAATATTCCAAACATTTTGCCTCCCACTGAGAGCCTCCACTTTTGAAATACTCGTGTCCCTTGACCTCAAGGTCCTTAACTGCTGTTCCACCGGCTTTCCTCTCTCCAGCCCCGCATGAACAGCTATCAATTTGCAGCAGAGTCTTCCTTCGGGAGCGTCAAGGCCGACGTCGTCCTGCAACAGGCACCAGTCACATGGATTCATCAGTCAAATATGGCTTTTAACACCTCATCTGCACTCCCCGGGTTCCTGTTCCAGATCGACAACCTCCTCATGGATCCAGACCAGGGTCGAAAGGAACTTCTTGTGCTCCTCTGGGACCGCTTTAGTTAACTCTGAAACAGTGAAGCACAAGTCGATCCAGATTAACGACGAACTGATAACGGAAGTGAAGAAGAAGAAGAAGAACAAGGGTGATTTAGAAACAGCAAGCGAGAGCAAAATCCTCCAACCGGAGCCTGCACGTCCACTCTGGACGAACTAAGGCCTTCGGCTTTCTCTTACGGAAACCACCCTTCCGACAGGACGAACGCAACTCAAAGAGTAAGGCCCTTGGTCCTAAAATAAATAAGAAGAAAACAACACAAGAAGAATCCCCAGGAGAATGCTCGAGATATCGCCCCGCGCCTTTGGGGTTTTTGACTGACTAGAAACGGGATCATTGGAAGAGGAGCACATTTCGTTCTCAATCTGCGATAAATCGGTAAGCGGTTACCGCCTGAAAGAAGAGGTTTCTCACCGATGGAGCCGTGCGGGACGCCGTAGGACTGAAATGTAGGCCCGGCGTCGTAGATGGATCCCAGGTATTCCGTGCCCCTCTTGGAGTTCCATCGATCCCGTATCACTCCCCCCCACCGCCGCCCCTGCAGGTGCATCCCCTCGTAGCCCTCCCCTTTGAACCATCCCTCCCTCTCCTCGTTCGCCTCGTACTCCGCCCACGTTTCCGAGAACGTGGAACCGTCGTGCGGCGGCGGCAGGGCACCGACGAAGGCCGAGAAGGCCAGATCGTGGTTTCCGCAGAGGAAGACGTGCCTCTGCTCCGGGTAGCGCGAGGGAAGAGATAGGAGGAAATCGATGACTTCCCGGGTCTGCGGGCCGCGGTCGCAGTAGTCACCGAGGAAAATTACGAGGGCCGTGCGGAAGGCGGCGCCGCCTACCCGGAGCTCGAGGTTAGCCCAGAGGCGAAGAAGCCTGTCGTAGAACCCGTGGATATCGCCGACGCAACAGACAACACGGGTAGGATCTGCAGACGCCGCCCGAGGGCCGGTGCCATCACCTCCTCCCATGGTGATCACCTGGGCGGAAGGCCGAGGCCGAAGATGAAGATGATCGGAACCGAGCAGATGATCGGATTCAACCCATTCTCTTTCATTTGTGGGCACAGTTTAATCGTCTATTTCAGGGTTTTATTAATAGAAAATGCTTTAATAGCCTCTTTCGTCACGTATTGGGCATCTGCGTAGATTCTACCCGGATACAAGCCGACGACAAGAAGCTTTTCGTAGATCCGGCCGAAGCTAGGTATCTACGAAAATCAATTTTTGGGTGAATCACATTTTTTTTTGGTGGGGGTAAATTAGTTTTTTTAACCTTTCCCAATCTCCTATGCTATTTTTTAATAGAGATAAATATGAGTTTGTGGAGGATAAAGATGAATATGTTTTTTATTTCACAAAATATATCAGATCTTGTTGAGAATGATTTTACAGAGGCTAAAGAATCACAATTGAAAAAGCTTAACTAGGGATGTAAATTCTTTTCTAGTGATGCAACAAGTTCTTTTAGACAATTTTTTTTTAGAATTATCAGTAGAAAAGCTTCTACAAGAAGCATAGAGTATTTCAAAACAAGATTTTCAAGGTGTTAACAAAGTCACAATAGTAAATCCTTAAAACACTTTTGGAGAGAATTTGATTTTTTTATAATGAAATTAGATGAATCAATTCAGAATTTCTTTCCATGTATTTTTTATTATAAATCAAATAAATATTTTAGAGAAGCTACTTCAAGGAGAAAAATTATTGAAATAATTTTGAGAAGTTTTTGTTCAAACTTTGATCATATTGTTGCTGCAAGTAAATAATGCTATTTATCCACAAAATGGGTTAACGAACTCATAATTGACATGTAAAGAATGAAACATTGAGATTTCAAAAATCTATGAAGCAAGTCTTTTAAGGTAAAAATTGAGATTTTACAAGGAGAAATGAATGATGAAGTCACATACAATCAACATTAAGGTAACCAAGATCATAGATGTGGAAGTTATTATGGTCGTGGCCAAAGTTGTGGTTTATAAGAGGCTTCAACAAATTTGGTCATGGATAACAAACTTATGGTGGTGGTGAATGTAAAAAACAAAAACCAGATTATAGGAACATTTACTATTGATGTTGTACGAAACTTTTACATAATTAAACTTATTATTAAGATAAGGGGAAAAAAAAAACTAACTCAATAGAGGTGGAGGAGGAAGATAATTTATTGCTTACATGACACCAAGGTCAAGTAACTTGATATATGATTTTAAGATAGCACATGTAGCAATCATATGATAGGTAAAAATAGTTATTTTGAAGTTTAGACATGTAAGAGAAATGCCATTTTAGATGAGAGATGAAAAAAGTCTTCAATATATATTGAAATTACTGAACTCAAAATAAAATTATGAATAAAGAAGTTGATAAATGATGTTTATTTTATCCATAACACAATTTGTTGATGGATGCCAATTTATGGAGATTTGGGATATACTTTTCATTTTGATGATGAAATGTGTGTCACTAGAAACAAGAAAAGAAATATGCCACGTATTTAAGTTCTTAAGGTAGGAAAAATGATGTTTCCACTTGATATTTTAAAATGGATGGAGTTTCTTATGATTAATGAAAGTTTGAATGATTCATATATTTGGCATTTGAGATATGATCATTTATATTTTAATATATTAAAATCATTAAATCAAAATAATATGATTTTCATTTTGCCATCAGTTTCAATCACTAGTGATACCAAAGCAAATGATGCATTTATGGGAAACAACATGATTGTTATTCCCAATTGGAAAATCTCGGAGTATAAAATTATTTCTTGAGTTAATTGATCTAAATATATGTAGGATAATGAAAACTAAATATTTCATAATAATAATTATTTTTCCTTTTATGGATTATTATATTCACATGAGTTGAGTATATTTTTCTACATAAAATATTAGTATTTTTAAAGAAATAATTGAAAACCATGTGTGGTTGTGTCATCATAACGCTTTATATGGACAAAAGGGGATAATTCTTATCATATTAGTTTGGTTTTTGTTTCTTCCAAAGAAGATATTCATTGTCAATTTACAATTAGAATAACTTTAGATTAAAATATTATAGTAGAAAGAAATAATAAAATAGTTATATAAATGGCACATAAAATGTTTAGTGAGAAGAATGTTCAAAGAGAAGTATGTTCTCAGTAAGTTTTGGGCTGAAGTAGTGATGATACTAATATCTTCTCAATGTGTTGCCAATAGTGCTGATCATGAATATGACTCCATAGGAAGCAATATTTCATAGAAAACGTAATGCTCATGTGAAGATAATTGGTTGCCTGACCTATGCCTTAATTGATTATGATGATTGTACAAAATGGATAAAATGAGCAAAAAATATATTTTTATTTGTTTTAGTGATGAAATTAAGAGTTATCATTTGTATAATCATGAAAAAAATAAAATACTTTCCATCAGCGTGCCATTTTTTATTATCATAATTTATAGAAGTATAATAATTATTTTCATCAAATGTATTTTTCTAAATATATCTAAGGGTTGAGATTATCAAAAACATGAAATGATGTTTTATGCCCCATCTTCATCAAACTCTATATGGAGAGCAACTCTAAGACATTTTAATGTTCTTTGAAACCATAATGATTTTAGTCTTGACTCAACTCCTCCAAGGTAAGGTATTTAAATGAAATATATGAGTCATATATTTTTGCATTAATGGTTGCCAAATTAAAGAACTATGAATAAGCTCAAGGAAAAGATGAATGAGAGAAGTTAATTAAAAAAGAAATTGTATCAACTAAAAAAATGATAGTTGAAAGTTGGTATATCTATTGTCAAAAATTTAAGCTATTAGTGTGAAGTGGGTTTACAAAGTTAACTATAATTTAGATAAAAATTTGGCCTACAGATTTATATCTTATTGATGTGTATTTATCGTTGTATTTAAATACCCAACATCTAATAACATTATAACTAGGACTCAATAACATTTTCATATAGGTGTAAGTCTCAAGTCAAACACAAAGAGATTAATTAATCTGTCATAACAATTTGATCTAATTTATACAAGAACAATTTTTATTTTTCATCATTGTTTAATAGAAAATATTAAGATACCCTGTATTATAGATATTAAAGACAAATAAATGTATATAAAAGAGATGAAAGAGAAGAAAAAGTAGAGGGGGGAGGAGAGGAGGAAAAGAAGAGATTATTTATAGAGAAAGGGAATACTGTTTATATAATGAGAAAGAGATCTCGAGAGTGACATAGAGAGGTAAGGAACTCTTGAGAGAGATAAATGAATTTTGAAAGAGATATCTCAAGAGAGAGAGAGAGGGAGAAAAAGAGAGAGATTTCACAAAAGCAAGAGAGAATTTAGATGTATAATAAAGAGCGAGAGAGAAAATGGTCAACTCATTTTTATGGTCATTTGAATTCATTTGTAATTCCATATTGACTATATTTCTTTGAGAAATGTGTGTTCAAGAATTCACACTCATGAGACGAGATCAAGCATGAGTGTTTTCATTTTATTTTAAAACTTAAATGCTCAATAATCGGTTTTTATCTCACTAATTTTGATATTTGAAATAAGAAGAATAATTATTATTCACATAACATTGGAAACACAAACTCTTTGAGATTTGATCACAAAAATTAAGATAAAAGTAGCTAGACATGATTTTAGATTGATGTCATAGTTTTAGAAGATTTAGAAGAGAAATGAAGATTATTCATAGAGTTTTGAATTAATTTTATAAACTTTCATTAAAAAATATATAAAGATAAAAATAACTTGACACAAAATGTAAATAAATGATGAAATCAAATAAAGAAACATTGCCCAATGTTGGTATGCCTCTTAGACAATTGTAGACATTGGTGTGACAATTTGATTTCGTCTAGTTGTGCCACACCATATTAGAAATCACAAGAGTATTGTTTGGAACTACTACACCACTCACTAGAGAAATATGTCAAGAAGAAGGGTCGACCACATTGTCACCATCGTTTGAAGGGAGAAGAGATGAGCTGGCCACTCGCCGAATGTCTTGAGTGCAGTTGAGGAAGGAACAAACTTATTGATTATTAGAGGCTTTGTTTGCACAAAAGAGAGGAAGAACACAGTGTCATAATCACAATGTTGTCAGAATTTTAATGATAATCAAATATCTATGTTAATAAAAAAATAATTAACAATTATATTTATATCTCTGATGGTGATATGTGTAAAAATTGAAGTACCTAGTATCATGCTATTTTGCTCATTACTAGATCTCTATTCTTTTGGTCACATGGAATGTTGAGCATCTCAAGATTAGACTGTCATGAACCACTATCCTAAAACAAGGAGAAATCTTTAGTCCCACATCAGATTTTTAAGCAGATATGTTGTGTACATATTATAATACTTCATTTTTCCTTGGACAAGTCCCCAATCTAGGCACAAGCCATGGGCTAGGGGGATGGTTGTCTAGCAGCCTATTATGATAATAAAATAAAATATAATAATATAGATTAAAAAATAGTTATTTATTTATTTTTTAAAAGAAAGAGAGACATTAGCTCCTTTAGCTTCTATCTTTCTAAATCAACTATATAAAGCTACGTTTCTTTCTAAAAATTAAAATAATATATTACTTAAATAAAATAAATTAAGAACTAAAAATAACACATTAACACTTATCAACAATCATCTTCACTTTTGAGGTCAAGTCCAAATAAGGTCATTGAGTCTATCACCATCTTCACATATTCTACTAATATGTCACTATATTACTAAATCACTATTTTGATGAGACTAGTACTATTAGTTTGTGTTCATAATATTGGATTTTTAATAAAATGATCTAAATTATTATGCCTTGGCTATGGACATTAAATCTTAATGGGTCCACTTATAAAATTTCAGACAAAGATATCCAAGTCATTTAATAGACTTATGATGCTGATTTTTAAGCCATTCAAACTTATGTTAATTCCAAGAAAAGTAGATATTGCAAGATCGCAGAAATCTAAGAAGATTTTTTACCTGATTTACTTTAAATATCACGAATTTATAATAATTAAATTAAAAAACATAATCATTCTTATCTCTACTAGGGCCTTAAACTTTGAATAATTCTTAAAGCTAGATTTTTGCATTTTAATTAGTTTTATTTTTTTTATTTTCTAACTTGTAGAATAAATATAGGATATTTTGTTAATTTTATAAGTTTGAAGTTAAACTACTTAGCATAATTTTAGATTATTTAAAAAATAATAAATAATAAAATACAAATATTTTGTTTACTTGTAAGCCGACACTCGGTAGCTGACCTGAAGGGGCACTATGGTTGAGTGGGTGGACCTAGACCGAGGGAGCCATGAGCTAGGGCCGAGTGGCAAAGGACTCGCTCTACACACGTGTGTGCCACTCCCCTTCCACGTCTTGGTGGCCAATCGGTCATGAGGCAAGGAGCGTTTGTACACATGTGTGCACGTGAGGGCAAACCACCTTTTCGCCTTCTCCCAAGGTGGTCTTGGGCATTATTTTAGTTTGGGAGAAGGGATCTTTGCTAAGAGAAAGTAATTTTGATTTATATTCAACTTAAATGATGCTAAACTTCCAATGTGGGACTAATCATTTTTGTCTATTTTAGTGCATCCATCTAGAGCGTTGATAAGTCTTCATTATCATGAGTTAATAATTAGTAAATAATATAGTTTTAGCCTTAACTCATGATAAATAGACTTATATTTGTGTTAAAGTGTGAAAAGTGGTTTTCAGTTGATTAACGTGAATTTTTAGGTAATTATGTGATTTTATACAATTTTTATAGTCTTACTTTTGAGATAAATGAAGGAAAAGAAATAAAAATAAAAATATAGCAAAATGGGGGGGACTCGCCGGCCAGCCGGGCCCGCAAGCAGGTCGGAAGCGCAATCAGGCAAGAGCTGCAAGTAAGGGCTCGAGCGACTTGAACCGATGGGGGCACGTGTGTACCACTCCCCTTCCACGTTACTAATGGCCAGCCGGCTGTGGGGCAAGGAGTGGTCATACACACGCAAGAAAGGGACTTAATCGTGAATGTAATATTACTTTATATTCACCAGAAATTTCGGTGCACAACCAATGTGGGACTAAACCCGGGTCACCTTCCCCAGAAAGGGCGGGCAACTGGCACGGGCTTGAATCCTTCTAGAGCTAAAACTCATATTTTTTTATCTGATTATCGCGACTTTCCTGTAAATCGCTAGTGAAGGATTAAGCAACCAGAATCGCTGGATTAATCGGCGAAAATCTCGTCAACGCGATTCGCGGAGCATTGTTACTAAAATTGCTGAAAGATTTGCGATAAAAAGATCGCAAATCCATCGAGTAAAGCATCTTCGATTGATCGACGAACAAACCGTCATCGGGAAGAGGATGATCCGCCGGGAGATGAGTCGTCACCTCTTGAGAGCGTACCGAATGCGATGAAGAGCCTCCTCTTGTTGCGCAGACCTAAAGATGAAGCTCCCTGACACGCGCCCCACCTCCATTCAGCTCTTCTCCGTCGGGTGACAGCCGTCGTAGAACCGCAAAGTTGCCGTTTTTCCGCTCCGCCAAGTGACAGCCACCAGAGACGATTCAACGACCCATTTCATTGATCTCTAAACTTCGCAAGGAGATCTAGAGATTGCCCACATCGTCTTTGTCCAAGGAGAACCTTCAAGGCCGTGGACACTGCACGACGATCCTCTCGAACGCTTAAGATTCTGGTGCATCGCCGACACATCACAGTCGCGACGTCGGAACTTTATTTTCCTACTTTCAATTTAATTTCTGTTTCATTTAGTGATAATTTGTCTGATTTTAATTTACCAAAACATACTTCATTCAATTACGATTCTTCTGGCTTTTACATATCTTAATTTGATCAATTAAATTGTCTGTAATCACTTACGTAAGAATCATCAGGCGGAACTCTATTTCCGCCCGATTCGCATTCGTCGGGCGCTAACGTCATCCTAATGTACGCACCCTTATTTCTCTTTTTCGTGAATTTTAAATATATTTCCTTTTCATTTACTAGTGTAAAATTCATAGAAAATAGTATTCTTTGAGAAAAATTCTGAATAATTACCAGATGTTATATTACATCCTTGTGATCGACTTGGAAAGTTACCACTATTTTTAGAAGTTTTATTAAATTATAATTGATATATTTGTTCAGAAATACTTCTAAATATCTAAAAATTTATATTTTCTAGTTTTATAAATTTTAAATTTACGTGATTTACTATACAACGACTAAGTCACGTCAAGCGTGGTGTGATCTAGTGGTGTTCAACGAGCCACATCATCCAATTAGCTAGATCCTACGGCTAGCAAACTGCCACGATATCAGATGCATAAAGTGATCCATCAACGATTCACGAATTTGATGCCACACAATACACACATGGCTTTAAAATATGATCTGATCACTAAGGAGTCACCACGGCACCAGAAACTTAAGTTCTTAGTCGGCAACAGTTCGTGGCTAGTTGATCCTACGTCACTTAGTGTAGCATGTGACCAACCACATTTGATCCAGCGGCTTGTGAAGTGCCACAATACTGAGAACTTAAGTTCTCGCATGTATCACTATTAAGGATATAAAGAGAATAATTGATTATTATTTAGTAAAATAGATATTATCAATTATCTTTAAAATTCCAACAGTAGTCGCAAGTACGACAATCTATTTTCTCCCTCTTTTTGTGCGATCAATGCCTCTGACAATCGGCAAAACTCATTCCTGCTTCCCCTAACTACACTCAAAGCCTCTGACAAGTGGTCAGCTCTTCCCTTCTCCCCCTAGACAACGGTGACAATATAGTCGACCTCTCTTTCAACGGATCTCTCCAACAAGTGATGCAGTGCTTTCAAATGATACTTCTACAACTTCCAGTGTAATATGACATGTCTAGATGAAATCAAGTCACCACATCAGTGTCTCTAGTTGCCCAAGAGGTAGACTAAATTTGAGCAACAATTTGTTTCTTTGTTTCAGCATTTACTTACTTGATTTTATCATTTATTTACATTTTATGACAAATTATTTATTTTTTATGCATGTTTCGATTGAAATCAGTAGAACTAATTCAAAACTTGATGAATGATCTTCATTCTTCTTTTGAATCCTCCGAGACTCATCTAAGATTAAGCTAAGATCACCTCCAACTTATTTTTTATTAATTTTCACAGTCAATCTTGACATATTCAAGTTTCCACTGTTCTACGAATAACAAGTATTTTTTTATTTTTGAATGTAAAATCACCAAGATTAAAGACTGATTAATGAGCGTTCAACTATTAAAATAAATTAGAGATATTCATGGATGACCTCATGTCATGTGTGTGAATATTCGAGCACACATTCGTCCGAGAATAATGGTCAGTGTGAAAATGAGTTGACCATATTTTTCTCTTTCTTCATTTTGTCTTATTTCTCTCTTCCTCTCTTGTGAGACATATTTTCTCTCAATCATATTTCGCTCTCGTTGACCATATTTCTTCGTCTCATGTGAGATCTCTCCCTTTTTCTCCCTCTCTTTCTCAATCGATCTTCTTCTCTCTCCTCTCTCTCTCATGAGACTTTTCTTTCTCTCCATCTCACGTGAAATTTCTCTCCTCCTCTCTCTTTCTCTCCCTTTCGCAAGAGATCTCATCCCTTCTCTCTTTCGTGAGAGCTCTCTTTTCTTTCTTTTCTTCCTTCTTTTCCATGCTTTCCTTCTTTTATTCTTCTCACCTCACCTTTTTATTTTATTATTTTCATTAAATGTTAATAAAATATTAAAATCACTTTATATATAAACTAAATTAGTTTTCATGACAGATTAATCAATCTCCTATGTTTGACTTGAGGCTTACTTCTATATTAATATTTTATTATATCTTAAATATAAATATTATTAGATAATGTGCATTTAAGCACAATGACAAGTGCACACCAATAATGTTCTCTATATAAAATCTATAAGAACATTGAGAGTTCTTTGAAAATTGATGAAACTTTACAAAGACATTTATGTAATAATTTTGATGTAATTCAACCCTTTCTAAGTCCAAATATTCCAACATTCTTTCATGAATGAAATATAAACTGTTGCTACATTGTAATGTTTATTGCATTAATATAGATTCATGTAGCAACGTATTTAAAAATTAACCTCAATCTTAGTTTAGCTGTATATGTCTATTTGAGATCCTTATTATATTAGTGAGTTTGATGTCATGATAACTAGTGGATTCAGTGTATTCTATTGGGCCATGTCTCTATAATGAACATCATGCCTTGTAATTTCTAGAAAAAATCAAGAGATTATCAAGGAGCTCAGCACTCCTATTGGTTCATAGGATCTTCTCTTCCCTACGAAGTACACCTAAAGTTTTGTCCTCTAGTGCATAGTTTACATTTGGAAATAATATTGATCCTCTTGGTGGAACACCTACAACATCATCAAATGTTATATTTTGTTTTGTATTTTAGGAATAAAACCCTAAAATGGATGGTTAAACTATGCCAAAAATGATAGAGAATGGTTGAGGAGAAGAGGAAGTGAGGAGGATCCTACAAGCTACTCATGAACCCTAAATCGAGGAGAGACAAAAATATTACCAAATTGATTAAAAAAATAGGAGTGTCTTTATAAAAGAGTTATTTAAGCAATAAAAAAATAAAAAAACTAGGTTTAAAGTGGGTCTGCCCAAAAATCAACTTTTGACCACTGTTGTTTTCTCTAGTGCGCCATAAAGTTTGAATAATTCCTTTCAATGCGAAGTTGGTGATGCCGATAATTCACAAAATGATGAAATTTTGATAGCTTAATTTTGTTTTAAATCCATTAGCAACTTGATCATTTTTTAAGAAAAACTTCATCTTGATCTTAGTCTGTTAGATCTTAGTCTGTTAGAATCTATTTTAAGTCATTTTAGAATTAGTTAAACTTTGTCCCTAAGATCTGTCAAGATCCTTTTTTTGGAGAACACCCAACCTACTTTCTAAGCCTATATAAAGGCCCTCATTGTAATTAGAGAGAGATACCTTTTTAGTTGAATCACCTTTCTCCACTATGAAAACCTCTCCCTCTTGCTTGTGGATTCAAGCACTTCCTTGTGGATTCAAGGGTTGAAGACTCTGAATCAATAGATTCAAAGACAGGTTTCTTCTCTAAGATTGGAGCTTCGTGGATTCAAGCTAATATCTTATTTATCTTATGTGTTACTGTTGTGTCAATGATACACTCATTGAATGAGTTTTGTCTCGGATGTTCTGTATATGCTTCCAAAGAGGTGGAGGTGGTGCTACTAGACATCGCCGGTGGCTTGGACAATCTATGGGCTGATAGTGTCTCAGTTTAGGGACAGCGAGGAGATGCTTTGAATCCTAGGACAACCTAGCATGACAATCAAGGACTTCTTGAAGGAGGTGCCAGGCTATGAGCGTAGTTTCTTAGGGTATGTGGCAGTGGCCCACATTGGCTTTGTGATTTTCTTCTCCTTAATCTTCACCTTTGGCATCAAGTTTCTCAATTTCCAAAGGCAGTAGGGGTATGTACTTTGTGGGTAATTATGTGATAAAAAGAATAAATAAATAATAAAAGAACCACTGACTATAATCCTCACAATAGCAGAGTTAAGAGAGAATTCAGAGACGTTTTAACCCATATGGATAAGCAAAGTAGAACTCAATTATATGATTTCCTTAACTACGTGAAAAAGGATGAAAATCAAAATGTTCTTGGTAACGTTAGAGACCTGCTTTTCTCCATTTTTCCTTTCAAAAAGTGTGAATGCTCCTTAGAACATGTAAATGCTCTTTCTTCATTTCTCGTAGTTACAGCGCATTCAAACCTTCCTTGAACTTTTGGTTCGATATGATGTTTATCATTCAAGTCAAGAGAGTCATACAACCTTAAAAAAGCTATTAACTTTTTAGCATTCACTGTTCCATAAAACCAGCGCAAACCAGTGGTAAATAAATGCTTTAGAACGTTCATAAATATCAAGAGTAGTGGTTAGTGTTAGCTAAAATTCATGCATTTGAAGTGAAAATGTATCATTCTAATATTGTTTAGTTTGACTTTATAAAAATAATCATTCTATTATTGTCAGGGGCAGTACATACAGATTCCCAAAGAAGCAGGGAACCATTAATAGCGTTGCTGGGTCAATGGACTAGTTTCATCTTAATCATTCCCTTTACGCTTCAGGAAGCATGAGCCCCCTCGTCCTGGACAAGGATACGAAGTCTTATACTAAGTCAGGAAATGCGAGCGTTTACCCATAGTCAACTAGTTAACCTGAGGATGCCAGAAAAGGGTGTCAGGCAAAGTTCCGTCCATAACTACGCTTGTCGTTCCAGCGGAGTGATTTGACCAGCAAATCACTGTCCAATAATTCTATAGGTGGTCCATTAGATTGTTCCAGCTGAGAGATTTAGCCAACTACTTGACTGGCCGCAGATAGGGGAGCCCTGTGTACGGAAGAGACGAAAAGACCCTTGTATTGGGAATTCGTGGCGCCATGTCCCAAGCCTTACCATGTTTGGAGCTCACTTCTTTCCTCCCACTCGTTCCAGCGTGGGGAAGGCAGCGAGCTAGATTGGTGGCCCCTGCGAGGGGATGGCGAGCTCCTACCTCTTCGCCGGCACCGCCGGGCCCTCCCTCCCAGATGCAGCTGCTGCCGGGGCCGCCGCTTCGGCGGCCGCCGTTCGTGCGGTTCTGCGGACCCGGCTCCCCTTCGCCCCCTGCCCCTCTCCTCTGCCTGCCTGCCTCGCTCCAGTATCTCAGGAATCACTTCATACTCGTCTCACGCGTCTGCCCAGCGTGCGACCAACCCCCTCCGCCGCTGCCGCCGATTCCGCGGATTCGGCAGCCTCCTCTCGGCAGCCCCAGCCATTCTCTGTTCTCTTCGTCTGTCTCGGTAATCTTCCTCCTATTTCTCTCTCTCTCTCCCTCTCTTCTTGCCCTTTCTGGAATCCTTCATTTCTTCTTAACGTGATCTAGGGAATATCTGCCGCAGCCCGGCGGCAGAGGGCGTTTTCAGCAGCCTGGTGACCAATAAGGGGCTGGACGCCCATTTCAAGATAGACTCCGCCGGCACCATCGGCTATCACGAGGTCTTCCGTCATCCTCTTCTTCGTGGTGGAGTTCCCCCTGGGAATCTGGGGTAGTGACAGCATTTTCATTGTGTGATTCCTTTCTTCTGTGTTCGTGTTGGAAGGGCGATCTGGCCGACCCGCGGATGAGGGCGGCATCGAAGAAACGGGGGATCGAGATAACGTCCATATCAAGGCCCATTCGGCCATCAGACTTCAAGGACTTTGATCTGATTCTGGCCATGGACTTGCAGAATAAAGGTGCTCAAAACCTTGAACTTTTTGGACACCCAGATAAAGGAACGGCAGCCGACGGTTCCTGTGAAAATCGTCAACACGCTGCTGCTAATCTGCATTCCTTCTTCCGTTCTGTGAACTGTCGAATAAAGCTCCTTCAACCATGCTCTCAGGTCTTGAACTCGTTAGAACTCCTGATCCCAGGTAGAACGAGCTCTATGGTTTCAAGCCTCGGTTAAACCACGCATTCCCCGTAGAAATCTGTGTGAACGACAGCAGGCGGGTCATCTATTTCCTCGAAGTCCTTCCTGATTTCAGGGTTCTGTCGCCAATAATCCTTCGGTTATCGGCTGATACATTGGTTACCCCTGTAAATTATCCTCTGAAATGACCTGTAAATAAGAAGTGGGCAATTTTGGGCCCCTGATTTCCCCTGGGAGGAATCATTCTTTTCTATGCTTTCCTCTCCAAGCCACTGTGGCCTGTCATCTCCAAGCCGCTGTCTATCACTTCATGAATTAAATCAGTATTATGCTGTAAGCGAGAAAAGTGGAATCCTGAGCCGTTGGATTCATCTGGGGATGCTCTCTTCTTTCTTCTTTCTTCTCCGCGTCTTCCCTCTTTTTCTGCCGTTCTGACTTTGATCTTGCGACTGCCAGATGATATATTGGCCAAGTACGAGCTATGGAGCTTCAAGGAACCACTCCCAGCGGATGCCCAGAGAAAGGTTGGTGAACAAATTTCTCAAATGTTTTTGCATCTTTGATGCACTTTCCTGGGTTGGCATCCTTTTTGTTCGAATTTTTTTGGTTCATGAACTCTGTGGCTTCTCCATTGAAATCTATGGAGTCTGATAGGATCCCTTGACTGGGGCCAAAATCGAGGTAGAAACAAGAGGGAAAACCCTCAAAAGAGATGAAGAAACATCATTAATATATATACACATATTTATATGCATGTATTATATATATAGAGAGAGAGAGAGTAGGGTTTCTGGAGAAGGACTAGAACCAGTTTGAGGACGAGTTCGAGACTGCCATCAGCTCTCCCGGATGACTTCTTCCACCAAAATGCCCACATTGAGGGCCCCAAAGGGTCCTTATACCCTACCCCTTTAATGGTCCCTGGCCCAACTATATCTTAACCTTCCTTTTCCGAACAGTGGTAATGGTATTGGGCCGACACAAACCATTTATTCTGACTCTTTTCAAATTCAATAAATTTTGGTTGATCATATATCTCACTATAGTTTTATGATTCAGAGTACCATTTCCTATTTGATCCTTTGAATTCCATATTCGTAGTTTGTTATTCTCCTATTTTTGAAATAACGGACTTACAGGGTCAGCTGCTTAACTACAGGGAAAGGCGAAAAATCGAAATGAAATAATGAATAAAACAAAATAAAATAAATTTTAAATCAATAAGTAAATAAATAAGTATAAGTAGAAGAATCCAGATCCCAAATGAACATATTCAAACTTGAAAAGGATCTTTCTTATTTTCAAAGAATGATGAACAAGGGGATTGAACAAGGAAGATCTCTTGTTCTTATTGTGAAATTATGATTTCATCCGCATATGTTTTGTAAATAATCTTCTCCTTTGATCACAATCAAAAATGAAAACGTGACTGAATTGATGTTAGTTACTCTTCAGGAATAAGAAAGATCCTTTGCTTATTCTCGAAGAGTAACAAGAGGGAAAACCTTCAGAAGAGATGACAAGGTCGCCTAGGTGGGTCTGACTTGGATAGAATGGTAGAAGAATTATATCTCAATCTCTAATAGGATCACAGAAGACGATCTGATTACCAAATGGGCCACGTCAGTGACGATCTGAGGGTCTCTCTTCTCTTAAATTGCCCATGTGGGACCCACAAAAAATCGCAGGAAGCTGGAAAAAAAAAAGAGAATGGGTAGAATACATTAAATCAGAAAACCAGGTGTCGCTGTTCTGGGACAAGGTTGACTACCGGAGTTGCTAAATTATGGCCGGGTAGTCACTGACCTGTTCTCATCTTTTGCTGTTGTTCTGAACAGGTTAAGCTGATCTGCTCCTACTGCACGAAACATAGGGAGACAGAAGTGCCGGATCCATACTATGGTGGCCCGCAAGGGTTCGAGAAGGTGAGATCTCTGCATGCGTATGCTTCACTTGAGAGAAATTCACCACCTTTTTGGGGGATCCTGTTCAACTGATGTGTGCTGGGTTCCCCGACTTCTCAATATTTGGACTTTATCAAGCAACTCAGATACGGGTGGCCATCAGATATGTATTCCCTCGGAATAGATGTAGTGAAACATCATCAAAACTAGTGGGGTATCAATAGGCTCGTTTGGGCATCAGATCAGACTCTTGCACTGGGAAAAGCTCATGAAATCTAGTCTGAATTTATTTTGTGTTTCTTTCTCTGCGTGTGGGGTAGGAGGCGTGTTAGAGAGAGAGCGAGAGAGAGAAACATTGGTCTTGTGTTTTCTGGCTGGATGTGATCAAAGCCAGGTAGTGGCCATGATTTTGTTTATTTGACAAGACTTTTGATTGCACCAACTTAATACTGTGGATTTTGCACAGGTTCTTGATTTACTTGAAGATGCTTGTGATTCATTACTCGACAGCATCTTGACGCAAAGTGGCCACATATCCAGTTCATAGATCCTATGGTTTGAGGTCTCTCTCTCTCTCTCTCTCTCTCTCTCTCTCTCTCTCTCTCTCTCTCTCTCTCTCTCTCTCTCTCTCTCTCTCTCTCTCTCTCCCTCTCCCTCCCTCCCTCCTTGGCAGATCATCAAAGGAGAAGATGCTCTATGATTCTCTATGGGGTATTATTCTCTCCTCTCCTTCCACCATTTATGGTTATTATTTTTTATCAATATTGACGGATCACAAAATGATCACAAAGATGATCTAATGGCGAAAAGGGTTATTTGAGTGATGATTTGTGGGTCCCTCTCTTCTCTTAAATGCCCCATTACACTCGAAATTGGTGATTATCTATGTTGCAAGTTCTCTATCTGTTCTAATATATTTGCAACATTAATTAAATCTAGATAATGTCTAAATTTCTCTACTATGACGATCTTTGTTAACATATTTGTGGTATTTTCTTCTATGTTAACCTTTTTTAGAAAGATATTTCTAGAGTTTATTAACTCACAAATCTTATGATACTACACATCAATATGTTTCAATTGTATATAATAAGCTTAATTTTTTGCTGAGTAAATGATACTTTAATTATTACAATGTATAGTAATTTTATCTTGTGAGATCATAAGTTCACTCAACAACTTTTTCAATCACAAGATCTCTTTGATTAATTTAATAGTTGTCATATATTTTGTCTCAATTATAGATCGTGCAACATTAGATTGAAGTGTAGATTTCTAACTCAAAAGTCCACCCATCATAGTGAAAACATAATTTATCATAAATTTTTGATGATCTAAATTTTCAACAAAATTTGTATCAATAATAGAATTTAAGTTTTGTTTGTCAAAGAGAATTTTCAAATCAAGAGAACTTTTTAGATATTAAAGAATCTATTTTACTCATTTCTTGGATTATTTATAAACTTACTCACAAGTCTTATTATATGGGTAATATTTGACTTTCGTTCAAATCATAGCATATATGAGATAGTCAATTGTCCTAACATAGAAAAATTATTTTACTCATATAATAGAATTTTTGATAAAAAATTTACATCATAATTTTTTGATAAATTTTTATAAATAATAGAGTTTTACTCATATAATATTTTACATCATAAATTTTTGATGATCTAAATTTTCAACAAAATTTGTATCAATAATAGAAATAAAGTTTTGTTTGTCAAAGAGAATTTTCAAATCAAGAGAACTTTTTAGATATTAAAGAATCTATTTTACTCATTTCTTAGATTATTTATAAACTTACTCACAAGTCTTATTATATGGGTAATATTTGACTTTTGTTCAAATCATAGCATATATGAGAGAGTCAATTGTACTAACATAGAAAATTTATTTTATCTCAACATTCTCTCATTAAATGTCAAACACACATTAGAGGAATATTGACTGCTTACATTATCTATGTCAAATAGATCTACCACTTTTGAGAGAGAACATTTTTAAGTCAACAATAGTTGACCTCTCTCTTGATCTCTATAGATCTTTGTAAGATCTTTTTTACTATATTAAAATTTTTGATGTTAAAATTCTTACAATCTGATGTAAGTTTTTCATAATAATAAATATTTTGTTAATATAGAGTATCAAAATAATTCAAGAATTATCATAAAAAATTCTCATATAAACACAATAATCAAACCCGCACTTGAGATAGTCAATTTGCATCATATAAGAGTCAAATTTTTTATATCATTATCTCAATAACTATTTTAACTCATAAAGTAACTTTCTCAATTGACAAATAAAATGTTTTGATCCCTACACAACAAAGCTCTCAGGCTTTTACATATAAATCATTTCCTCCAAATCTTCATAAAGAAATATTATGTTCACATATAGTTACTGTAACTCCATATTTTTATGTGCAATAATAGTTAATTCTAGTTGAATAGATGTGTATTTCACAACATACGAAAAGATTTCATTAAAATTGATTATTTTACTTATGTGTAAAATCTTTTACAACGAGTCTTATTTTGTACTTTGGCTAATCACAATCAACCACTAGAACCTTCTTCTAATAAATTCACTTACAACCAATGGGTCACTTCCTTATAATTAGATTAACCAAGTCCCATGTGTGGTTCTTGTTCAAAGATACTCGTTCTTCAGAGATTGTCTATAGTCAATTTGTTTTTTAAGACAACTAATCACTTCCGAATAAGACATTAGCTTATTATGGCCTACAAACAAAGTGAAAACAACATAGTCATTTACACAAGCAAGAGGCCTCATCTCACACATGCCTCATCTAGTAGTAATACAATTATAAACATTTAATGAGTTTTCAACTCGATCTTCACCTCTCACTAAATTGAGTGGACACTTCACTATCTCCACCTCCACCCACATTATGTATGCAATACGAGTATCATTAGATTTTTAATCATCTACTCTTGAGAAAATAATTTCAACATATGATCTTCATAAAATATCACATCCTTACTAAAAATAATCTTCTTCGCTCAAAGTCAATACCTCTTCATGTCATTACTATAGTCCAAATATATGAAAAGAGAGAAAGAGAGAGGAGTAAATCTCACGTGAGATGGAGAGAGAGAAAGGTCTTATGAGAGAGAGAAGAGAGAGGAGAAAATCTTACGTGAGATAGAGAGAGATAGAAAGAAAGAGAAGAAGATCGATTGAGAGAGAGAGAGAGAAACAAGACAATTATAAAGAAAGAGAAATACAGTCAATAGATGAAGGAGTTTCGTTTCATCAGTGACAACTCCATATCTAAGTATGCTCTAAAGAGCTACATGCTTGGGATGTCGTTCTTGTCTATAGATATTGCAAATGGATGAGCTTTCGACTTTTCGTAAGGCACCTCAAGATCTCCTCTCACTTGCTACCCAATGTAGAATGAGTTGAAAGTGTCGATGAACTCGTTCACCTCACCAATACATACATGTTAGGTTGTTGATTGTCAGTCCAATACTATTGCCGATCTTTTCTAGACATTATCTCTTGAAGAAAGTCAAGGACTTCTTTTCTTTTAGGGCTTTTGAATCCCATGAACTCAAAGAACTCAAGGACCTTCTCATGTGAACCCTGATATATGATCTTCCCCTCTAACAACAAGATAATGTCATCGAAAAGGTCAAAGGTCTCATGTGCTGACTAAAGAAGGGAGATAACCATGGTTGCATCTAATGTGTGAACAACCTATCTCAAAGGTGGTGGAGGTGTCCAAGCCATTAGATATCTCATCAATAAATAGAGCTCTTACTGGTTCAACCAACATCTCTCTTGCAGGTAGGGGGATTGGGCAGTGGCATTGTATGGTCATAAAATAACTGTCTACAACTCGAACTAGAAAGGAAGTGGTTCTATAGTAAGAATTAGCTCATGTTTGAGTCATTGACCGATCCAACCTTAACCCATTTGATATAAAAACAAATATGGAACAATTCTAACTTGGAAAATAGGTTTAGGAATAATCGAATGAAAGGTATGCTTCTAAGGTACATACTAATAGGCAGGTTGGACTCTTCCCATGTTCAAGCCTAGTGTCACTATGAGGAGTGTCACACCAGGCCTTAAGAAAATTGAAAGAAGTGGTCTAAACTCCTTAACTTAGATTTAATTGGAGAGAAATGATTAGAAATTATACATGTCAAGAAAGGGTTTAATCAGTTTTGTGGATTTTCAATAGTATTTCAGAAGCAACTTTACATATTTTTGTTACCTTTGTAAAACACATATAAGAACTACTGCTCTTTTCATCGTGCACAGTAGTACTACATGAGATGATAACCTTTGTATTGCTTCACTTTTCTCTTGGAAGCTCTCAAGAAAGAGAAGAAGAGGTCAAGACCTAGCAAAGGGAGGTCGGTCCCAATTATGCTGGCCGTCAGACTGGACAGAAAATGATAGGGAAGTCTAGACTTGGGTTTGTTGAATGGTCGAATGTTGGGAAATGTAGTTACAGGTTTTGTAGCCTGCTAGCACAGTGAAAAGTAGCATAGGCTCTAGAGCCAGAAGGTTGTGGCAACTAATAAACATTTTATTATGAATATCTCCACAAATTGTGATCCTCAACAATATCATCAAGCAGTCAAATTTTGTCACTGGTCCAAGACAATGATAGATGAATTAAATGTAATGCTTTAAATCATATATGGTCAGTTGTACTTTTACCTCAAAATAAAAGTTCTATTAGCTATTGTTGGGTTTACAAAACTAAATATCATTTGAATGGATATATTGGGAGAAATAAAGCTCAATTAGTTGCCAAAGGCTATGCTCAATAAACTACTATTATACTTTTGTTAGCTTTTGCGGTTATGCAACATCGACATCCCATCTAACTTTATGTGAATAATACTTTTCTTCATGTAGATTTGTTAGCAGAAGCCTATATGAATTTGACTATTGGTTTTCATGTCACATAACAACAATCTAATCAACATGGCAAGTTTGTTTGCAAGTTACATAAATCTCTTTATGGTCTTAAATAATCATCTCACCGGTTGTATTCTAACTTTCTACCTCTCTTACTGATTTTAGGTTTATTTAATCCAAATCAGATTATTCTCTTTTCACAAAGGGTCATGATAGCTCATTAGTGGCATTAGTTTTGCATATTGATGACATACTTATTATCAGTCCCAATATGTCTCTTATTGATGAGTTCAATTTTTTTCTTCACACTCATCTTCATTTAAAGGATCTTGGTACCTTATGATATTTTTTGGGACTAAACATTGCACCATCCTCCTTTGACATTATTTTATCTTAGCGTCATTATACTTTACGACTTCTTGAAGAGACTGGTTCTCTTGGATCTAAACCTACATCTACACCAATGGATCCTAAAGTAAAACTATATTAATGATAGAGACTTGATTGTAGGCCCATCTCAATATCATCGCTTGATTAGACGAATTTCATATTTGACATTGTCTTATCTTGATATTTACTTTTCTGTACAGAAAGTGAGTCAATTTATGACAACTGTGTCACCCCCACTTATTTGTTGTATATCATCTTCTTTGTCATTTCAGATCAAAGTATTTTTTGATGTTTATTGGATTTTGTATACTTCCTAGTGACTTGGTTACAACACCTATTGAAGGACTTTTACATATCATCATCACTTCATTCACTCTTATTTTGTGATAATCAAGTTGTTCTTCAAATAGCCTCAAATCTTACATTTCATGAATGTACGAAACATATTGAAATAGATTGTCACTTTGTTCTTGACAAGATAGCTAATAGAAGTAGACTGTCAAGCTCAACATCAACTTGTTGATATTCTAACCAAACCTCTTTCTCATACTTAACTTGTACCCATATTATCTAAGAAGGCTGTCAAAAATATTACAGTCCATCTTAAGGGTGGTGTATTAGGAGTATTACATGTGTCTAGAAACACGTCAGATATAAATACTTGTAGTACTCCTCTTCTTGAATACGAATCACTCTACTCTCTTGGTTTCTCTCTCCTCATTCTCTTCGACTCCTCTGCCTGCTTCTGTGGGTTCTATCCACATCTATTTTCAGATCTAACACCGATGATGCACCACATGATCAATATTTTTGTCTGAAGATGAACGCAGGCGAACCAAGCCATCAAGAGAAACATGCACCAGTGATTAGAATGTTAATCAAAGTGCTCAATCGTGGTTTAACATGGCATCATCGGCAATGAGTTTATTGGGCGACCGTCTCTTGACGATTGAACATCGAAGCTGGGCCTCGGCCTGTGATGATCCACATTTGACCGAAGGCCAAAATCCGAGGCCCAGGGAAACCGCACCGGGCCGGCCCAAGGACTTCCCCGCTACGGGAGCGAGTCGACTCGCGATTCCCACCGGTCCAGTTGCCTCCCCAAACTCGGTCCTCTCCAAACTCTGGGGCTGCGCTCCCGCTGGCTGCTAGCTCTCCCTCTCCCATTCTCACCGCCGCCGCAGCCCCGGGCAGCGTACTGAGGACCGTCGTCTCTCCTTCGAGCCGACCCGTAGAGCTCGCCAGGAAGGGCTGGGGGAAGGAGGACGACCGGAAGAGAAGAGGGAGGTAGCCTGACTGATGGAGGAGCATGCGAACGGGAAAGGTGGTTCGTCCGAGGCCACGGTGGCGGCAACGGAGGAAGAGGAGATCGTTATCGGTCCCGGTCCGGCCCCACGCGCCCGCCTCAAGCGCCCCCTACAGTTCGAGCAGGCCTACCTCGACACTCTCCCCTGCGCCCACATGTGAGTAGCATCTGCCACTTCCAGGATCTAACCCGTGTCCGATAACTTCTCAACCCTCCCCCCAGAAGTACGCTCCATTGGCAAGCATTGTGCCGGAACGATTGTACTCTTCTGTTCGAAGAAAGGGCAGAAGAGATCTCCTCGCATTTCCTGATTTAGGTATAGGCATTTGGTATCAGCGCCCAGGAGGAAAAGGGTTTTTCTGCCTTCTTGAACCATCAAGGGAACAACTTTTCCTTGTCCCGTGCAGCTAAAGTTAGTCCATTTACCCGGCAACGCCGTCAGTATTGCTTCTGTTCTTCCCGGGGGGGGTGGACAGGATTGAATGACATCGTATGTGAATAATTTCTGTTCTCGGGGACTAGCACACCCGCACAGTCCTTATCAGCTTGACATCCTCTAGTGTGATTATCACCTGACAATTCTCTCAGTTATTACATTTCATCCTGTTTTGATGATCTTTGCGCCTGTGACACCCCGCAGGTATGAGAAAAGTTACATGCATCGTGATGTGGTCACGCATGTTGCAGTGTCGCCGGCAGATTTCTTCATAACAGGCAGTCTTGATGGTGCGCATCGTCAAGCTCTATTCATGATTAATTAAATGACAGCTGCCCTTCTACTCCCGTTTGAGTCAACCGGAATTACACACATACTCCGCTGCATTTTGTTCTCATTATAAAATGTGATAGTGCCTCCGCATGAGTCAGCTTGAGTTGCTATCCGGGCATGTCTCGAATGGATTTCCTCGGCTGAATGGAAACCAAGAATCTATTCGAGACTGTGCCTTAAATAGATGGAATTTACATCCCGTCTCTTTAACTTGCTCGTCAAAGCTAGTCACTACTGTTTAATCTCTTAGATTGTTAGTGGAATATTGACTCTGAATTGTGTACCCATTTGCCTTATCGATTTTTCAATTTTTTTCTCGTATTTTTTTTAGTTTTTTTATTTAGGACAGTGCCCCATTGAAAGCGAGAAGTTAATTCTATGGCGATACATAGGAACATACTTCACGATTTAGCTGTTGATTTGGCACCAGAATTTTTGCACATGTATGTAGAGTGGGATTTGAGCTCCAGATCATGGATTGTGCCATCCCTCGTGTGTTTGCCGAAGACATGACAGGTTGATTTCAACGTGAAAGGAAATGTTTTAAAATAATCCCCAAACGAAATAGGAAATTAATTTCTGTGGTTATTTTTTTTGCGAGTATACGCTTCTTTTTGGCTACTTGGGTTTGAGTAAGATTACCTTCTTCTTTGACATGCATCAGAGCTTTACGTTTCCCTCTCATTTGTGTTAATTTGGCTGCTCTGTATCATTGATTAGTCAGCATATTGCACCTTGGAATATACGAGTTTAATGATGCAGTTCTGCATATGAATATATTTCACTCATTTAGAATCGATTTTCTGCTGGACTATCGAATTTCCTTGTAATATAATTCCATTTTTAAATTCCTTTTATCTTGCACAGGTCATTTGAAATTTTGGAAGAAGAAGCCCATTGGCATCGAGTTTGCAAAACATTTCAGATCTCATTTAGGTCCCATTGAAGGATTGGCTGTGAGTAAATGCTCCTTCTTTTATCCTGAATCTTCTCTCAAAGTCCGTGTTTCTTGTCCGCTTCCAATTCTGCAAGTCCAGTCATCTTGTCTCATAACTTTCCTCCTTCTCATTGATATTTTCTCCCCCCACCCATGGAAGCATGATCGCATTACTTCGCATATCTTTTCTGATTGGTTTCTTTGGTTGTGCATTTTTTTCTTTCCGCGGAGGATTGCATTTCCTCTAAATTGGAACATAATTTGTTGGCGGGTTTGTTAACTTTCCCCATGTTGATATAGCTACTACATGGTGGTTTTGGTTGAGAGGACGAAATGTTTTATAAGATGATGGCCAGCTCCAGAAGCGAACATGGGGCGCAAATTAGACTCGTTAACATCGTTGATATTTTACTCTGACATTGGAAGAAAAAACATTCTTAATCTGCGGGGATTGCGAGGGGGATTGGACTGGAGGATGACTTGCCATAGCTTTTGAGTGAGGATGGTGACGATGGTCCGCACCCATCTCCCATAATAAAACTAGTTTGTGATCTGTTGATAAGGGGATCAAGATGTTCGGCATATATGACCAACAATCACATTTCAACACATTTCAACAATCACAAAGGGATCCTTGTGGCCGAGCATATTTAAGCTGGCAAAGAAAGGAGATAATGTCAGATTAACGAAAATTAGCAGAGTCTGCATCTTCTTCAGAGGGAGGATGCTAAACATGGGAGAATGCGTTCATTTTAGAGGGTGGTGGCCTCCTCTCCATAGCTGTGCAGAAATTGAATTCAAGAGGTTCATCAACGTAGAGTAAGATTGTAAATGGAGGGAGTTCCCACGGAGTATTTCTGACTTTAACATCGGATGTCATTCTACTTCAGACTCAACTTGTGATTTTGCTATGAAACATTTTTATTGCCGGGCTATGGTGCCACACTGTTTATGTCTGGGAGAATGGGCATCCATTTGACGGTGGACAGCAGCGTGGCAGTCTATGTGGCGTGCCACGTTGAGATATCTTGCTACTTGTGGCCTTCTTTGCCAGTCAAATGGGTGCCATTTTCTCATAAATATTTTATAAGTAACGCTAAATTCCTGGGAATAAGTTTCGCTGCTAAATCATGAACTGGGCCATTTTGTTTACGTTTTCTTCTCCATGCACTCCCATAGCCTTACCTAGACATCTCTTGGAGCATTCCCCTCTTACTTTTCTGCTGTTAAGATTGTCTCAGTCTTTTGTTATAGGTTGCCCAAATCTTCTCCTCCAATGCACAGTTTTTCTCCCGTATTAATTGCCCAAGGCTTCATGGCTATGCAGCTCTTCTGCCGAATCTCTAGGAGTAGAGTCTTCTTCTTCTAAGTATAATGATTTGATGGCCCATTACATGTAAAGTTCATTTGGCCGCCGCACGAGTGGATATCATCCCTGATGCTGTTTAGGAATGCAGGTCAGTGCTGATGGGTTGCTCTGCTGTACAATTTCAAACGATCGTTCTGTGAAGATATACGATGTTGTTAACTATGACATGATGGTGATGATGCGTCTGCCATTTATCGCGGGAGCCGTTGAATGGGTTTTCAAGCACGGAGATGCCAAGGCTAAACTTGCCGTCAGTGATCGAAATTCCCCTTTCGTTCACGTATATGATGCGCGGTCAGGGTCAAATGAGCCAATAATTTCAAAGAAGGTTTAGTTACTTTCATGAAATATCTTTCAACCATCTTGTATGGTGAACTAGCTGTCATTTTCATCGTTTTGCTCGGCTACTCTTCTTCTTCTTCACAGGTACACTTATGTCCAATAAAGCATATGAAGTACAACCACGTGTATGACACCGTTATATCAGCAGATGTCAAGGGAGTCCTGGAGTACTGGTCGCCTTCCACACTGTCATTCCCAGAAGATGGGTATGTTTTCCTTTATTTTTTTCTGTCATTTTATGGTGATTTTTTTATATCTATGTTTCGAGCATCCCCCCTGTGAAGCATCGCTTTTTACCCAGGAATAATATTGATCTTACCCAGGAAGAACCCTTTTTTTTCTTTTCTTTTCTTTTTTTTTTGCTTGCATACTCCTGACGAGGCTAATTTCCCTAATTAATAATTCTCTCGCGTGTATTTTACGGGCTCCTGAAAATGATGTGTGAGCATGTCATGGTCTGATGCATGTGCCATCTATCTAGTAAGGTGCTTTCATCTTCTTCGACCTTTGATTATTTATGCGCAAAGCTAGATCATGATCCAGCATGGTTAATAATGTATGAAACGTTGCTGCTCCGATTTCTTGAACTTGGCCCTGCGCCAGTAGCTCTGAATTACTGTCAGGAAAGGAATCCACAGCTGATCCCGGCAGTGCATCTGCTCCCCGGGAGCTTGGAAACTGTTCTTTTACATGGGTTAATGATCTTGAGGCACGAACGTGTAGCTCCATTTTTCTTCAGGAGGCCTGCTTGATTCCAGCAGGATTGTTCTCTGTGCAGGGTCCGCTTCAGGCTGAAGACAGACACGAACCTCTTCGACATCGCCAGGTGCAAGACGACTGTGTCGGCTCTTGAGGTAGGAGGCACCTTCCTTCCTTATCATCTGCCCTCGATCATGAAACGGCACGCCTTCTTTCTGGTGAGAGAATCGACTGCGATCGCCGTTCTTCTCATTGCTAACACCGCTCCAACTCTCTCTGTTTCCTTTCGGCGTGGCTTCTCAGGTCAGCCCAGATGGAAGCCAGTTCGCTGTCACCTCGCCCGACCGTAGAGTGCGGGTCTTCTGGTATCAAACGGGCAAACTCAGGCGAGTGTACGACGAGTCGCTGGAGGTAGGCCGATCTCTCCCGAGACGATGAATCTTCTCTCCGGCATGGGACCAATCTCTGGGTAAGAAACTTCTGCGCTGTGCAGGTGGCGCAGGATCTGCAACGAAGTGATGCGCCGATGTACCGGCTCGAAGCGATCGACTTTGGGCGGAGGATGGCTGTCGAGAAGGAGATAGAGAAGACCGAGGACGCCCCACCGCCGAATGCCGTGTTTGATGACAGCTCCAATTTCCTTATATATGCTACGTTGTTGGGTATCAAGGTAGGTTCTTTGTCAGTTCTTCGATCCGCCCAGGAGGCGGTTCTTGCAGGAAGGAGCCTGCGAGGCAGCTCTGGATGAAATTCCTCGCAGATTCGTCTTCTACATAACCTCGAGGTCACTCCTCCCTCCATCTGCTCGCAGACTGTGAACCTGCACACGAACAAGGTCGCTCGCATCCTCGGGAAGGTGGAGAACAACGACAGGTTCCTGAGGATCGCTCTGTACCAGGGCGACAGGGGCGGCAAGAAGGTGCGGAGGATCCCCATGGCGGCGGCGAACGTGAACGAAAGCAAGGAGCCCCTCAGCGACCCAACTCTGCTCTGTTGCGCCTTCAAGAAGCACCGGATTTATCTGTTCAGGTACTCCACCGGATTAGATCAAGTGATCGAGGGCAACCAAAAAAAACAAAAAAAAATTCTTTTGACTCTCTGAGCAGTCGCAGGGAGCCGGAGGAGGCCGAGGACGCCACACAGGGGAGAGACGTCTTCAACGAGAAGCCGCCGCCCGAGGAGCTCCTCGCCGTGTCCGAGCTGGGAAAGACGGCCACCTCATCTCTCCCCGACAGCGTGGTAAGCAGCCTTCTTCCTTCCTCCTTCCTCCTCTTTTCGAGTTTTTCTGTTTTAATAGTGGGCAAGCGTGGAGCTTCCTTGCTTTTTTTTCTGCGACTGTGGGCAGATCCTGAACACGTCGATGGGGGATGTGCACCTGAGGCTGTACCCCGACGAGTGCCCGAAGACGGTAGAGAACTTCACCACGCACTGCCGCAACGGCTACTACGATAACCTCATCTTCCACCGGGTGATCAGGGGCTTCATGGTCCAGACGGGGGACCCCCTCGGCGACGGCACCGGCGGCCAGTCCATCTGGGGCCGCGAGTTCGAGGACGAGTTCCACAAGAGGTAGTGTTTCTTCTTCTTCTTCTGCTGCTGCTGCTTCTTCTTACCATCTTTCCCTCTCTGTCTCTGTCTGTTCCTTTCTCTCTCTACTGTGGGTGGGCAGCCTGAGGCACGACCGGCCGTTCACGCTGTCGATGGCGAACGCGGGGCCGAACACGAACGGGTCGCAGTTCTTCATTACGACGGTGGCGACGCCATGGCTGGACAACAAGCACACCGTCTTCGGGAGGGTCGTCAAGGGGATGGACGTCGTTCACGTAGGCATCCTCCTCCCTCCCAGTAGAGATTGATACATAAGACCATCCATCTGGCCCCTGGTCTCACCGTTCGTCGTCCTTTCTCTCTCTATCTCTTTGTTCCTTTGTTTCTTTTTCCCTCTCCCGCAGGCGATAGAGAAGGTGAAGACCGACAAGAACGACAGGCCATTCCAGGACGTGAAGATCCTCAATGTCACCGTCCCAAAGTGAGCCGGAATCGTCGGGGCTTGGAGCTTCTCCTCCTCCTGTTCATCCACAGTAGAGAGAGAGAGAGAGAGATAGACCAGTGCCCCGCTCTGTTACTGCTCTCAAAGGTGATACTTTCTTCTCGAAGCGGAGATGGGGGACGAGAGAGATTTTTCCTTGTATAGAAATTATTTCTGGTTTTAGAACATAGTCAAGCCAATTAGAAAATAAAAAATAGCCACGTAAGCCAAGGCCCCTTCCCCCATTGGCCAGACGGCAACTACTCCCATGTGTGTGGACGGGACTGCCCCTGCCGGAGGGTCGGTATCGAATGCACCGAGTCACCTTTCCACGGCGAAGTCCTTGGTGGTATTTTCGTAAACAATGAGCAACTGAGGGTAAAATGGGAGTTGCGATTTAATTATCTGACGATTGTTATGTTGACCTGTGAGGGCTCCGTCTGGTTCGGTCGCTCACGTCTCGATTGGCCCGCTACCACACATACTCTCTTCAGGAAGATTCCACGTGATGGAAGGATGAAATGTTGCCACGTGGCGTTTTGATGGCCAATTCGATTGATCAGTCCGTTGTCTCCTACGGCTCTCCCCCGTGGCCCGATAAATACGCCGTCGTCCCCCCGCCCCAACCCTTCGGACAGATAGATACGCGGTTGTTGATCGTCCTCTTCCTCTCCGGCGATCTCGGGTTGAGCTAGCTATGGCGGAGAAGCACTTCAAGTACGTGATCGTCGGCGGCGGTGTCGCGGCTGTGAGTTCCCCACATCTCGGTTTCTCCTCCAACTCCGTTGCTTGTGATTGCTGACGGATCAGATCCCCCCGTGCGGTCGGATTACAGCTTTGGCTCTGGTGATGATTAGCCATCACACTTGTTCCTGTCCCTTGTGGGGCGTACATTGTTTCTGTTAAGAGAAATGTGAACGGATCTCCATAGATTGCGGTTTCTCTGCTGTCCTTCTCCTTCGCCGCCCTCTTACTTTTGTCATCCTTGCTGGCATTTTTTCGGCGGAGGATTACTGAGATATGTAGCCTCTCTATAGTCGCACGTCAGACTCTTGCTTTTTACGTTTGATCGTGCTTGACAGGGATATGCCGCAAGGGAATTCGCTAGACTCGGTGTCAATCCTGGTGAATTGGCCATCATCTCCAAGGAGGCGGTACGCCGTCAATTTCTATTCAGAAGAGTTTCTTTCTCGTTTCAGTTTATATATATTATTGATCGACTTGTTATTCCTTGAGCGTCACACCACTTTGAATCAATTTTGAGGATAATTAGGTCTGGTACAGATAAGGGACTTCTCCTACCTTTCAATGTATGCCACGATGTCACTAAAATTGATTTGAATTTATTTGACATATACACCGGTAGATACTGATGAAAACTGTGAACAATTCCTCGTGCATCATAGACAATTTATTTGGCATATACACCGGCTTTCCCCTTGTTTCACATTGTTAGACTGCAGTCATAGATACTAGCATGTATATACATCTAGTTCTGTAAACTGATGTGGTGTTAATTACATTCAGGTTGCTCCTTATGAACGTCCAGCACTCAGCAAGGCCTATCTGTTTCCCCAAGGTGAGTTGTGAACTTAACTTCAGTGCTTCTGAAAATTAGTTGCTGGGGCATATGCTGATTTCTTAAGGACGATATAGTAATTTTCAGCCTCACCTATTTAGCATCCGAAGGCATGCTTTTCCTGGATAGCTTTTGGAGGGGTAGAGAAATTCTGAGCGTTAATATCTCCATACTCAATCACAAATGCGTTGCATTTGTAATGGGTACACTTGCTTGCAAGGTGCGACATGAACAGATCCAAAGATTACGCTTCACACTGATTTTCTTTTGGTCTTTTCAGTCCAAGGTACTCATGTTTTCTAAGAAATACCTTGAATTTATGTCCATTGGGAGATTTCTCTTTGGCACTGCATTTGTACATACGTCGGTTTTTTAAAGTAGCATAAAATGTCAAACCATTCTTTAAATTTTTTTTGCCCACCGGCTTGTCCGAAACGCTCTCTTCAAGACTCAACCATAGTATCCTTAGAGGTCTCTATTCATATCAATACCTCATTTTGGTATGCATTAATGTCTTGTGGCTTGTCCTCACTGTAATATCCACATCCTGTAGCATCATTTTGTAAGTATTCGTAATACTTGTGTCGTGAGCCCTATCCTACCGTCAGTACTTCTTATCAAAGCTAGTAGGAAGAAGAATTATAATCATAATTTTTCGTTATTCATGAAATACGATATTCGTAGTATGCCACATCACGAGGTTGTCTTTGTGCATCCTTGAATTAGGGTAACATCATCAACGCTTTTTTTCTGCTTTTCAACCTACAGTACCATTTATAACTTGTTGAATTTTATGCATATGCTTCTCTATAATGGGATTATCTCAACAATTTCTCAGGATCTGCAAGACTCCCAGGATTTCATGTCTGTGTTGGGAGCGGTGGTGAGAGACTGCTGCCAGAATGGTATACCGAAAAAGGTATTCAAATGTGTCTCCCCACATAGTTCAAAGTCGTGTTCTATGTGATAATTATGTACCTATATGAAAAGGCTTAGTTCCCAGTGTATTCGTGAAAGTTCTGCTGCCAGAAATTTTTTTGAAGGACGGCTATGATCATTTACACTCTTTATTTAGATAATACAAGGTGGAAAAAAATTTAAGACAGATTGATGGAGAGGTTTTCCATAACGTGTCCGTACTGTTGCCTTTCACAAAATGCGTTAGAACTGATCCATGAAACGAGAAGCTCTTACCTCAATAAGATTGCTTGTCTGGAGATGCCATCAATACACTATCTCTTTCTTTGATCATTATTTAGCATCTTCCTTGCAGTTTTTTTTCTCCTAAGACTTGGGTCAGAAGCTAACTCCTGATGTATAGCTTCAATTGTGAAGTAGCTCACATTACATGTCTTTATGCGAACTTAATCGTAAATCTTGCGATTTCAGGTATTGAGCTCATCCTGAGTACCGAAATTGTAAAGGCAGATCTTGCTTCCAAGGCTCTGGTCAGTTCTTCTGGGGAAATCTTCAAGTACGATACTTTGATCATCGCAACAGGCTCAACAGTATGTCTTCAGAACCGACTACTTCTTTTGGACTTCTTCCATTCATCAAACTCTTCACCGGCGCTGTTCTGTTCCACATGATTTGAGCGATTGACTGATGGCAGCATGGACGATCACACTCTTGAAAAAATAATCTCGCAGGAACTAGTTTTTTAATTAATATGACCCGCCTGTTTGTATACAGTTTCCTTGCTCAGTTGTCTGACTCTCTCTCTCTCTCTCTCTCTCTCTCTCAAATATCTATCTTTCTCGCAGGTCATTAAATTGTCTGATTTCGGTGTTAAAGGAGCAGATGCTAAAGGCATATTCTACCTGAGAGAAATCGATGATGCTGACCAGCTTGTGGAAGCAATTCAGGCAAAGAAAGGGGGCAAAGCTGTGATCGTTGGAGGAGGTTACATTGGTCTCGAGCTTGGTGCCACCCTTCAAATTAACGATCTTGATGTAACCATGGTTTACCCCGAACCTTGGTGCAGTAAGTGTCTTAGATCATCTCTAAGAGACTTCGTAACTCTGATGGGTCACCAAAATCTGTTCGCTTTATTCTCTTCCTTGACTCGCTATTCATGCAATTTATTTCATCAACTAGTATAGGGAGAGAACAGTTGACTACATTCTGCGGTAGATATTCTAACTCCTGACTTATTTTCCTCCCTCAGTGCCCCGCCTGTTCACTTCTGGAATTGCTGCCTTCTACGAGGGATACTACGCGAACAAGGGAATCAAAATCGTGAAGGGTACAGTTGCTGTCGGATTTGATTCCGATTCAAACGGCGAGGCGAGTTTGAACCACTTCACTTCACTCGATAGTTTTCTATACAGAAGAATGTGAAGGAAAAAAAAATCATACTACCCTCATGATGTCGCTTACTAATCTGGATGGGTTCTTCTTCAGGTGACAGCAGTGAATCTGAAGGATGGAAGAACACTGGAAGCCGACGTCGTTGTGGTCGGCGTCGGCGGGAGGCCATTGACCACTCTCTTCAAAGGCCAGGTCGATGAGGAGAAAGGAGGGATCAAGGTTAGAGACGACTCTCGCCCTCATGATGCATGATGCTTCCCTAAGAACTCCCTCCCTTCCTCCCTGTAAATCAACACCTCTTTGCTCGCAGACGGACGCCTTCTTCAAAACCAGCGTCCCCGACGTGTACGCCGTCGGAGACGTCGCCACCTTCCCTCTGAAGCTGTACAGCGAGCTCAGGAGGGTGGAGCACGTTGACCATGCCAGAAAATCTGCCGAGCAAGCCGTCAAGGTACACATCCCTCTCACTCTCTCACTCTCTCACTCTCTCTAGATATATATATATATTCTCCTTTGCTCAACAGCACATCAATATATGGCTGCATCTCCCAATGTGATGTCTTGTCTACATCATCTTATATGATTCTACGTGTTTGGGTGTGGCAGGCGATCAAGGCGAGCGAGGGAGTGGGCTCGGTGGAGGAGTACGACTATCTCCCCTACTTCTACTCGCGGGCGTTCAACCTGTCGTGGCAGTTCTACGGGGACAACGTGGGGGAGACGGTGCTGTTCGGGGACACCGACCCGGCGTCGGCGAAGCCCAAGTTTGGCTCCTACTGGATCAAGGACGGGAGGGTGGTCGGCGCCTTCCTGGAGGCCGGCACCCCGGAGGAGAACCAGGCCATCGCCAGGGTTGCCCGCCTGCAGCCCCCCGTCGACAGCCTCGACCAGCTCGCCGCCGATGGCCTCGCCTTTGCCAGCAAGATCTGATCGCCTTCGCCCGCCCACAATAAAACAGCGCCCACGACACTTCTTGGTACGCAACTGCTCTCTGATGAACCTTCTCTGTTAATTCTGGAACTATCTGCTTAAGGACTGAGGAATTACCCATCTCCCTCCAGCCTCTTCCTGCTGCCTTCCGGTGTGCCTTGTTTAACTTCTAATCTTGAGTAGAACCCTCGTGAATTCGTTAACAAAGGGAAGGAAACCCCAGAATGAGGGACCAGGAAAGAAGCCCAAATTAGATGAATCATCTCTAGCAGTTAGACACAGCCCAAGTTGTGTGGAGTATTTAATATTATTTGAATCCAGAAGGGTTTGCAAGGTGTGGGCCTTAGTGCTACACTATCTCCACGAACTATCTGCTTAAGGACTAGTAATATGTAGTGCTCCCTTAAAAGAGCAATTTAGATTTGATAGTGTTTTAATATTGATTTAAATTATACGTGAATAAATTCAAAACAAACTAAAAATGAAAAAAGATGTAGAATAAAATATGTTTTTAACACATTTATGATGGATTTTGTTATGAGCTAGATCAAGTAATAAGGCATCTCATGCTTACAGTCCATTCTTCATATTCACAAAACTTTAGGTCCACAAGAGTAGTACTATTTTCAAGTGTTAGATTGACGAACTATATAAGTCTCTCCTCTTTCAAAAGAACATACCAAAAAGTCTTTATGTTGGTGTAAATAATATTCATAAATATCCATCACACTGAAATTGAAAGATATATTCATTTTCTTTGGCAAATCAATAATGTGGGCATTATTGTTAATCTTTTGAACCACTTTCAATGGCATAATTCTTTGTCATCAACTTATTAGTAGTACTAGATTGGAATCTTCTTTCCACAAGTACTCCATAACCGAATCACCTACTTCAAAAGTATCTCCTCTTTTTCTTATCAACTATTTATTTATAATTATTTTAATTAGTTGAGAGATGATTCTTCACACTTTCATGTCGTTTGCTTTAAAATAATCTTATATCTTATTGGCTGCAATGTTTGTTTCTATCTGCTTTGTTAAATGTGTCAAATTTAGAAGAAATTTTCCAAAAAAATAATAAACAAAATAAAATTGAGATTGATTAGTAGAGTGTTTGTTCATTAAGTTACAATGAAATTGTTCATGAACCAAGATAATTTTTCTCATAAAATATATCTAATCAAATTGTCGAGTGTTATACTGACTACTTTTGTTTGACCACCTATTTAGGGGTAATTAATAATACTGAATTTTAAGCAAGAACCAGACCTTTTTCAAAGTCTACGCTGAAAATGTGATAAGAATAAAATCTGATGTGATTTAAAGAAATGATTCAAAAAATAAAAATAGACTCTACACTTTATTTTAAAATAAAATCTATAGATATGTCAGCCCATTATTATTTTAAAATTGACATTGTAAAATCTATACAGTTATATTTTGATATTTTTATTTATTAAGTTAAAAATTTTAACATATTTTAAAATATTTTTCTAATCTTTCTTTAATTACACCCAATAGTAGCATTCCTCCACTAATTGAAGACTTTTATCCTCTCCCCCCTCCCACTTAAAATATACTTCTAATAATCCTGCATATAATTAACCAATCAGTTTTTTATGTATTAACCTTTGCCAAGTGCAAAACTAATTTATACGGGAAAAAATGTTTCCTTGTATATGAAATATTCTGGTTGATTTGCACAAAGAGACAATCCCAAACTTTGGAAGTCTTCATCATCTTTCTATTGAGTGCATCTACGACTTGGTTCAAACTTTTTTTTTTGTATTTGATGATAAAAGTATATATTTCATTACATGATACTCATCTTACATCTATTATGCTGCACTATTTGACTACTCATAGATTTTAACACTTGATGATTAATGAACAAGATAAATTATCATTGAATAAGATATTATTCTCAAGTATGTAATACTCCAATTATAACAAAAAGGTAAGTCATGAGTTGTTTATTTTCTCCTAGCATCAATGAGTTTTTCACTATGATCTACAACATGACTACTTTCCTTGGATAACTACTACTACCATGATTAATACGCCTCAAATGGTTTATGAAAATTACATCATACTAATAGAGGAGTGAAACATGATTTTTTTAATGTAAGTAACACTTTCATCTATTTCTTCTCTCAAAACATTTTTTTTCTTTTTCATACATTTATTAATTTGTGCATCAATTGAACTAATTTTTTTGATAAATCTATGATCAAAAAATATTAATCCTTAAAAATCTATACATCTTAATAGATATTTTTGGTATTGACAAAAATGTATTCATTACATTTCCAAAGATCAACAAATTCATAGTCATAAAGCTACATTTTTTTACATTTCTTAGGAACACCTCTCCTACAATTAATCAAGGTTTTATCATTGCTTCTTACCTCTCTAGCATCCTGAATTTCTTTCTAACATCTTATGTTGAAAATTCTATGTAAATTGAGTGGACATCTTAGATGGTAAAAAACAAGTAGCATATCAAGGAACTAAATTCAAGGTACTCACACATATTAAAATGGCAATGCCATCTAATGTTGGTCAACTTTCTAAAAAGAAAAAACTAGTTGAAAATCATCATTATTTTCATTGAATATTCAGGCATACTTAAAGTTAGTGTCAACTTTGAAAATAACTAATGAGGACACTTCATTTATTTTATATGGTTGAATTGGTGATTAATTTTATATTAAATCACTTGAGGAAGTTGAACCATATAATCAGTTGTTATTCATGAGTCTATATGAGGATTTCAACGTGAAATGTTATGAGAGTTGAGCCTAATAATCAGTAGTTGTGATTGACGAATGACCAATTTAGTGGAACCAAAGAATGAGGGTGCTTTTGGAGAATGAGGATCAAACCATTTCAAAAATATTAGAGTTTTTAGATTTTTGAACATATAAAATATTAGGGTTAAGATTGAAGAAATGAGATTAAAAATATTAGAAATAGTTGACCTTTATCAACTAATTAAGATCTGATTAATTCAAACCCATCTTCTTGATCCAAGTGCAACTTAAAATTTAATATGTGGTATAAGAGCATGCCTTTACACATCAAAAAGAATTCCTTTTAGGACTATATACTGCCACTAGCACCTTAGGAAATAAGACAAGAGATTTTAAACTATAGACCACCTTTATTTAATGGATCAAATTATGTACTTTGAAAAATTAAAATAGATATTTTTATCTAGGCCTTAGATTATCAATCATGGTAGATCATTATATATGGGTTTTTAGATGATAATGAGAAAAAAAATGTAAAAAAATATAAGAATATTTATTCATTGTAGATTGGATCAAACGAATTAAATAAAGTGTTCACATGTGAAAAAAGGAAATAAAATGAGATAGATTTCAGATAATTTATAAAGAAACTACTCAAGACAATGAGTTGAAGATATATTAGTTGGTTCATAAATATGAGTTATTTACAATGAATGAGAATGAGACCATCAATAAGATGTTTGATAGATTTATGGACATAATTAGTAGTTTGAAAAATCTATTAAGAACTTATCTTGTAGCTAACATGATTTGAAAGATTTTAATGCATTTATATCCCTCTTAGATACCAAAGTTACAACTATAGAGGAGTGAAGAAATTTCTAAAGAGGAATTTTATGATTTTTTGGTTGACATTGATTATGCTTGAAATGTTGTCAATTCAAAGCTGAAAAATGCAGGAAAAGAAATAATGTATTGAAACAAAATATTTAAAACTAAATAGAAAGATTAAAGATCAGTCAAAATATGTAAAAAACTCAAAAAAAACTAAATTGACGAGTTCTCTAGAGAAAACATTGAGCTAAAATCACAATTATAAAATCTTCAAAAGGATGTTCCTCCTTTCAAGGATGTCAACATTTTGAAATCTGTAAGGAAAAGAAACAATACAAAACTATTTTCCAAAAGTTAATAATAGCCACATAAAATTAGATTCTTTGATAGACATCCAACATAAGCACACAAACAAAGAACAAGTAGGATAATAGAAAAACCAGAAAGTGCATACCCATCATATTCCATTGTGAAAGAATAAACTAAATCAGAGCATAAATTCTTTACTTTTGTAGTTTCATGTATACTTTTTGTTAGTCTTAGAAGAAAAAATTTAGATACTCCAAGATATATTTTCAGACAAAATAAAAAAATTAGGAGCAAGTAAACAATTCACTAGAACACAAAAACATTGAAAAATAACTAGGATTTCAAGAAGACAAAATTAAATAAATATGTGTTGCAAAAAAAAAATCTAATAAATTAAAAAAAAAATCTAAATTATGTCGAGATCCCTATTATGAAATAAAAATTTATTTATTTCAAGGGTTCTCCTTTAGTGAAAAAAGTCCTATGGTATCTTGATAGTAGATGTTCAAGATAGATGACTAAAGAGAGAAGGTGGCTTCCCTCATTTGTTTATAAAGAAGCTAGTGAAGTAACCTTGGAGCTAATGAAAAAGGTAAAAATCATATGACATAAAAACATAATTTTTAATGAAGACACTAATTGAAAAGTAATCCTATTTGAAGGACCAACTCATAATTTAATATCATAATTGAAAAAATGTTCATTTTGAAATTGATTAGTATCATATTCTAAAAATTCAAAATAATGAGATTTTCTTATTGTCACTAAGAAGAATAAATTTTATGTTGTGTTTCATATGATTCTAGAAAATTGATAGAATTAGGACAAAAATGTTTAGAATATTTGAACATTAGAACAAATAGTAAACTCCAAAAATTCGAACTTGTGAAAGTAATATACGTACTAGCTTTAGATGAGAATTTTGATTATGGTGCAAGCATTAGAGGAATCTCATCATTGGTAATCATTTTCTTATTTTTCATATCACTCCTAATCAACCAATAAATTTAGTTGACCTTATTTTTGAATGCATGAATGAATAGATCATGATCATATATACCTTCAATCCATGAAAACATGGTCATCACTCATCTCATCTCCTTGAATGCTTCAAAATTGATTTTAAGAAAGAGAAATTGCCTTGGATGAATCTTGTCCACCTTGAATTTTAAACTCTACTATTTAATCCTAGATTTATCTCATTATTTTAATGATTTATTTATTGTTAAATCTAATGCAGCATATTTAAGGTTTGTATCAAGTGGAACAAAAGCCTTGACATTTTGAAGATTCATTTAAGTTGGAGTTAGCCCAATTACGAAATTGGGCCCATAATAGGACATATCTTTCTATTTTTAACCCTTTTTATTTTTATCTCCCCTTCTATTTTTATTATCTTATTATTTTTTTTCTGCTTTCTATTCTACGTCTCCTTTTATTTATTTTTTAAATTTTCATTTAAAATTCATATTTAAGTGCCAAATTAACATACTTTAACCTATTTTTAAAGGCACCCCATGTAGTCCAAGAGTTATTTCAGTTTCAGTCAACAAATTTTCATTAATTTCTTCCTCTCTAAGATACTTTTCATCTAGTAGTGGACTCTAGCGCCCTTGTGAACTCAATGAACCGACCTCCTTGAATCTATGGACTCAAAATCATACTCTTGTGGATTCAAGAGACATGTTTTCTTCAACCTATGGATTTAAGGTGAGAGAATCATGACATGAGTACACCTTTCAAGGATTCAAGACATGATTTTAATTTCCACAATGCTAGAGTTGTTCGCAGCTGACCCAAGTCATATGCCTTACAAGTTGTTGCTGTATCAAAATCTGCATTGGTATAATCCTTATTAGTTTAAAGGATTTGACATTATTGGAGTATAATTTTCAATACAGTTTGAAACTTTTTCTATGTTTTTGATACTAACAAAAGGAGAAAAAAAGTACAAGTCCTGCAAAGAATGAGCTACACAAGTCAAGAAAACATTTAAAAGTCATTGTGACAAGGGGAAGTTTAGAGAAAGGTAGAAAGAAAAATGAGAAAAAACTCATAAACTAAGTAACCACATATTTTTATTTTTGGTCTTGATTCTCTAACTTATGATTGTAATTTTTTAAATATAATACTCGAATTTTAGATTTAATAAAAAATATTACTTCGTATATTGTTGTAAAATATGTTTACAAAAATTGCCCTCGTGAAAAAATGATGATTAGTGTTTCAAAATCAACAAGAATTCATGAGGTAAAATAGGGATATCAAAATTAACTCAATATACTAGATATGCTAATGATAAATCATTACTTCAATTTAATATTGATGTCAAATTAATTGATAGAATTCGAACCACTCAAATTGTCACTTGAGGATTTCTGAATAGTGACGAATATTAGTTAAAAAATAATTTTAAATATCTATATCGACAAAGTTATGATTTTAGATTGTGAGATCATGAGTCAAAGTAAATATGTTACACATGTAATTTTTTTTTGGGCGACTTGAATCAGCAAGCAGAATTTGTTTTTGGTAATAGTGAGTAATGTCTTTTAGTTTCTAACATAAAACTTTTAGTATCCATTGGGGCATCCTTAGAAAGACATTCGGTTTTAATATCAATTTAAACCATATTTTAAACATATTTAAATGAATTCAAAATAGACTAAAAGTGAGAAAATAAACAAAATTTGGAAATTTTAATTTCTAACATATTTAATATGTGTTTTATTACGGGCCAGATTAAGTACTAGACCCTAGTCGATTCTTCACGCTTCTAGCGCTAGTCTGATCCAAAAGCGCTCAACCCATTTCAAAATTGATTAATTTTCTTGGTCTGATTATTATTATTATTATTATTATTATTATTATTATTATTATCATCATCATCATCATCGTTGGTTCCCTGTGGCCAATAATAATTTATTAATTTTCCCCGACTTGGGGCTCTCCTTTGAAGCGGCGGAGGGTGAGGGAGGTGGAGACCGCGCGAAAACCTTATCTCCTCCTCCATGGCGTCGCCGGCGGCAGCTTCACTCCGCCAGCACCCACTCCTCGGCGGCGGCGGTGGCGGCGCCACCGCTCCACGCCGCCGGGCTTGCGCCCTCGGGAGGAAGGCCGCCGCTGCCGCCGTCCGGTGCGCCACCACCACGGAGGAGGAGATTACCCGGCGGATCACCGTGAAGAACGGGAACGACTCGCTGGACATCTGCCGGGTCCTCAACGGGATGTGGCAGACCAGCGGCGGCTGGGGCCGCATCGACCGCGACGACGCCGTCGAGGCCATGCTCCGCTACGCCGACGCCGGTCTCTCCACCTTCGACATGGCCGACCACTGTAAATAATCAAATCCCCTTCTGAAACCCCCTTCTGATATCCCCTTCCTCAACCCTGCTCTCCGGTGCTCCTCTTTTAATGACTCTCTCTCTCTCTCTCCCCCCTTTTTTTTGGCAGATGGGCCGGCGGAGGATCTCTACGGCATCTTCATCAACAGGGTCCGGCGGGAGCGCCCGCCGGAGTTGCTCGCCGAGGTCAGGGGGTGAGTGAGCTCTGGGATCACCTTTTTCAGATGATCTCTAAGCTTAACCTACCCATCCGCCGCATTCCTCCCACTCGATGCGAGAATTTCGCTCAACGATTCCTGTGGTGGCGCAGGCTTACCAAGTGGGTGCCGCCGCCGGTGAAGATGACGAGCAGCTACGTCCGGCAGAACGTCGACATCTCCAGGAAGAGGATGGACGTCCCCTCTTTGGACATGCTCCAGTTCCACTGGTACCCCCTCTTCTCTTTCCCCTCTGAAACTCGGATTGATTCCCCTCGGGTATGTCCTTCACCCACTGAACAAGCCGTTGACTTTCTACTCATTTGGGGGTGCCGGGCACCTCAAAAAACCCTAAATATTTCTGGGTTGTTAGATCATCCCGTGTGGGTGTGGGTGGGAACTCAAAGGTGGCATTTCTTCCGACGAATTTCCTGCCTGCATGCGATTCTACTCCTGAAGCATTCCGCTTCTAACAGGTGGGACTATTCCAACCCCGGCTACCTCGACGCGCTGAAGCACCTGGCCGATCTCGAAGGCGAAGGTTCGGAAGAGCACTCCCTGTTTTTCGTATTATATAAGATTTTAAGCTGATTATATAAGATTATTAATGGTATGGTTTCAATGAGAGATCCACAGGTAAGATCAAGACCGTGGCGTTGACCAACTTCGACACTGATCGGCTCCACGTCGTCCTGGAAAACGGGATCCCGATTGTCAGCAACCAGGTGAGAAGATGGCCAGGCCGGCCTCCACCGTCTGACTTTGACCCAGCTGAAGTCGCGAGTTGACTCCCGTGTTCTGTTTGTGAGCCAGGTGCAGCACTCTATTGTGGACATGCGGCCCCAGCGGAGGATGGCCGAGCTGTGTCAGCTCTCCGGAGTCAAACTCATCACGTCTGTGTTGACTTGACTTTCTCCCGTGCCGTGCCCCCATGAGCCGGCAGCATCAGCCCCCTCCTCCGGTATCTGATGGAGTCAACGGTGCAGGTACGGAACCGTGATGGGTGGCCTCCTGTCCGAGAAGTTTCTGGACACCAATGTCTCCATCCCCTTTGCCGGGCCCCCTCTCAACACCCCCTCCCTGCAAAAGTACAAGAGGGTGAGTCAACCCCCAGAAAAAGAAAAAAAAAAAGTTTTCATATTTAGGCCCAGCATTATGTTGAAGAACTGGCTGAGCTGCATTATGTTTGACCATCCATTCTGACAGATGGTCGACGCGTGGGGGGGATGGAGCCTCTTCCAGTCCCTGCTTCAGACACTGAAGAGGGTCGCCTCCAAGCACGGCGTCTCCATGTCAACGGTGGCGGTGAGGTACATACTGGATCAGGTAAATGTCCCCCCTGCCCCATTGGCGGCAGCGTTGACTTATAGATCTCTCTCTCTCTTCTAAACCGGGCCGTTGACCTCGCAGACGGCGGTGGCTGGGTCAATGGTGGGTGTGAGGCTCGGCCTGGCGGAGCACATCGTTGACTGCAACGCCGTCTTCTCCCTCGCCCTAGACGAGGAGGACGTGGGAAGCATCAACGAGGTGTCGAGGAAGGGGAGAGACCTGCTGGAGATCATCGGCGACTGCGGCGACGAGTACCGGCGTTGACCTCTTGGAGGGTCTGACCTGAGATCTCTCTCGCTTGGACAGTTTGACTTCTCGTGACGAATGGAATGCGTGACGCCAGAGGACCTTCTGAGTCAGGCCCAATGGGCTTTATATATATATATATAGATATTAAAATTACGGTGCCTTTATTTTACAGGCTCACAAAGCGGCGTAAAGGAGTGTGTGGTGGTTACCAACCCGCAAAGTATTTAATTTATTTTTTAAGGAATTATATGTTTTGGGGTTTTTTTGAAATTCAACTATATTTGTGGGAGGTAAACGGAAAATATCCCCTAGGTTGAATGGACTTGAACAGTCCTGTCTTGCCCTCATAAATACGAACCCCTGCTTCGATTTCCGTTCCTGATTTCACCGCCTCTCACTCTCTCTCTCTCGCTCTCGCTCGCCGGGGAACGATCGGGGGGAGAACGGGCGGGAGGCGGGGGAGGGCCGATCTTCGATCGAGCGGCGCACCGTCGGATCCAAGCTCTGGTATGTCTCTGCTGCGTTCGCCGTATTTCGCCTACGCCGATCCCTCTTTTTCTGGATGCGCTTCTTTTTCGCGTTTGCTGCGCACACCTTGATATGGTTCGGAGGATCAGCTTCTTTGATTTCTTCCGTCTGAATCCCCGTTTTTTGACCTCGATTTTGTCTTTTGTTCTTACTCTGGCGGTTGGTGGCCGGTGGCCGGTGGTTCTTGTTTCAAAAGGTCCTCTCGCTCGTTTCCTTTGTTTGTTTTTCACGATGGAGCTACGCTTCACGGTTTGCATCCATGGTTTCCACGGTTTTACCGAGTATGAGAATGAAGTCCTCCCATGCCTGCTGCGTAGTAGTCCTCTTTGTTTTTTCCACGATTTCTAGTCCCTCCTTGCCTGCTGCGTAGTAGACCTCTTTGTTTCTTCCACGATTTCACCGAGTATGAGAATATGAAGTCCCCTTGCCTGTTGTGTAGCAGTCGTTGTTTTTTACATGATTTCGCCGAGTGTGAGAATGAAGTCCCCTTGCCTGCTGTGTAGTAGTTCTCATTGTTTAGAGGAGACGGGAGATTATTTTAGTTTTTTTTTTTTTTTTTTTTTGCTCTGGATCTGTCTCGTTGGGAGAAATGGAAGATCTCTCTCCCTTCTCGAAGAGAAAACGAAAATTTTCTAATATTTTTATTTTTTTACTTCCTGATCTTTTTGCAGATCTTTGGTAAAGGTTAGACTAGAGAGAAGGCAGAGGGAGAGAGATGGCGGAAGAGCACCGCTGCCAAGCTCAGCCGGAGGGTCCGCGCCTCTGCGCGAACAACTGCGGGTTCTTCGGCAGCCCCGCCACCCTTAACCTATGTTCCAAGTGCTACCGCGACTACTGCCTCAAGGAGGAGCAGGAGGCCTCCGCCAAGGAAATCGTCGGCAAGTCCCTCCTCATACCGACCCCCACCGCCTTCCCGGATACCTCTTCCAACGCGGTAGCCCCAAATCCATCCGCCGCGGTGCCTTGTCCGCCATTCCAGACAGCGGAGGAGCCGATCTCCACCTCCTTGGTGTCCCCCCCCACCGGCGGCTCCTCTGCCGACGCCGCCCCTCCGCCACGGCTGGGGCGGTGCACGGCGTGCAATAGGAAGGTGGGACTGACGGGGTTCAGATGTCGGTGCGGGGAGACGTTCTGCGGCTCCCACCGCTACCCGGAGCAGCACGCGTGCAGCTTCGACTTCAAGTCCGCCGGCCGCGACGCCATCGCCCGGGCCAACCCCGTCGTCAAGTCTGACAAGCTCGACAAGATCTAAGACACGGCGGCGCCTCAGCCGATTCCCGTGCTTCCCCCCGCTCTTCTCTCCTCCCCTTGTGCCGCCGTCCTACCCCTGCCACCTGTTCTTCCTCTCCTCCATTTCTCAATAGATAGTCAGTCTCGCACATTCCCCTCACTATGGAGCGAGAGAGAGAGATGGAGAGAGCGAGAGAGACGCTTTCACATGGGTACCTGAAGGACAGAAGTAGCGGGGGTGGCCATATTCGACAGAATTGGCTTGTCCGATCTATATTTTGGGCAGGTTCATTCCGAATGGCGGATCCCTCGACACAAGAGGCGTTCACGCCAGCAAGTCTTTTGAATTCGCCTGGTGACCGGTGCTGTGGCCTGACATGACATGACAACTGGCCTCTTTGCATGCGCTTTCGAAACCGCCGCCGCCACCATCCCCCCTCTCTCTCTCTCTCTCTCGGACTATCGTATCAGGCGTTTCGCCTGATAGAGATAGAGAGAGAATGGTGGCGGGGAGTACGGCGGCGCTGACACTTCTGTCGGCGATGGCGGTGGCGGTGTTGCTGCTACCCCTCCGCCGGCCGCCACCGCCGCCGCCGCCGCCGCCGTCAGTTGTCTCCCCGAGGGTGAGGCTTAGAGAGGGGAGGCGCCTGGCCTACAGGGAATGGGGGGTCCTCCCCATGGAGAAGGCCTCCCACCGGGTCGTCGTCCTCCACGGCTTCGACGACTCCAAGCACTTCGCCCTCCCCGTCTCTCCGGTGACCTCCCTCCACAGCCCCACCCAGTAGCCACCAAACCTGAGGACATGGACTGACTCTCTCTCTCTCTCTCTCTCTCTTTCTTGCTTCCCCCGTGGCGTGGGCAGGAGCTGGTGGAGGAGATGGGGGTGTACTTCGTCTCCTTCGACAGGGCCGGCTATGGCGAGAGCGACCCCCACCCGGCACGCACGGTACAGAGCGACGCCATGGACGTGGAGGAATTCGCAGACCGGCTGGGCCTCGGCCCGCGGTTCTACCTCGTGGGCGCCTCCCTCGGCTCCTACCCCGTCTGGGCCTGCATCAAGCACTTCCCCCACAGGCATCTCTCTCTCTCTCTCTCTCTCTCTCACTGTGCGCTGTTAGAGCTCAGCTCATCTCTCTGCTGTTTACGTTACGGGGTGGTGTATGTAGAGTGGCGGGAGCAGCGCTGGTGGCGCCGCTGGTCAACTTCTGGTGGGCGTCGCTGCCGGCGGAGATGGCGAGGGCGGCCTACGAGAAGCGGGAGGCGTCGGACCAGCGGGCCATGTGGATCGCGCGCTACGCGCCGTGGCTGCTCCACGGGTACATGACCCAGAATCTGGTGACCCCCTCCGCCGCCTTGGCCCGGCACCCAAACGTGTTCAGCCCCCAGGACTTGCAGATCCTCGCCACGCTCTCCCAAAACCCTAACCCACCCGAGGTACAACCCTTGCATTTCTTCTTCTTCTTCTTCTTCTTCTTCTTCTTCTTCTAAATTGGGGTGGGGTCTTGTCAGAACAAGGCCAGGTTGCAGGGAGTGCACGAGTCGCTGCACCGGGACATGATGGTGGCGTTCGGCGACTGGGGATTCGACCCCTTGACGGACCTGGCGGAGCCCTGCTCCGGCGAAGAGGGCGGCGCCGCCGCCGCCACCGCCGTCCACCTGTGGCACGGCCGCGAGGACAGGCTCTTCCCCGTGGAGCTGCTCCGCCATGTGGCGGCGAGGCTGCCGTGGATCCGCTACCACGAGTGCGCTGACTGCGGCCACCTCTTTGTCCACAACCAGACCTGGAGCGACGCCATCCTCCGGGATCTCCTCGCTCGTCCCGGACAGCCACAGCCCTCCCCGGGAGAACTTTGACTTCTATGCGTCAACTATCTCCTGGTTTCCGGAGTCAACCCTTCCCCTCAAGAGTGAACCCAAACTTACTCTCTATATCGTAGAGATAAGTATGGTATGCAATGTCTTAAGAGAGAGAGAGAGAGAGAGAGTAATGTAGCCTGTTGACCTCAGTCAGCGGCATGAAGATCGGCGGAAAGTCAACTGGGTCAATCAAGTCATGAAAGATTGACATCAATGAATCAAGTCAAAAGAAGAAATTTATTTCTGGACGGCCGATTCGGGCTCGTAATCTTCCGCAAGATCCGAGCATCTTCCGCAGAAATTCATCTCCCCGGTAAAGGGGGGATTTGGTTAAAGAAATAAAAAGGAAGGGAGCTGTTCATAAATTCATTTTTATGACGTCATTATTTATACGCGCAAAAAGTTCTTTACGGTTCACGGCTTCGAGCCACGTGTCCCACCCCTTCAACATCACGTGAGTGATCTCCCAAACCACGTGACGCCACGTCGCCGGGAAGCCCGCTGGGCCCGTCGACACGTATCCGATACGTGTCGCGGGGTGCTCGCCCGGGAAACGGACCCGAGCGCGGCATCAAATCGGGCTCAGGCTGCAAGTGGGGCCCACAAGATAACGATGCCTCGAGAAGACACGGTGGGCCCCACCGGAGAAGAGGAGACACGATCTGCTCTCTCCTGATTCGGTCTCCGGCGCCGTCGATCTACGGCGCCGTATAAATACCCTCAGTAGGGCCTCCTCCTCTCAGCCACCGCCACCGCCACCGCCCTTCCCTCCCTTCCTCCACCGCTACTACTACCGCCGCCGCCGCCGGAATTTCGAGCTTTCTCCGGCGTACGCCGCTCTGGAGGGACTACAGCAGAGTTGTGTTGTCCCCGCAGGTGGTGGTGTTGTCGTTGGGGAGATCTGGTGCGGCCCGTGGGAGACAATGCGCCCGTCAGCTCCGGCGAGTGGTCCGATGGATTAGTCGAGCCTTGCATGCGGGTCTGGAGCCCCGATCTCCCGGTCTGAGGTCGAGTTAGGGTTCTGCTCCAGCGTCTACAGCGGCGGAGGCGGTGCGAGAGAAAAGGTAGGAAGGTGCGTGCAACGCCGGCCATCACTGTTCTTGTGGGAAAGCTTTCTGGAGCGTTCCTAGCAGAGGCCTCTAGGTAGAGAGGCGGCCCTCTACTGGTTTTTCTCCTTTCCCGACCTCAGGAGTATACTGCATGTCTTCTCCGTGTTCTCCGCGAGAGAGAGCGAGAGAGGGAGAGAGAGAGAGAGAGAGAGAGAGAGAGAGAGAGAGAGAGAGAGATGGATGGATGGATGGATGATCCTTCTTCGTTCTTCGTCCTTCCTCCTTCCTTCCCTGTCCGTGGCCGGAGCTTTTTGATTTTTTCCCCAAACTGTCCTCACATTTACAACCTGGAAGGTTCCCGCCTTCCAGTTTTGCTCGGTGGTGAACCTTCACATTGTGAGCGATACTCTCTCTCTCTCGGCGCTGTTACAGGTTCTCCGGCCACATTCTCCAGAATTTATCTCCTCTGTTTGTTCCTCTCGTTCGTGCGGTGTGGTTGTACTCCTGATGGCCGGAAGGAGGGAGGGAGAATCTGAGTCGACGAAGATCCTTCTCGGTCGCAGAGGGAGGAGGGAGGAGGTCCCTCCCTCCGTCGTCGTTTTCCATCTATCGGCATGATTTCTTGCACCCGAACGAATCACGCGGTGCTCCCCTCCTGGAGGACCTGCCGGCTCTCCCCGGACACGGCGCTCCTCCCCATTCACTTTTTGTCCACATCGCTGATTTGACCTGCTGATAGAGATCTCTGCTAGGCCTCCACGCAATCAATCCTCCATAGCCATCGAGTTCTCTATCTCTCTCTCTCTCTCTCATCGGAAGAAATTGTTTTAATATCTCCCGGCCTCCTCTCCCGCCATGGCCCTTCTTCCTTCGCTACGTGTCGTCGTATTCGCCTCCGCTGGAAAGACGGAGGGGAAGAGCTCCCGCTGCCGTAGGCTTCTCCGCGTCGGCGGCGGCGCCGGCGACCGAGTTGCTGTTCGTCTGTCATTTTCCGGCAGATCAATCAGCTGAAGAAGACTGCCGCTGTGGGGGCGTGAATTTCTCTCGTCTTCTCTCCTTTCCGGCGAAGACGGGACAGTCCCCGATCGACCGATTGCCACAGGAAAATAGAGAGCTCTGCATGCAGGAGCAGAGAGCATCCCGCTTCCATCTCCGCATCCTTCGCCTGACCCTCGTCTTGTCCCTCTTATTTCCCTTCCTCCGTCTCCCATCTTCTTCCTGCCACCACCATCACCACCGCTTCTCCTGATCTGTTCTGACGCAGGCACGGTCTGCCCCGCCGACGACGACGGCCGCGGCGGCGGCGACCTGAGGAGGAAGGGATGGCGAGCTGTGCCTCCCCTTCTACGGCGGCGGAGAGCAAGGCTGCGAGATTCGACGGCGCCGTCGAGGCGGCCGGAGCGGCGGCGACCCAGGAGGAGCACCAACACCGGGAGGGGTCCCCGGCGGCGGCGGAGAAGCAGCACCCCATGGCGAGGCAGTCCTCGCTGCTGTCGCTGACCCTGGACGAGATCCAGAGCACCATGTGCGAGCCCGGAAAGAACTTCGGCTCTATGAACATGGACGAGTTCCTCACCAATATCTGGACCGCGGAGGAGGGCAGCGCCATGGCCAGCGTTAAAGAAGGGGGCGGAGTGGCTGGCGGCGCCCCTGCCGCCGCCGCCTGCCGGGAGGGCGCTTGGGACCCCAAGGACCATGCCCCGCCCGTTGCGCTGCATCGTCAGGGCTCCGTCTCCCTCCCGCCGACCCTCTGCCGGAAGACGGTGGACGAGGTCTGGTCGGAGATCCAGCGCGACCACGGCCACCACCACCACCAGCAGGATGGTCCGGCAGCGGCGGCGGCGCCGTCTCAGCAGCAGTACCAGCAATCGGGGATCGTCCCCCGGCAGACGACCTTCGGGGAGATGACGCTGGAGGATTTCCTCATCAAAGCCGGGGTGGTCAGAGAAGGCGGCTGCATCCCCTGCTCCTCCCCGCAGCGGCTGAGCCCCTTCTCTCTCCCCACCTCGCAGCAGCAGCAGCAGCAGCCAGAGCAGCAGAACCAGTACGGAGGCTTCCCCATGGTGGGGATGGGATACGGCGATCACCACCGCAACCCCGCCGCCGACGGGGTCTTCCACAGCTTCCCGCAGCGGCGGTACCAGCAGCAGGTGCCAGTGGGGAACGGCTACGCGGGCGGCGGCGGCGGCGGCGGGAGGACGAACAATGGCCGCGCGAGGGTGGGCTCCCCGGGGAGCCCCGTCTCGTCGGACGGCTTCGGGGGGCAGTGGGCGCAAGTCGGCGGCGACGGGTCGAGGGCCGACGGGGGAGGCGGCGCCACCGGCGGAGCTACAGGGCCCACGGGGAGGAAGCGGGTCGTCGACGGGCCGGTGGACAGGGTCTTCGAGCGGCGGCAGCGGCGCATGATCAAGAACCGCGAGTCCGCCGCCCGGTCGCGAGCGCGGAAGCAGGTAATACACCGCCGGTCGGCGGCGGAAAGGAGACTCTTTTCTGTGTTTCGGGTTTTTTGACGGCGAACTCCACGGGCGTGGTTTCTCAGGCCTACACGGTGGAGCTGGAGACGGAGCTGAACCAGCTGAAGGAGGAGAACGCGCGCCTCCAAGAAGAGCAGGTAAGGAAGACGACTACCCACGAACAGACGAGGAGAGTCGACTGGAGACACGCTGACTAAACATCCTTCTTTCCTTGATTGTTTCTTTCTTCTTCTCTGGTGGGGCGTTGACAGCGGAGATTGGCGGCGAGGCGGCGGCAGATGGTACGCGCGGCCGCCGTCGTTTCTTTCTTTCTTTCTTCCTGTTCTGGTGAAGAGCTGGAGATTTTTGGGGTTTGCAGGTGCTGGATGCGATGGCTGAGAGGGCCCAGGTGAAGACGGGGAGGAGCTCCAAGGCACTGAGGCACTGCAACAGCTGCGTCTGGTGATCCTGCTCATCTCTCTTTCTCTCTTCCTTCTCTCTCTTCTCTCTCGTCTCTCGTCTCTCTCCTCTCTTTCGCGATGTGCAGTGGAGAGCGCTGCCGCTTTCTCCCCGTACGCTTAACATTACAACCAGGCTCGATCAGCCCTAAGGCCCATAATAACATCACCTGCAAGCTCTGCCACTCCGCCTAAACAGCTCTGCCACAGTAAATGCGAGCGACCAGGTCCTCTCTCTCTCTCTCTCTCTCTCTGTGATTCCCAACGCTTCGAGAGGGAGAGAAACCCGGGAAATTAATAAGAGAGCCCTGGTATCGTCTCGGGGAGTCAACACAATCCCCCGCGGATACAAAAGTCAACGCCTGTGTGACTCAAAGGTCGCCGCCGCCGCCGCCGACGCCAAGAATGCATTGACCGAGATGAGTGAGGTAGGGCTCGGCCTGGGAGCTGCCGCCGAGAATCGGGCCGAGCGCCTGCAGCCCCACGTTGAACTCCCTCTCGAACTTCCTGCGAAGAAACATCACGCAGAGTCAAAGACGGCCCTCGCGGGAAGAATTAAACGCGACGGTGGAGGCGAGTTTTGGGGAAGCTTACAGAATAGATTCGAGGAGCGAGCTGTTCTCGGCGGCGGACGTCAACTCTTTTGACGCTGACTTTGTCTTCGACTTTTCGGCTCTGGTGGAGTCAGCGCCGGCCGAGCTCTCGCAGATCGATGGGATCAGCATCTTTACCGCAGTCGAGTACTGTAGGCACACTGACTTGAGCTTCTCAATCTTCTGTACGAATGGGACCCCCAACGTCAGACAAAACCTAGAGAGAGAGAGAGAGAGAGAGAGAGAGAGAGAGAGAGAGAGAGAGAGGACGTAAAACCAATTCACCGGAAGCCAGGAAGGAGACGAGGGATTCCCCCATTTAGGCGAACCACAAGATCATCACAATGTCATTGGCCGCACCGCAGCAGAGAGGAAAAATATTCCAATTCCAAGTCAACTAACCTCCAGGAGATGAGGCAAAAGCAGCAGGCACTCTCTCAGACATTTGTCCAGGAAGAAGTCGTGGAACTCGATAACCTGGAGGCCACGGCCGTCATCCGTACCACCCATAAGATGTGTGTGTGTGTGAGAGAGAGAGAGAGAGAGAGATCATACCTCGTCGATGCTCTTGGCGGATTGAAGCCTGCTGTGCATCAGATGCCAGTTGGGCTCAAGAACCTGAGCGACGTGACAAAAAGTTCAAGTGGTAAATATAATGGCGCACCCAAAAGAAGGAAAGACATAGAAACTTGCCTCAAAAGTCAAATAATGCAGTAGACTGTTGACGAACTTGAGCATGCTGCGGCACAGAACAGAAGACCGCGAGACGGCCGTCCCCAGCGTCCTCAGAGCTCGGAACCCCTGCAAAACGCCACCGCAGACGCAATGCTTCAGAGTCCACACCAGAAGACCCATGGGCACCGCCGGGCGAGCGAGCGGCCGCGTACCTGGTGCACCTGCCATGCCACACAGAGCTGGCGGTTCACATGCTTGCAGTGGAACAGGAACCGGAAGATCAGCTGGTACTTGGCCAAAACTCTTCTGGAGACGATGATCGACAGCGGCCACCGGACCTGACCAAAATGAAATGCCCGGGAGAGCTCGGTAAATTATAAGAGGCGGAACCTTGCGACTAGGGGATGTAAGAGAGGAAGACGGACTCTGTAGGTGAGAGAGAAGGTCTCCAAGCCGGTGATGTTCAGTGACCCCGCCTGGTCGCTGCTGCTGGGAGAGATGGATTGGTGAGCGTCTGGTTCGCTGGAGGACTCAGGAGCTCTGATTGTGGCAAGCCTTTTGAGCAAGGAGACCCTCTCCTGGGGACAGAACAGAAACAGAAACAGAGAGCAAGTGAGTGAGTGCGGCACCAGAGACGCGGGAGGTAGCATTTCTTCGCTCATCCACAGTTATTTCATGCACTCACCACAGTGCATGCCAAATCTTCGTGGCAAGGGTCGGCGGCGGCGGCCGTGGTGCGCAGAGCAAGGTCCAGGAGAGACTGCAGTTCAGGATAGGAGAGCCCCCCAAGTATATGAACTTGCATAGCCCATCAGAAAATTAGTTAACTATGATCTTATACCTGCAATTTCTCGACAGAAATTTCCTCGGGCTTTTTTGCAAGCTCGTCCCGAGATATATCCATAAAATGAACCAAGAAATCACCCTGTGAATCAGATTTCTCATGAACTTGATACCAAAAAAGATTGGCTTGTGTCATCATGGTAAATGGTACGGTGAAAGAAACGCTGCAGCATTAAATGGGAAGATCTTGAATATGAATGTCCGCATATAAATGACGATGAACCATGTTTCAAACATAATATCCGTTCATTCATAGATATGCTTAATAAAAACATTATCCGAGCATATGATAAATCCCTACGCCATATAACCACCACACTTGTTGACTTAAACACATCAGATTTTGTTTTGTTTCGTTTGGTGAATCGCTACTTCAACTAATGATGCATAGTTATGATGTACTTTTTTATGTTTTGCATTGGTTTATGTTATAGCAAAAAATGGACAACGGATTCCTAACTGAAAAGTATTTCCACCGTGTTCAAAGAATATAAAATATTATTATATCCACTAAATATCCCCTCTATTAAGTTACATACAAGATCGAAATGGGATTCCACGGGCAAAATTAGTGTAAGAAAAATAATGACGAGATGGTTGGGCAAAACTGAACGGCTAATATGAGAATAATGGGTAAAAGAAGTGCTAGTTATGCACGGATAGATGTGACATATTGACGCAAAACTGGTAGAACACCGGTAAAACAGGAAATCAGAAAAATCTGTGCTAGAAAATGATGGTAATGCTACGCTGAAGTCTCTAGAAGACAAGGTACATTATGGGCCAGTATGAACCTGACGGAATCGTGAAAAAATATTTATTAAAAGAGGAAACAATGCTAAATTGAATTACCTGATCAAGAAGGAAATAATGCTTCATTGAGCGTAGTTTCCCAAAAAGGTCATACTGCAATACTTAAAGAATTGAAGTCAAGTTACCTGATTGAAAGGACTGAGACATCATCAGCAGTGAAAGGCATACTTATAAACGACTACCTTTTCTCTAATAAGACTTAGTAGCTCACTGCTTGCAAACTCATAAGCAGTTTTGATACATTCGAGATAATGGTGGTTAGACTCAAAGCTCATAAACTTTGAGTTCTCTGATACCGGAACCTGATTGAGCAAGAATTTTCAGTGCATATTACAATACCAAGAAGATACAACTACATGGGTGTCTTCTTCGCAAAAAAAAGCTATGATGAAATGGAGAAACGGTACCTGAACATTGTGCCCGCATTCCCTCATGACATTTAGGTATTTCCCGGTTGTCAAGATAGTCCCAGCAACACCTGTAAGAAAGCTGGGAATGCCATCTTTGAGGCTGTATCTCTGCTTCCAGTACTTAGCATCATAATCCTGAGTCAGGCTCTCCTATAAAAATTTATATAACGTCAGCACGCGGACTCCAAGAGAAAAATACATCTAAAATCTTCATTTTTTTGACGATTAATACCTTCAGTAAGGACTTGTCCTCTGAAATAAAAAATTCACCATAAGGATCGTCAATTATCCCTTCATATACCCACCTGATATCAACTCAAGTCAATGAAAGGACTGATGGGGGGAAAAAAATAACGAGAGAAAACCAAATGGTGAAAATAGGATCAACTGAAAAATATGCCGAATAAGTGGCACATTCAACAGCTATCCACCATAAAGAAATAGTTGCCACATAGGGGCAGTTAAGTTAGCCTAACATTTAAAACGTAAAAATTGTGTCCTTTCAGCTTTCCTAGTAGCAATAAGACGGTAACCTCTCTAATATTCTGAGATAAGGAATGCTAGCACACTGTGTCATTTTCTCTAGTAATGTTCTCACAGCACCATCACCAGCCATGGCCTTTGCCTGAAACAGAGAGCAAGTGATAACACTAGCAGGATTAGCAAATAAAACAAAGCAAAGTTTCCCATTGAAAATAGTAGTACAGTACTGGGAGGGAATCAGATGAATGAATATTAACAAAAGTTTTAGTCCCTTTGGCGGACAACCCAAACATAATCATTTGCAGTGCATAGAAACCACAGGCGATCTGCACCCAGACATAGATCAAATACTGCAACCAACAGAATGCGAGTACTCAAAATGATTCAAACTTTGATAAAAAAAAAAGAAGATAAAGTCAGCAGTGTCAGGTATCGGATAAAGCAAATAATCAGTGATCTACAATATGTGGAATGTCACTTTTCTAATGCAAAAAAATCGTGCAACCAAGTTAACAAACCAAAAATAAGTTGACCCAGAAATAGAAACAAAATATTGGTAAAATAAATGTCTCTTTCGGTAAAACACCACAAATGAAACAAGAATGAGTTAAAGGTACAGAAGATAAGATCGGATAATCATCAGATCTACGATGACTCCACTTACGGTTGTTCAAGAGTGGAAGAATTAAAAAGTTTACCATAGAAAAATCAGCTCATTTGCTTATGCTGCCAATTCCTATTTTCAGTTTATGCCAGGATCACAATGGGACCAAGGTGAGTTTTGATTAGAATCCCAAAATTCGACCTCAGAACAATATTCACAAAAATGGATTCATGCTGGCAGAAGAAGTGAACATGTGCATGCCCCTAACTTCAAGAGAGCATCATCAAATAGAAAATCAATTACCTGGTTTTGCAGAAGGTTCAGAGTTGCAGAGCCTGATAAATTGCTACAGGAAATCTTCTCTATCACAATCGATAAAGCATGCATTGATCCAACCATAGGCTGAAGGTAAAAGCGACCACAGGCCAAAGTTAAGGCAATGTGTTCAGTGAAATTGACAAAGAAAAATACAAGTACAGATATGAACTGCAAGATACAAGAACCTGGCAAAAAAACCATAGGCCTTGTACTGAAAGCCTCCCAAGGCGAAATTGATGTTCTAGTTGTGCTACCATCGCTTGATAATCCTAACACGAGAGAAAGCATAAGAGTTAATTTTAGAATATAATTTTTTGCCGCACAAAAACAACTCAAAATTCTCATGCATTAGAATAAAGACGCCATAAATTTTCAACGAGTTTCTATAAAGAGAGAAATTAAATACGTGTCAGCCTGAACGGAATGCATGGTTGCGTAGGTTTGCTGAGAAAGGAAGTTGTAAGCTAATCATTTTTTATTCAACATGTAACTATGGCAAAAAAAAATTAAAGAAGACAAATGAAGCTTTGATATCTTTCAAGAGTAGGTCAAATACTAGAAAAATTTAGTTCTTAACAACAATAAGAGGCCTATTTCACAAACCAATAAACAGTGGTTGAACCGTATGTAATAAGGACGCATTGACAGTGGGCAGCAAAATGGGCGGCCAAATGGAAAGACAACCCAGATAATGATTCGACAAAGATGGCAGCAGAGTACGCTCTGAGCTCGTCCTGGAAGAAAACGACTTTCCTCCATTTTCTTGTCTTATCCCTCACTTTCGGATTTTCCAAAGAAACACAACGAAGGAAAAGATGGCAAACACAGAAAAGTTATAATACTATGGCTCTAGCCAGAGAAGCAACTTAGTTGCGCTCAGCATATCCCTTCAAAAAAGTTGGGAAGGAACGGCAGATTAGCTTGAAGTGAATGCCTAATCAATGCCCATCTTAATTTTTGAAGGGAAAAAGATACAAGCCAAATAACGTACTAGGATGTGTAAGGTAATTGGACGTATTCACCAAGTTAACGAGTTTCATCCATCTTTCAATACAGTGGCAGTGTTATGTAAAGAGGAGTTTATCTACTGCCAAATCGTCGCCATGAGTTTGATAGCCATGCCCCGCCCAACAGACAAGAAATGCCTAATGTCCAAATATTAATCTATGGAGGTAAGGAAGAACTGACTGAATGCAACTTAGAAATGATAGGCAAACAATTTGTGAATCCAGACAAAAGTATGAATCATTACTAAAAAACGACTTCACCAAAGTTGGATATTATTTTCATTAACATTCAAATTTTGATAGTTGATTATTTAAAAGAGGTGATGACTAAAGATGGGCACTTGCCTAAACAGTTCTATAATCTGAATCAGAGTTTCTCAATACAAATAATTATTTTCAAATAATTGGGTCCTCAAAAAATTATTGGAGTGAGATGCCCTTATATATATACTGCAATGATTCACACCATAAAAATGACCTACAAGAAGAAGCGCCCGCAATGCAGCAGCAAATGCATGGTTGACTAGACCGTTCCTGAAATGTGACCTGGCCTCGACAAACTGGTCAATCAGGATGTAGTTTTCGCACAGAGGAAATATTCGCTGTGCCAGCTCCTGAAGCAGGTGAGCAGAGGATGGTTCACAGTGCATCAATTTACGAGCATTTCTACCTTCTCGAGCGGAGCCGGAGTACTGGTTATTTTCACCATACCTGTAAAGCTAAATCTGTAGAAGAGTCAATCTGAAATACCATGTGATCTTCCTTCCCCCGTTCTCTCCTGATGGAAATGAACCGCCCCTCGATACCAACCAGAGCAGATAGTAGATCATCAATGATCAAAAGCTCCTACATTACCACATCGAATGAACAAAGAAGTAGCCGAGTCAAATAAATCTGACACCACTTAATTTGCATGAAAAACCAAGTGAATCATAGATGGGAGAATACCTGAACAGCGACTGGATATGAGCCGATGAGGATTTCCGAACCCCTACTTGGCAAGAAAAAAAAAGGACGTAAATCTGTAATGGTCTTGAGCAGATGCTTTCTAAACAACAAAACTCACGTGGACAAATAGTTGCTATAAATAGATGATGACCAATCAGCACAAGGACGTGAAAAAACAGAGTAAAGAGGAACACTAACAAAGTATACCTGCAGGATTCGGAAATGGGTTTCGCCCCCGGAATCCGAAACGGCGGCTTGACGTCCTGTGATCCAAATGCGCAGAGACTAAGAAAACATGGGGCCAAGCTCGACAACCAGCTTTCCTCTAACCCAAACACTGAAATCACGACGCATTAGGCAGCGGAAACAGGAAAAAAATGAAGCGTTCTACCCGATGGAACTGGCCGGTGAGGAAGGGACGCTCGCGGTTCCAGCGAGGGGTCACCGCAGCCGCAGCAGCGCCCACCGCCGCAGCGCCGGCGGTCGCGTCCATGACGCCCTTCTAAAACTTCCGTCTCCCCTCCGCTGCGCAGATCATCACGGAACAACCCCGAGGAGACGCACCCTGAAGGTCTCTGCTCTCACAAGAACGGACCCAAAAACTGGCGCGGGAGTGAGGAAGAAAGGGTTTGTGTTGCTCCGTTTCGATTTTTGCTTTTCCCTTCAACATCCCAATATATTATATCATTTTATGTTTTAACACTAAATATGTCATATTTGCTTACTTACTTCATATTTTAGCTTTTTGCTCTCCCTCCAATGGGCCGGGCCTACTCGGGCCGTACTCAATGGGCCAAAATAATTGGGCCGTTACTTTTTAAGCTTGGGTCTTTGAAATCAAGCCCGAAAAGAAGAGACAACCTCATTTCTACAGGGCCACGGAGATGGTCTCCAAGCGGTAGGGTCCACATTGGAAAGCCCGAATCCGCTTCCGGCCTTTAAAAAAATAATAATATTATTTATTTAAAATAAAAAAAATTATACAAATAAAAATAAAAGGCTAAAAACTAATATGGCAGCCATTAAATAATAAAATACGAAGAATAGTGCATTTTCCATGCAGTATAAATTAAATATGATCCCTTTTTTATTGTTTGAATTTAATATTTTTTTCTATTTCCTCTACTCCTAGTTGTTTTACTTTTATGGGAGTTAACTGCGTGGAAAGGGTGATACAAAGTGCCCCGTACAGAACCCCTTTTTGATTCGTTCTATTTGTCTCTGCTTACCAAAAATGGATATCACTTTAAATGTGGTCCGGTATTAGTATAAATTAATCTCCTTTTATAGCCTACGTGACTTGCCACGGTCAGCGCCTTATCCAAAAATATCACGACTGAGAAGGTCCATGCGGTTGACTGTTGGAATCACCGGCAAGCGCCTTACCCTAATGAAGAGTTGGTTAGTTAGCTTGGCCGAGACAGAGCCACCGCCGCCTTAATTTGGCGGCAGGGGTCGGCACGTGTGATTTTTGGGGCCCACAGTTTACCCCCCAGAATCCGGCGCCTCCATTGGCCACTGGAGTCAACATGGGTCAACTCATCGAGACCACGTTTGATCGCATCGGGGCCGTCCATCCGCCGGCCCCAAAGGTCGTGGGGGGTTGGGTTCGGATAAAACCGGAGCAACGAAAGGGGAAAGTTCGTTATCTCCGTAATTTTCAAAAATTACTCGCACATTCTTAATAATTTTCTTTAGACCCCAAAAACAATTATTTTCCAGGGGCACATCACTCTTGCGGGAAAGCCCACAGAGCGGTGGCAGATGGTTGGTGTTAAAGAAATTATAGAAGTTTTATGGTTATAGATGATAGTTTTCATGAAGAGAGGGGGCTGAGGTGAATCTCCACCTCGCTCTTTCGCCCCCTGGGGATCAATCTCGCACGCTCTGTGATCGGGTGGGGGATTTTGGACTCGCCGACCTTCCGCATTGGGTATTTTTTTTTCAGCGCGACGGCTCGTAGTCGGGGGAAATCGCTAGGAGAGGAGCCGCCGGCGACGGCCGCCTGTGTCGTCAGCTCTCCGGCCTGATCCGGTGCGAGGCGATCCGCGATTGGAAGAATGCCGGTGAGTATCGTCCGCCCCGGGGGAGCTGATTTCCCGCTTATGGGCGAATTAGGGTTTTTGACGCGGGGGAACTCGAGGATTGGGGGTGGGGGGGTTGGGATTGGGGGGTGTCTCCGGCAGCCGATTGATATTGTCAGGTGGCTAATTGATTCACCCCTTTGGATTTACCCCAATTGAGTTTTTGCTAAGTTCTGAGAATCCTCTGTCCATTTCCTCGAATAGGAATCTCGATTCTCTTGTTCGTCAATTCGTGGCGGAGTGTGGTCTCGGAGGATCGCTTCCTTTCTGGGCTTTTAGTTCCCTTAGATTGTTTGTTCGTGAAGAGTTTGGAATTGTAGCACGTTCCTTCCTTTTTTTTTTAATGATTGGTAGTTCGGTCAATAGCTTCGATTGCTTTCCGTCTTTTTCCTTTTTACTTGGCACTTTTGTTGGAACTTCCGAAGTGGATAGTCAGAGGGTGTCGTCCCCTTTTGGTGACACCTAGGACGAAATTCTTCACTTCGTATGCATACCTTCTGGAAGTTTGCCTGAGTTCACATTGTGTGAGGGATCCCATTATTTTTTGCTTCGTTTCAACTTTCTAGCTAAGTGGGTTGTCTGAGGTTTTGATTTTTAGATGAGAAATTGCTTTGACGTTCACACAGTTTTGATTCACTGCAGCAGTTACAGTCTGTTATCAGACATCGATGTGAGTTGTCATGATTGATGTGGAACAGAATGGTTGGTAATCCGAGGTCCGAGTTGGCTTCAAGCATTACAGAGGGGTCATCTTTGACTGCTGCTTTTTGTAACGGGCAGCGTGGATCATATTCTGGTGCCAGTTTGGAGAGGTCTGGAAGTTTTCGGGAGAGCATAGATAGCCGTGTGTTGTCTTCAGGGGCTGGAGGCAACAGGACTACTTCTCCAGTAACTGCAGCAGAGATTCCATCACCATCCCAGTTTCTTATACTGGATTTTCTATCCCTGGGAGATCAGAAGTACTCTCGTGCAGGGGAGTTGAGGAGGGTCATTGGAGTTTCTCCCGAAGATCATTCATTTGGAATTGTCCAGTCTAAGCCGCTGACTCCAGCGGCAGCAGAGGAACTAAAGCGATTCAAGGCTAGTGTCTCAGAGACCACTTCTAAAGCCAGGTCGATTCCGTTCGTTTCCATTGCTTTTCTTTTACCTATGATGGCCATATGTACTCGACACCTAAACTATGCTTCTACAATTGGTGTTCAAGAGATCCTTGTGCCGTTTTTTTTCCACATATTCCGATCTAACATCATTAAAATAAGTCGTACAACTACACCCTCTCGTTGAATATTCCCTGTTAGAAGCGACAGATATCAGTTCAATTGTCGAAAACTGTGGGAAATCCTTGCACTGTTTTTTGCTGAGGCTTTAATGTCTGTTGACCAGGGATAGAACAAGGTTATTGCTGGAGTCAATCACGAAACTGGATAGGTATCGCGGTCTAATATCTAGGAAAAGACAAAGGAGTGATATTTCATCAAGTGAGAAGTCAGGAAGTGCAAACTTAATGAAGATGGGAAGTCAGATCCATCAGAGCCCTTCTGATCTTGCTGCTCAAAGACTTGAGGAGAGATCCAAGAGTACTGTCCCAAACAAGCGTATGCGCACCTCAGTGGCGGAAGTACGGGTTTGTATTTTTGCCTAGTTTGAATTAGCTACGTCTGATTTGTTTAATATGCTTGTTATTTGAATGCCATCTGCCCATGAATTCTCCCTAGACCTGAGGACTAGGAACACTATATTAGTCACTCTCTCTTGTGATCTGAACTGTTTGTGTTCTCCTCTAAATTCTTCCTGCATGCTGTATATTTCTTTATCATGCAGTAAATGCTTTTGCCATACTTTTCCTTCGGTGATACGGTTGACACTTTCTGGCTATCTTTTTGTCATTTAAGCTTGGTGTGGGTTGGCCACCTCATAAATTTGTTGATTACCTTATACACTTTTTTGGTTTATTCGAGGATGTGGGCCTTTATTGCTAATCGTGAGATCATGTATCTATTTATTGTTTCAGGCTGAAGGACGTGGTACTGTTCCACTGAGGCAAGGTCCTCCTGTAGATAAGGAGAAAAATACCCTTGTGGATAAAGACAAGAATATGCTCAGGGCATGTAACGGGAGTTTAATGCCCGCTGAAGACAAGATCCGGGTGCTTCCTGGAGGTGAAGGATGGGATAAGAAAATGAAAAGAAAACGCTCTGTGGGTCCTTTAGTTGCTAGACCGATAGATGGTGATCGTGACTTCAAGTCATCATCGCAGCAAAGGCTGAACATAGAATCTCGTGCTCGACCCAGTGATGGTCTCAGTTTCAGGTGTGTTCATTTAAGTTTAAATTTATGCTTTGTTATGTGGACCCAGTCGTTTGCCTGATTTGTTGAACCTGCTCCTCTGTGTTCTAAATCTTTTTTGTGACATCCTGGGATTTTTTGACTCAATCAGTTAACCAAGTTGTTTCTCCCCGTTCATTGTCAGTAAGCAGTGATGGCTGTCGGTTAGTTAGGAAAGTTCGTCTGTTTGCCTAAAACACAGAGGCTTTGCTGTATTATAGTGTTTTTGGCGCTTCACTTGGCGTTTACAATTAGAAGCTAAATTTCGCTATCTTAAAGGTGAGATGCTAGTGGGGAGATATGATAGCAATGTGTGCATACTTAACCGTTTTTTGAGGTGGTCAGAGAAGATGGATGGTGTATGAGATTCTCATTTTTATTGATGTGGGAAGTTGAAGGCTTAAAGGATGGGCTATATATTCTTCATACCCCACGCAGAGAAGGATGGGATGCCAAGTCTGGGACGTATAATCCGTAGGTTTTACCAAGATTTGTGGGCAATCAAGCTGCGTTAACATTTTCAGGCTCCTATGTCAAAAGATTTTAGGCATCAAACGACCTTTCTGAACTAGTTTCACTTCAACAATTGTCTAGCTCCTACTCTCCAGCTTGTTTTCATTGGTTTTAGGTTAGGACACTTTAGAGAATCCCATTCATTTTGAGATACCTTTTTTATGGAATTTTCACCATTGATGGAACTCCAGAAATGGAAACTTAGAGAGGAAGGAAAATAAAAGAGTAAAGAAAGAAGAGAAGGGTTGAAGAAGAAGGAAGGAGACTAAAGGAAGAATTGACCCGTATCCACCAGTTGCTGGGACATTTTCCTCCACTAGCTAAGTGAAGTTCTCTGCCTTCCGTAGAAGAACATGTGCAAACAGGAGTAGAGGATCAAGGCGACTGTGCTTATGAAGAGTGAAGTTTTCACTTAAAGTCCCCATTTTTAGATCTTTAAGTTGCATACATGCACATTCCTTTCAACTTTAAAATGTCGTTTCTATGCAGTTTGAGGTAGTGAGTTTCGAGTCAGATTGTTGCAACGAATATTAGTAAAAGAGTTTTGATCAATTCGCATGTACTCTGACCTTAGAAGTTTTGATCAATCCATGTGATGGCCAACGCAGCCATTCCTATGTCAATTTGAACTCAATAATCCAAGATCGGTGCCATTTGCTACATGTTGGCAGAGTGAAACAACTTTGGGAAACCATGGAAACTATTTAGTACGTGGATGCTAGAGATATACCAGGATATTTCTTGTGGTCATTAGATGTAATAAATTGTGGTGTCTGATGCCCTTTTAGAGAGATTGGAACCAGAAAGATCTATGTTTCATGAGGAACACAACTGGGAGAGAAAATTCCCCACATTCAAGTGCTGTATTCGAGGGGAATTCACTGGTTCCAACTGCCAAGAGTTTGATCACGTTTAGATTAATGCCCACCATCTTGTTCTTCTCCACGAGCCAATGCAGGCATGAGAAGTACCAAGTTATATTTTTAACTCTAGAACTTGAGACAGTTGTAATAACTAATGAACATTTGTCTATGGTGATTTAAAGTGTCTCCCCTGGAACCCTTCACGGAGTTTTGGTCTCAAGATCAAGGCTCCGCTGGAAACTGGCATATTTTCCCCTTCTTTTTCATACTTTTTGGTAGTATTTTGTATCTTTGACTTTTATTGTCTGCGATATACGGTAATTGAAGCTTCTAACTGTTATTTGGAAGGAAGGTTACGCTGACTCAGTTCTGGATAGAAATTTGAAGGGTTGATAATCAATACTTATCATGCCAACTGATTTGCTCTCATGACCGTTTCGGCTGAAATTCGCCAACCCAGATAATCTTCGTTTGTTAAGAGTATATGTTATTTTGCTGAACCCAGTGCATATTAAGTTATTTTTCAGGACCCATAAATTGAGTGCCCGTACTTGGGTTACCACTAGTTAGCTTGATATGGCAGACCATGTGCGAATGGGCAAATTCTGCCATCTGGCAAAGCGTCTGCTGTCTCATGCAACATGGTGTTGAAATCGTTTATCCTTTCTTTGGTTTTGTGTCGATGAAAAACTTGTATCAAGAGTAAGCAGCTTTTTTGAAAATTCTTCTTTTTTTAAAAATGAAATCCATTTTTTTAATTCCCCTGTGTCCTGATATGATGATTGTCCTTCCTGCCCTCAATTATGGTTTAGATTTTCTCTCATATTTTTTGTCCATATTTTTCAAATGAATCTCCTGTCCTTCTCATTCGATTTCTCATGAACTGTTCAATTCTTGCAGGCAAGGCTCATCTGGAGTTACTGGAACTAACAAGACTGAGAGCAGTTCTCAACCAAATGTCCCTGGTAACCGTGCAATTTCGAGGGGTGAGTTTGATAACGCATCTCTTCCAAATGATCGAAAGGAACGTTTAGGTGCGCTGGACAAGGAACGAGGCATAGCAAAAGGAGGCAACAAGTACGTCGATTTTATCTTTATTCCTTATTACATATATTGATTTCATGTAGAGCTAGCTATTGTTTCCTAGTGGTGAAAGGTTCTGTTTAATCACGCTAAAAAATTATGTGATGAATCCTTTGCAATTTCTGATCCAGTTTTGTTGTATCGATTCCTAATATTTGATTCCTCCTTTTTCAAGGTCAAGCATTCGTGAAGACAGTCAGTTAGGAAGCCAAAGCCCTTTGACAAAAGGAAAGGGATCTCGGGGTCCGCGAACTGGTTCCAGTGCCATTATGAACTCATCGTCCAATTTTCAAAGAACACCTGTAGGTATTGATGGATGGGATCAAACTTCATGCTTAAGCAAGGTTCAATGCGGAAGTGGGGCAAATAACCGGAAGAACTCTCTGCCTGCTGTATCCACTTCATCTCCTGTGACTCAATGGGGAAACCAACGTCTGTCAAAAAACACACGAACGAGGAGAACAAATTTGGTTTCTCCAGTGCAAAATCATGATGAACCTATGATATTAGCTGAAGGGGTTTCTTCTGATGTTGGAGGCAGAGCAGTTGCTGAGGCCACAGGGATAACACTGTCCAGGAGTTTGAGTAATACACAGCAAATAAAAATAAAACTAGATAGTGTTCTTTCGCCATCAACAGTATCAGAGAGTGAGGAATCAATCGCTGTTGAGAACAAGTACAAGGATAAAGGTGCCCATACCTCTGAGATGGAGGATGGGGTTGTTAGCGCACTCCAGAAAGTCACAACTTCAATGTTGCCTGCTAAGAAGAATAGGCCTCCTAGAGAAGAAACTGGTGAGGGAGTTCGGAGACCGGGACGGAGTGGAAGAGGTTCATCACAATTTAAAGGAGGGGCTCATCTATCAAAAGAAAAGATGGAAAGTGTAGATCCATCACGACCACTACGTATTGGGAGGCCTAGTTCGGACATAAGGTGAAAATTCTTTTCTACTTGATTACTTTTTTAGTGAGGAGTGGAAGAGCACTGCTATTAGCAGGAAAGCCCTTTTTTTCGTGTGGTCACTGTAATGTATGAGGATGTTTCCTTTTTAATGTTGGCGCAGTAAGGTGGGTCGACCTCCTTCCAAAAAGATGTCTGAACGTAAGAGTTATGGTCGTCCTGCACATGTTATAAACAATGGCTCGTCTGAACTGACAGGTTGTTTATTTAAATAGATCAACGTGATTTGATTTCAGTCTTGTGTCGAAGAGAGGATATATTTATTCTAAATTCCTTTGCACTCTTGCAGGTGAACCAGACGATGATCACAATGAACTATTATTAGCAGCTGATTCTGCTCGTAAAGCAAGCAGTGTGTAACCAATTTCCTCAATTTTCTTTTACAATTTGGGCGAATGTTTACCTGTTTTGTTTTTTTGGATCTGTTATAGTGTTACCTTTTTGTGCAGGTCAATCATGCTCTAGTTCATTTTGGACGAAAATTGAGCAAGTTTTTTCTTTCGCTAATGAAGACGCCATCGCCTACTTAAAGCAGCAGGCATGTGCCAAGTTTCTTTGTGTTTTTGTCATATTGCATTTGTATGCACCTGACATCACTGGATGACACTGTGAACATTTTTTTTCAGATAAAATTTCTTGAAGATGTGGATGGAGGTTGCTCTGTAATGGCAGATGCTGATTGCAACACAATTGTACGGAAGCAATTTCTTCTTCCCTGATTTGATCTCTCAATTTTCTTGTCAGGAATTTCATCCATTTCAGATAATCATGTGCATTATAAGGAAATTGTTCATTGGGTTTGATATCACGCATTCTTATGTCTAGGGTGAACGAGGAGCTCATCAGCCATTATCATCAACACAGACACTTTCAAATCCGGAAGGGATGGATAACACCAAGCGGATAGTATCTGGAAAATTTGAACCAGATAGATGGCTCCAAAATATTTTTCCTCTTTCACAAAGGCTTCTTGCAGCATTCATCGAGGAAGATGAAAATGGAACGATTGACTATGGTACCCGACGAGAAGATTCTATGCAATTTGCTAGTGATTATGCGTGCCACGTTACCACTGGCCATGGCAGCTTTGAAGCCAAGAACGCAGATAAGATTGTATCTGAATATGAGTCCGAATTGAGTTTTCTTACCAGAAAAAATGGTTCTAGAGATAGTTCATGCAATGGATATAGCGGCTCCAGCAATTTTAGAAGCCCAGACAGCCAACCGTTTTCATACAGTGACGAACCTTTGCAAGAAAACAATATTCATGGAGCTCGTTCTGAATATGGACAAGATAGTATTGGCAGAGCATCAGTGATGGGATCTGATATGTCTTGTTCTACATTTGAGTGCCAATATTCGCAAAGGCGCCTGGATGACAAGATTTTGATGGAGCTACAAAATATAGGTTTACTCCTGGATATGGTGGTATGTAGTTTATTTATCTCCTCTGTGTACTCTCAATAATTGTGGTTGACTCAACATCTGTTTACATGAATGCTGACAACTTGCTGAATGTGCACTCAGTTTTTCCATTATGAAAACGTAAACACGTCCAACTTAGACTGAATCTTATTAGTTTGTATGCTGCTCAATGGACACACCGCCCTGTCAACAGATTCCATTAAAACTCGCGAACTAGTATGGGTTTTCTCTTCTCATGGATATTGGATAATTAATATCTAAAACCTTACACAATGTCTGGGAGGATTGACTCCTTTGAAGCAATTTCTTGAAAGGAGAAAAGTTAATTTTCCCTCATTTCACCCTCCAACGGGGATCTTGAAAGGAAGAAAACGGTTCTGAAAAGGGAAGGGAGGATAACGTGTATACAGAAATAGAATGATTATTTTTAACTCCTTACTTTTACAAATCTCTGCCCTTTGCTATTGGATGATTGTGTCATTCTTGCAGGAGCTAGTTTCAAGCTCCATGTTCGTGTTTTCTTCTTTTGAGAAAGTTCTGGTGGCTACAATATTGGAAGAAATCTTAAGCTCCGGAGGCTCGCATGATGAGAGTGATCATTATTAGGAGCCACTGGGCCGTTATTTTATTTAGTTGCTAAGTCACTCATGGTAGGCATATGTGGGGTAGCTGAGATCGGGAAGGCAACCCTAGTTGCCTTTAATGGTGATTAAAGAGCATGCCCCTCTGCCAAAGTGGGATTGAATTACCTCAAGTTCTGTGAATCACTTTTAGTTTCAGGGGGTCGGTTTTAGGTAATTATATTGGTAAAGCATTTCTTAGGCCAACTTGTCATCAATCAGTACCTCGCGTCTTCAGCCCTCTACTCCTACAGAGAATCAGGATCTTGGGTTTAAAATGGACTCCTGCAAGAAAACTTCTTGGCAAAACAGTCTTTCTTATGTTTTCCTGCTTACTGCATTGTGGATCACTTCATGACACCCTTGAATTGGGGTAGTGGATGAATCGAAAAGGCTCATTTCTGTTTAATTTTTAAGCCCTTATTTCTCTATGTAGCTACACAAGGAATCAAATACTCGTTCACTTTTCTTTAGCTCATAGTAGACATATTGGAACATTTATTTCAATCAATTAGCTCATGTGATTGTTTACACTCCTTTGATTTTCCGGGACCGCTTCTTTATTTGTCATTATTTTATCAGTTGAACCATGTAGATGCTTTGCTCGTTGTTTTTTTAGTGATCTAATATCCTATGTGATGCCTCTCTTTTGTATTCTGCTAAATCTCCATTTATTACTATCTGGCTATTTTGAAAATCTATTTGATTTAGTTATTATTTTCTTATGTTTGTCATCTTCTTAATCTGTGGTATGCCACCCCTTCTTTAGCCCGGTCTTGATGAGGGAGAAGATGATGAACTTGATAGAGATTTGTCAACACTAAAGGGCAAGCTTTATGAACAGGTTTTTTTCATGTCTGCACTGCGTTTGACCCACTGTTTGCAACTTACTCTAATTTAAATGAATATCTGTATTTTTCCGTTCCAGATGAAAATTAAGAAAGCTCGCTTGTATCAACTAGACAAGGCTGTACAAAATGCCAGAGAGGTTAACGAAAGGTACGATTTTTATTTTTAAATTTTTTGGTCTTGCTTTTTTCAACAGTGAATTGGGCTCTCACAATTTACCTGTTATAAATGTCCAGGAAACTGGAGAAGATTGCTATGGACAAACTTGTGGAGATGGCATACAAAAAGTACTTGGTAAGTATCAGATTCCTTACCCAACTTTTCCCTAGAATTAGTTACAGGTTCTTGTATGTATACTCTGAAGCCTTTATTCTATCTAGTAAGCTCAACCGACCTTCTTGTCTAAGTCATTAAATATCTGTGATCATTATTTTGTATATGTAGCTGATGTTCTTCACCAGGGGATAGTGGAAACTGGTCTCACTGCATATCATTTACATCTTTATGATGATCTTAAACCTGTAGAAAATGGCATGCCCATATTTTGTTGATACGACAATGACTGAACTTTGGAAAATTCTTTGGGTGGAAATTTACGTGCATAAACTTGGCTGATGAGTATTACTTGTTCAGGGTTTTCAGATAAAAGTAGGTTATCGTCCGTAGGGAAAGTTATAATACTAGATTTTCTTCGGAGTCTAAATCGAGGAAACTTATCCGTAGGCACCATTCTATCTCCTATTGCCATCACCCTCGATCATCTCTTTGATAGAGTTATTAGCCACACAGTCTCTACTTGTCTTTATGCTTATTTATCTGTCTTGTTCATCTCATTAATATTCGAATCCGTTCTTGCTGCCCTCACAATTTCTCTTGGCAAGCTGTTGTTTACAAAGATTTCCTTTCAATATAATAGATGATAGGTTGTGGGTTAATTTTAAAATTTTATATGCCTGAAACACTGTATTCTGAATTGATGCTTGACCCAATAGGATTCATATTCGTTTGTGGTTTTTCACAGAAACTAAGATTTATGTTGATCATAGGGTCTGCTGCTTAAAATATTTTCAAGTGTCTTCATTCTAGTCATTAGTTCAGCATCAAAATAATGTTTCTAACCTCTTTTCTTTGTTAACCAGATAACAAAACGCTGCTTATCAACCTAATTAAGTGAAATGTTTGGATTTTTCTTTCCCCCTTTGCATTGATTTTCCATGCGCGGGTCCTGACGGCCATTTTTGCAGGGGGGTCGCGGAAGTCATAAGAGCGGAGCCAATAAGATTTCTAAGCAAGCTGCCCTGTCTTTTGCCAAGAGAGTCCTGGAGAGATGTCGGAAATTTGAGGATACTGGATTCAGCTGCTTTAGGGAACCATCATTGCGGGATGCCTTGTTCTCTGTATCTCCATATGATGCTGCTGAAGCTAAATCTGTCGACGGTGTCCTTCCAGCAGTGGGCTCCAATACATATGCAGAAGCCCGCAGTTCTCAGCTGGGAGCCCGCCTCGGAGGTATGAAGATCCAAAATCATCTTATCATGCTGAAGAGAGGGATCCATAGAGTGCCATTGCTTTCTTCTAGTCCAATGAAATCGAGCTTAGTTATCTCAGTTTAATGCTATGATCTTTACACATGGTTGCTACCATCATTATTATTATTATTATGCTTATTACCATCTTGTTATATAGTTTGGTCATGAAATCTCTGTTTCCATGTTCAGCTTCTGGTGTGCTGACAAATACAGCAGCGGATACAAGTGGAGCTATGGGGCATAAGGTCGAGCCAGATTTGAGTAAAGGGCTGGCATCTCTCTCAGAGCAAGGTTTTGCAAAGCAGGAAGCGAATACCAGTAGAGGGAAGAAGAGGGAAGTCCTGCTGGATGATGTTGCTGGTGTGACGACTGCTTCAAGGGCGGCGTCGGCGTCGGCGTCAGTTCTTGGGGGGAACCCTCTTCCTGGGGGTGCCAAGGGGAAGAGAAGCGAAAGAGAAAGGGACCAGAATTCGCTGATGAGGAATCCCAAAGCTGGTCGCCCCTCAGTGAGTGGTTTCAGAGGTGAGAGAAAGACGAAGATGAAGCCCAGGCAGAAGACAGCCCAGCTATCATCAGCCTCGGGGACCGGCCTCCTTGGGAGACTCTCAGAGGCACCCAGCCCAGCGGCGCCCCTGCGTGAGTCCTGCGAGGCGGCGAGCAATGGGAACGAGACGCTGCCGGCCGGCTGCAGCGCCTCGAACTCGTCCAGAGACATGGAAGTGGGCATGGGGTTCCCGAACCTGTCACTGGAGTCCATTGATGGGTTAGACGTGGGAGCTGACCTCGGGGGACAGGGCCAAGATATCGGGTCCTGGTTGAGCGTGGACGACGAAGCATTGCAGGATAATGACCTGATGATGGGGCTGGAGATTCCCATGGACGACCTTTCAGAGATAAATATGAACTTCTGAGAGAGCAAAGCCCATTCCATACCACTTTTGTGCATATGGTTCTACAGGAGGCCGGGGGGTTTCCTCGAAGATAGAAGAGCTAACCACTCAAAGATATCGTCTGTTGAAAGCAGATTTAGCTAGGGCTGTCCATTCTTTTGTATACTCTTTCTCCGGAGAAGGATCCTGATTGTTCTCTGCCAATTCAAGCGCCTCCCCCTGTACCAAATCCTCTGCCTTTTTTGGTTCTGCAATTTTCCGATTTTATTATTCAAAGCTGGTATTTCTAGCTGTCAGAAAAATATTTCAAGCCACATGTTTCAGCAGCATGCCCCCAAACTGTACATTCCTTCACTTAATGATAAGAAAACTTTCAATCTTTGTGGCATCTGCAATGTTGGGTATGTATGTTCAATTATTTCATCAGCCTGAAATTTCATGGCGTTGTGCTCTCTCCGGACTGAAGGTTTGATCCAATCTCCATGGGCTTTCTCATCCATGTTCAGAGGTTTCTGTGAAGAGGCTCACTCACTTGTCTTCTGTCTGATTTTTCATTGCGGCAGCACAGTGGACGATTCCTGGTCGGAGCTACTCAAGAGGACTTGTCTTCTTCTTTGACCTTCTCTGGGATCAGATATGCTTGTGCAATCATGTTCCAACGATTCGACTTTCTCCTTGATTTGTTGACAGAAATGGAAATGACGAGGTGGGCTCAGAGGGGAGTCCATCGGTGCTGAGCTAAGACCTGAATAATATTCCTCCAAGATTCAGATTCTGGGTTTCCTCTCTCCCATTGGAGGTAAGAAATTTTGCATACGTTTTACTGTAAGGAGAGAGAGAGAGAGAGAGAGAGAGATGGCCTTTGACCATCTTTTAAGATCGATGGGCTGACTTTTTGCCTTCCCCTTCCTGTAGTTGCTTAGCCTCTTGTTGAATGAGCCCAGATGGGGGTGCCAGAAGGAGCTTCATCTCTGGTCTTCATGGCGGTTTGTTACTTGAGCATGGACTGTGTACCTCTCTGCCTCCAGTGTTCTCAGCTCGTCAGGCTTTGTGGCCATTTTAGGCAAGAAGAAGAAGTTGCAGTTGAATGGGATTCCCGCCCTGTTCTTTCTACTCCAGGGGACGGTGAGGATCTTCCTCAAGGAGCTACGATGGGATTGACTTTGTGGGGGTAGGAAATCTACTCGCTTAGCGTTAGTTTCCACCATAATTATCCAATCAATCAATTCTTTTTCTCTTGTATGCTTGGTGGTGGGGAGTGATCAGTCAGGTCGCGGATCGAAACCGAGCTGCTTCATGCCGTTGACTTCTGCGGATTTCTCCTGTGATGTAAGTCAACTGCACGCCCGAAGAGCAGTGAAAAAAAAAGGTTTGGAATTGGGATTCCCCAGATCGGGGTGTATTAAGAGCTATAGAGAAAGTGGGGACAAGGTTTGGTCAACCCCGTGGACCCTAAAAAATGGTGAGAGTCAGCATGGTGCGTTGACTGGTTCGTTGTTCTGAAATCTGGGATGGGGCTCCCCACCTGCCATCCTAGTCTCCCATTGGTCGGAGAGGAGGTTGTGACGTCACCGCCGGCGACCGCTGGCCGGTCAGATTTGTGGGCGATGAGGGGGAAGGGGGCCACACGGGCTCAGACAGATAGCTCCTCGTCGTCCCCATCTCATCCCTTCGCCCCCATTTTTGGGGGTGGGAGAAGTGGAAGATCGAGCTCGGAGGGGGAGGGTTTCCCTGTTTTCAGGTGCCCCGTTTAATTCTCCCCGAGCGGGGGAGGTTCCTGCGCCGGCGGAGAAGGAAGAGCTCGGCAAGTAGTCGCTTCACCGCCGGCTCCCGATCGACGTGGCGGCTCTCCTTCAAGGTGATTCTCCGCGCAGGTTCTTGCCCTCTTGTCTTCGTTTTTCCTCTCGAGCAGATGGATCTCGCCGATTCTGCGATCTCTCCGATTTGCGATCGATGGCGAGACCTAGGTTCCGCAGGGGGGATTGGTCGCTCGCTCGCTCGCTCCCTCTCTACCTCCCTGTGTTTTTCATCGTGTTGGGGGGTTTTAATAGCCTCGATCGTCGGGAGAAACGCTATCTCTCTCTCTCTCTCTCTCTCTCTCGCTGTCTTTTGGGGGAGACCTCCGATCTCCAGATTCTTGCTCTGGCCAACGATTCGGGCCAATGCTTGTGCGACCGCCACGGCGATGCTTCCGATTTTGCTGCCGTTCGAGCTCTGTGGAATCCGTTCGACTCCAATCAGCCCTCGTGGAGTCGTCTTCCTGCTCAGGATGGTCTGCAGAATAATGATTATTGATATTATGCCCATTCGATTAACTCAGACTGAACATCCCCCGATGCTTTCCGTGGATTCGCCCAGAAATGCAGCAGATCGGTTCCATCGTCAGCTAATTATCTTCTCCGACAACATCTTGATCAGGCACCGAACCTCGGAGATTCATCCTGTTCTTCGCCCGGCGGGCGATGATGGAGGCCCTCCCCGTGGAAGTCATCGGCAACATCCTCTCCCGCCTGGGCGCCGCCAGAGACGTGGTGATCGCCGCCGCGACTTGCCGGAAATGGAGAGAAGCCTGCCGGAACCACCTCCACACGCTCCGCTTCAGCTCCGACGACTGGCCCATGTACAGAGATCTCACTTCGAGCCGGCTCGAGATCCTCATCACCCAGGCCATCTTCCAGACCACGGGCCTGCAATGCCTCTCCATCTCCATGGACGAAGTCGTGACCTTCTCTCCGGCCCCCGTCATCGCCTGGCTCCTCTACACCAGGGAGACCCTGCGGAGCCTCTCCTACACAGTCCGCACCTCCCCGAGCTTCAGCATTCTGGAGAGATGCGGCCGGCAGAAGCTGGAAGCGCTGTTCCTCGCCCACAACGCCGTAATGGCGGTGGAGCCCAGCTACCAGAGGTTCCCCTCCCTCAAGTCTATCTCCTTCAGTAGCGTCAGCATATCGGCGCTGGACCTGAGCCTCCTCCTCAGCGCCTGCCCCAAGCTCGAGTCTTTGGCCCTCATCAGCCCGGAGATCGCCCCGGACTCGCTGGCCGCCATGGAGCTCAGCTCCCCCACCCTGAAGAGCATCTACGTGGAGGCCGTGAGCTTGGACAGGTTCCTCCTGGAAGCGGACTGCCTGGAACTCCTGCACCTCAAGGACTCCACTCTGGAGCTCTTCGAGTTCGCGGGGAAGGGGACCCTGAAGCAGCTGAAGATCGACGACTTGAGCGTCATGCACCTGGACATCGGGGACAACGTGGAGCGGCTGGAAGTCGTCGACGTGAGCAACTTCACCATGGTTTGGCCCAAGTTCTACCAGATGATCTGCAAGTCCTCGGGGCTGAGGAAGCTGCGACTCTGGGGGATCATCTTCGACGACGAGGACGATGCCGTCGACATAGAGACCATTGCCGGCTTCTTCCCCAGCCTGAGGGAGCTGTCGCTGAGCTTCGACCTGAGGGAGGGCCTGCTCCAGGAGGGGCTCCAGGGGGCCACACAGCTGGGGAGCTTGGCGGTGCTGGAGCTGGGGTGGAACGTCATCACGGACCAGTTCGGGCAGTGGGTGGCGGGGATGCTGGGGAGGTGCCCCGAGCTCAAGAAGCTGGTCGTTCATGGCGTCGTCTCAGAGGCCAAGACCCACGAAGAGTGCCAGACCCTCGCCGATTTCACCTCCTTCATGGTCTCCCTCATGAGGAAATACATGCACATCGACGTGAGGTTTGAGTACGAATAGAGCTCGGCTGCTTCTTCTCCCTACCCCCTCCACTCCCCTCCCCCTCCCCCCCGTCGTCGCTTCGTCCCAGGTTAGAAGAGCTTCGCAGATGATAATTGTAATCTGATTTCATTCTTCGCCTCTCGTCGTCTTGCTCGGAGGAGGGTGATGTCAGCGGGCTGGATTCCCCCGCGGCACCTGCCGGATGCTCGCTCATCACCCACTCACCCACTTCTGGGTGAAGAAGGAGAGAGAGAGAGAGAGAATCCTCTTGGTCGTGACCCACGCCAAGAGGATGGGAGCAGGGCAGAAGGTCATCTGAGGCAATCATTAACGTGGGGGCTAGTAACCTCATTAGAGTAGGGCCTTGTTGGTTGGCACCTTGAGGGCATGCAAGCCCTTACACAAGGGACTAATATCAGTCTTGGCAAGGCATTGTGACCCTTTTTGTGAAAAGCATTTACCCTTTTTGTGGGAACTTTGCTGAATTAGACTGATTGGGCGTCATGGAGGATGGCATGGTTGGTTGCATGAGTAGACAGGGTATATTATCTAGTCAGGGAATTCATGGGTCACAACATGGTATCAAAGCAAGCAACAATAGATGGGTAAACTAGAACTTAGGGGCAGAGGATGATGTAAAGTGTTTTTGTTTGGTGTCTGCTGCTAGAAGATGTGTAGGTAGTGGCAATGGGGGCCATTGTTTATACCAACAATGAGCTGAGATCGAGCTTGGACGTTGTTGCCTAGTGTGAGACTCTGATCACCTTTGTGCCGGATGTGACAATGTTAAATCACATGGTAGTTAGCACATAGCCGACTAGGGTCGCAACAAATGACAAGATATTATTTCTCAAAGCATATACAAGGCTCACAATGCTCAAGAAATTGAGGATTACTTTTGGGATCGCATCCAAAATTTTAAGGTGAGTTGCAGAGCTGAGGATGAGAATATTGTGCTTGTTGGTATGTAACTTAAGCAGATGTCAAGTTATAGTAGAAGACTCTTATCTTTAAATCGGGCCAAGACCCCAATCTTCATATGTGATGAGTTCTTAGTAAGGAATTGAATGAGCAGTTTCTCCTAATGAAAATCATGTGCTTGGTTAGGAAAGTGCTCCGCCGGCTAAGGCACACTAGTGCAATGAATTTCCCAACTCCTAGATACACAAAATGTATATGAAGAAGATAATTTGTTTAAATTTATGGATAATCTTCAAGCTTGGGTGTGTAAGTAAAGCTGCGACACCTATGTATTTGGGATATACAATTGCCAATATTGAGAGACAACACATGACTACAAGACTAATTAATAAAATGGCGTGTACCATTAGATAGAAGGAATGAGAGGTATTCATTGTGGCATTATTAGTTGTTGACAACATGATCTTATTAGATACCTAAACCACAGTGGTAAAAGACTCCAAGGTAAAATGCTTAATTCAATGTGCAATAGAAAGCTAGATGCGACACTTCTAAGTAGAGGATAGAATATTATATGCACATGGCTGTTAGTTATATGTATCACATGTATGCGGTCTACATTGGCGTTTATTATGTTAGATGTACCATCTGTCTTATGTTGGGCAATTCATACATGTTCATACTACTGTCCGACAACTTCCATTGGCTCAAGGTGCACAAAAAAGGAAAAATCTACGTATGTTCTTACTTTACTACTAACTAAACAAGACATAACTTATGAAAGTAGTATGCATATTCACATCACAATTGATTCAAAATCGACCATGAAAGTCAATTTAAATGGATTTGCTGGTCAAGAATGAAGAAGTATGACATAATCTTCATTGTCGTCATATAATTAAAGAAGCATGTTCACTAAGCATTTTTTTTAGCACTTTTCTTCAATTAGATATGCAACTCAATTCTCTATAAATTACTACTTCCAAATGAAAAGCATGATATAATATATTAATGGTATGTTAGAAGAATACTTTTCTCACTATGTAATAGAAAATCAAGGAACATTTTGAGTAACCCCTTTAGAATTAGTGAAGTAAAGGGGACTTGGCAGTGTATTTATTCACTCAAACTTGGTAGGTGCATGCAGAGGGGGTGCTCAAAACTTTGTTGTAGGTAGTGAAGCTCATTAAAAAGACTACAGATCAATATCAACGTAAAGTGAAATTTAATATGCGCAATTAAGTTCTTCTATGCTTGTACTAAGGCTTGTACAATAACATCAAATAAAGAAAATGTCATCGAGGGCTGATGTCATACTTTGATGGGCTGTTTAAGATTAGAGCATCAGTAAACTAGTTGACCTATTGACTTAATTTACTCAAAATACTGATGATCCACTAAGCCTTCCATCTTTCACAATTGAAGGCTTAAAAGACAGATGAAAGGGGAAGGAGAGTAACTATCTTCAACAAGTACCTCCAATTATTTTTGCTCATATTTTGGCCATGATAAAGATAACTTCGGGGTGAAAAGAATTGAATCATAGGAGCTGGTATCATAAAACTTGTCATGTGTACTTGTCAAATGGTGCAAAGTTTAGAATAAGATGTGATATGTGAGCACAACATTGACCTTTAGTAGTTTAAGGATCTCATCAACTAGTCCGTTGAATATTACTTTTTTCAACAAGGACATTACACTACACTTTTGGGAGCACTTGTGGTGTGTACATATAGAGCACGGTAGAAGATTACCAATACCAATTGATTCAACAAGAATCTTAAGATGTTATGATGAAGCATGACATATGAAACAAAGGTTTAATGGTCATTTGATTGGAGCAAGGCATCAAAGTAGGCCCTAATGGTCCTACCAAGGGAGCATGACGTTAGAGAAGGGGATAAAAGCTTGACTAGAGCAATGCATTATGGCTTAACACTTCAAGAGGCCTATGCATCCTTATAGAATAAGGGAATAACCTTAGTCTTTGGAAGACATGATGTTCATCCTTATTTTGTGTATTCCTTTTTGTGAAGAGCATTTACTCTTTTTGTGTGAATCTCACTAAGCAAGCTAGGCTTGTTGGACATCACAAGAGATGGTCATTGCTAGTTGCCTAGATAAATAGTATATAGTTAGGGAGTGGCTAGGTGACAATTTTAGGGGGTTGACGATGGCTTGTGATTATTTCTGCCATTCAGAGGACAAAGAAGAAAAAATATAAATTTATCTATTTATGGCAGAAAAGAACTTTTCTTTGTAAAAATCTATTTAAACCCTTTACCATGTTATATATTTTTTCCTAAGTATCAAAAATATTGTCTCATCACTACCGTCTATTCTCTCTCTCTCTCTCTCTCTCATTAAATACAGGCAGACCTAGGCTATCATATGGCGTTTTCAGGGCCAGTCAGGGAAGGCCCAATAACAACTAGGCCCATTAGGGGCTTAATATGAGCAGCAGCGAGAGAAGCCGGGGCCGTGTGGTGCGTGTCAGAACGAGGGGCATACTCGACGAGGGGACCCTCTGACGGAGCCCTACTACTGTAGACTGGGTGGGCGCATACGGCGAAGTACGCTCATCTTTCAAAAAGCCGTTCAGCTCAGGCAACTGTGATTGAACAACGTGAAATACAACGATCACCCCCTCCAATGCCATGCCAACAGGTCAGCCCCAACTGAGACAGAGGAGCGGGGGGAAAGAGAGAGAGAGAAAGAGAGAGTCACTGAGGTCGAAGGCAAGGCAACGTGGAACTCTTGATCCAAGTTGAGCGGTGACGAGGAACCTTTGAATTTAATCATTCTTCTGGGTCGAATAAGGAAGGATAAAGATTAGAAATGTAGCGTCTGGAGCTAGATATGTGGGCACATCGGACAAAGATCTTTTGGGACTGGAAACTGTGAACAGACCTCAGCGTGGCGACCCCTTTGCTCCCGCTGTAGAAGACCGTTCATCGCCTCCCCCCCATCTCCCAGTGGTGATATGCGTTCTTCTACCTTGTGCTGGAGAGAGAGAGAGAGAGAGAGAGAGAGAGAGAGAGAGAGAGAGAGAGAGAGAGAGAGAGAGAGAGAGGGGGGGGGGGGGGGACATTCAGACAGACGCCGTCCAGAGCAAAACTTCTATTCATGGCTTCGGCTGTCTGAAGAAGGAGGCCAATATTGAATTGGTGAGAGGGGCGAAGAGCCTGGCAAGCGCGTTCATCCCCATTCACTCGTTGCTGGCTTTTCAGATATTAGGGCAGACGGCCCGTAAGCACAGGGCCCCCAACAGTGCCCGACTGGGCGCGCCACCGCAGCTCGCCTCGAGATGAGGTCGTGAACCCGACAATGGACTCCCACGGGCGACGCCGTGCATGGAAATAGTAAGAAGAGGGACGACTAAACCCCCCATCTTCCCTGTAGCAGTCCTTTCTTTCTCCTCATCTCGCCGCAGCCAAGGAGACACATATATGGCTTGTTGGGGACTCTCGTGGCTGACGCAGGTTGTTTGAATCATGCGGCGTATATTCATACAAATACAACTTCCTTGCAGAATCCGGCGCTGGAGTGAAGATATTATCCTATTATCCTTCAGCACAATAGAACCTCTCTCTCTCTCTCTCTCTCTCTCTCTCTCTCTCTCTCTCTCTCTCTCTCTCTCGGTATATACGTAGACATGCATATATGCTCATTAGTCTTGAGTTGGGGAGGGATATTCAGAGTAATGAGATGTAGGCATGTATATATACATAGAGATAATCCGTTTTGAAGGGATCCGGCTGAATGGTGGTGTTCTCATTATATAGCTCAGCGGGTGCAGCTGCCGGCCGTTCGTCACTAGAACAGTGAGAAGGATGACGAGAACCTTCTATACATTTATATATTCGGGACGATATGATGTGGATTTGAATTCCGTTCTCGCAGAGAATTGTCAGATAGATCTGAAGTGATCGATGGGGAAAGGATGGGAGGCTGTTTAATGCGCTCGCGACGGCTCCTTCAACGAGGACGTTGATTTCTCGCTTCAGATGGGATATGTTGTTAGAAGAGAGAGAAACTTCTCTGGGAGATCAGACCATGAGAGAGAGTCCCGAGGGTTCCTTCTCCTTTGGACAAAGACCGAGATCGTAGAAATCGGTTCAGCAGTTGTCGCAGCTGCCCACGCCTAGAGAAAAAAAATAGCGATCTCCTCCTCATTTAAATAAAAAAATGGGAATCTTCCAAGCATCTCCTCCCCGTGACTAAAGGCCTAATCTTCCAATCATGAATATCATGCATCCATCAAGGTCAAACCCATTGTGTGGGCTTCTCGCCGAATCCATCATTCCTTGGGGGAGAGAAGGGGAATGACCTACTCTTCGGTTTCATTAAGGGACAGATTCGTATAGTCGTCGAAGTGGGGCAGCTCAGCCGTTTAGCAAGGCGTGGAGTGGGGGTAATTGATAGGGCTGAACCCCACCCCCATGAAAAAGACGGCGTCTTTATTTATTTCTCTCTCTACCTCTCTCTCTCTCTCTCTCTCTCTCTCTCTCTCTCTCTCTATCTCTATCTTTCTCTCTCTAAATCTCTCTCTCTCGATGTCTCTCTCTGTACATGAGGACGCACCGAAGAGGAGATTGGCAGGACCACGGATGCATGCGTTCCACGGGTGATATTATTACGGAAGCTTGGTGAGAACGCACATGAATGGTCAAGGTTCATATCAGTTGTTTTCAGTGACACAGGAGCCATTCGGCTGTAACCCACTGGAGGCGACCTCTGATCATCCTTTCCCACTGTGCACCGATCTCTCTAAATCTCCTTGGAGCGAGAGAGAGAGAGAGAGAGAGAGAGAGAGAGAGAGAGAGAGAGAGAGAGGGAGCTCTCCTTCATCTTCCTCGCTTCCTCCATCTCATTGTAGAGGGAGCTCTCCTTCGTCCTCTCTTCATTCGTCATCTCCTCACGGAGAGAGTTCGTCTTCCTCTCTACCTTCTTCGTCTCCACGGGGAGAGGATTCTTCCTCGTCTCTTCTCTCTTCATCTCCCAGCGGAGAAATATCTTCCTCTGGTTCTTCAGCTTGTGCAGACGGGTTTTCTCCCAACGGCAGGCCTACCTGGTACTCTTTGCCGTCCTTCTACCTTACCTTCGCTTATTTTACCTCAGTCGACTGGGCTGCCCGGTTCAATTTATCTTCTCCTCTTATTCCAGAGAAGCCAATGAAGATATCCGAGGAAAAAGCGCTGAAGGGCCGATAGGCATGGCTGTCTAACCATAAGGGCCCAAGGAGGGATGGCCTTTCAACGGCTGGGAGACGCTGGCCTCTCGGAATTAGGGCTCTCCAATCAATCTCTCGCTTATGGAGTCCATGGAATGTCTGCCCCATCTAATTTCTTGTATTACTCCTCAATTCCCTCATTCTTCATGCTTTCGCTCTTTTTTCCTCATCGTCTTCCTCTCCCTCCATTGCAGTCGTCGCTGGCCTTCTTTCTTCTCCTCTAGACGTTGTTCCCCTTCTTCCTGTAATTGTTTCTCTTGTAGTCCATAATCATCATCGCCGTCATCATCCTATGGACATTATTACCTCCTCTCTTCTGTTTCTTCGTCGTCGTCGTCGTCGTCGCCAATATCATCTTCTTCTTTCTCCTCTAGTTGTGGATCCTATTGTCCATCTCTCCTGGAAAAACGTAAAGTTGCACGGGAAATATTAACGCGAAATCATACCCCATTGACTTCACCCTCTTCTCGAAACCCAACTATTCGTATCATTTGGTTTGGCGATGCCATTTGATAAAACCTGCCATCGAATAAGCGGCATCACCGCTCCATCTCTACGGCCCGTTCAGCCGCCTCTCTTGCACCGTTATCTCCCTCTTCCAGTACTTTCTCATCGTTTCGTGCCCCTCCATAGCCTCTTTCTTTTTCGGCAAAATTCCTAGTTCCACTAACTAATTATGCTGTTGTCGTGATGGATCAGCGACCAGGAAGGTTCTTCCTACATTGGGGAGCTCGAGGAGGCTCTCATGCAAGGAGTTGTTGGCGCAAGAGCTGACGCAGACAGAAAATGTTGGCCATCTTTCTTTCTTCCTCCCTCTTTCTCTTTCGTTCTCTCTCTCTCTCTCAAGCTATGTATCTTTCTCTATTCCTACCCCAGTTCCTATCCCTATCCCTATCTATCTATCTATCCATCCATCCATCCATCCATTCATCTATGCATCCCTCCCACCGTCTTTCTCTCTCTCTCTCTCAAACGCAGACATGGTAACAATGTCAAGGTAGGAGGTTGGCACTTGCTCGCGACTAATCATCGGAAGAATGAGAGTCCAACTGGTGCAAGCGCGCGCATGGACATAAGAGACTCTCTCCCCCCTACGTAGCTTTACTTTCCAAAGCCAAACACCCCCCCCCCCGTCCCCTTCATCTACCTGTACGAGCTTCCCTTTTGGAGCCTAACTGGTACGAGCTTCGCTTTTGGAGCCGGCGGCTGCCTCACATCAGCTCGTCTCCCTTCTTTCTTGCAGCCCTCCTCCAGGCCAGGCCTCCCCCTACCCTGGAGATTTTCCCCTCGTGGCCTATGAGCTTCCAAAGCGCGCCAAGAGTAAGATTACGATCGCGATCACTGATATTTCCCCCTTCTTTTTCCTCATCAATTAGGGTTTTATTTATTTAATGAGTGCAACAGGGGAACTCGCAGTCGAGTACAGATTCTGGGTCAGCTCAGAGGATCACTGTTTCATCAGCTCCTACGGATCCAGAGTCTCCAGTGAGTAGGAAGGCTCCCCCCGAGTGGAAACAGCGAGGGATGGCCGGCTCTGCAGGAAGAACAGTGACATCTACTGTTGAGAATCATCAGCCCAAGCCCCCAAAAAAGGTAAGATTTAAGTGAGAGTCTATCCAATGTGGGTACTGTTCGATCGTCGTCTTCCTTAATAACTGCCTAGTTTTGCCTTCATGGTGCCCTCGCCTCTAGGGCATCAGAGGGAGGGCAAAGCCAGGAGCCCGGCTGGCCGAGGTTCTCCTCCGGGCTGAGTCCAGGTTTCTCTCTCCTTCCTCCCATCTCTCACTCTTTTCTCTCTACGAGAGAAGGGCCGGACCCGGGCCTTACTAGAGTCCGGCATCATCCCGTCTTTCGGGCGTTTTCTCCGGACCCGTAGGAGACTCAGCCCGGCCCGTTGACGTCCATGCCGAGATCTCAATGACCGGTGGTGGTTGTATCAGTCTGCGGTGGCAGTGTTTGACCACAAATTACAGTGACGAGCCAACACAGACTCCAAGAAGGACCGGATGTCTCTTTTAGACGACTATTTACCGGAGATGGCTCTAGGTCATGGTTCAAGCTCACCCCATTCTTTACGAGTTTGACCGGAGGGGAGCCAAGAACTGCAGAAACAGTGGATCGTCAACACAAATACCAAGAAGGGTGAAATTTTATATTGCTTTAGCGGATATTTGACGTCCTTCTGAATTCTTTTCCTTCTTGGTCCTTCATGCCCGGCTTTAATCTACGCCTGTTTCTCGACTCGCTTCCTGAGATTTGAGTGTTTACGGCTGGCTATCCGTATTCTGTCCATTTGGCCACGTGCTTCTCCCTCTCGTTTGCTGCAGAGCTGAGGTAGGCATGAGATAAAATACAGATCTTGAGAGAGAGAGAGAGAGAGAGAGAGAGAGAGAGAGAGAGAGAGAGAGAGAGGGAGTCAGTAACCCACTCGTTGTTTTTGATCTTGCAGAGAAAAGATGTAGAAAAAGATGGGAGGCCACTGGATCCTAAGGTCATACTCGAACCTTCGTTTGATCTCTCTCCCTCTCCCTCTCTCTTGGAGTCGATGCATGCACGTGGTATGCAAACACATGTACCACGCGCGAGCTGCTCAGCATCTGATTACACTCGATGATATCTATCTTCATACCTCATCTGTTTTCCACAGACGTTGAGGCGGTTGGCACAGAACCGAGAGGCGGCGAGGAAGAGCCGTCTGAGGAAGAAGGTGTCCCCACATCTCTCAACCTTCTCAGTCACTCTCCCTCTCCCTCTCTCTCTCTCTCTGTATAGATATACATACATATATATATATATATATATCATTCTATGTATCTATCTAGTAATCTCTGTCGCCATCTGTCTGCGCATGTGACCGACGGCGTGTCGTTTAAAGGCTTACGTCCAACAGCTGGAGACTAGTAGAGTGAAGCTTGCTCAGTTGGAGCAAGATCTTCAGAGAGCACGCTCGCAGGTTCAGCCCACGTCGATCCTTCACTCAGAGATTTTCTGCGGACTAATATGTTCAGAATCTGATTTCAATACCTCTTGGTGGATCGGCGGCCAGGGTTCTTTCTTCGGAGGAGGAGGTGCAGGTGGGAATGTCTTCAGCTCCGGTAGGAACTTCATAAACCCTAATGATCATATGAAATCCAGTGGTTGTTGTTGTCTTGACGCGTATTTCTCAGGTGCGGCAATATTCGATGTGGAGTACGCCCGGTGGCTGGAGGACGACGACCGGTACATGGCGGAGCTCCGGCGATGCCTGCAGGCTCGGTTGCCGGACGGCGACCTTCGAGTGGTCGTCGACGAGTGCCTGAACCACCACGACGAGATCTTCCGGCTGAAGGACGTCGCCATGAAATCGGACGTCTTCCATCTCATCAGCGGCGCTTGGGCGACGCCGGCGGAGCGGTGCTTCATGTGGGTCGGCGGCTTCCGGCCATCAGAAATCCTCAAGGTCTCACTCTACGCGTGAAACAAGAACTTGTGCTGGTCTCCAAGCGTGAAGAAGACTTGTAGGCTGTAACCTGATCTCATGGATGTGGTGAGAGCAGATATTGACTCCTAAGCTGGACCCGTTGACGGAGCAGCAGCTGGTGGGAATAGGAAGCCTGCAGCAGTCTTCCCAGCAGACCGAGGAGGTGCTTTCTCAGGGCCTTGACCAGCTCCAGCGCTCTATGGCGGAAGCGGTGGCCGGGGAGCTCCTGTGCGACGGTTTAAACGTCGGCAACCACGTGAACCAGATGGCCGCAGCCCTAGGAAAAGTCTTCGACCTCGAAGGATTCCTCCGACAGGTGCTCTCTGTCTTTCTCAATCTCTCCATATATATATATCACCGTCTGTTCCTCTTTCTTTCTTAATCTCTCCTCTCTCTCTCTCTCTCTACGTAATCATCTATCCGTCTACTAACCTACCCCTCTCCCTCCCTCTCTCTCTCTCTCTCTCTCGATCCGTATCTGCCTGCCTACCCAACAACCCTACATCTCTCTCTCTCACACACACACACTCAATCTTTCCGCATCCCTACCTACCTATCTATGCCAACTCTCTTTTCTCTCTCCGCATCATATACCTATCTACTCATTTAGCTACCCTCCTCTATCTCATCCTTGCTCATCATATACCTGTCCGTCCACCTATAAGCCTATTTTCCTCCCTCCCTCTCTCTCTCTCTCTCTCTCTCTTTCTCTCTCTCTCTCGCTGTGTATCTCCTAGTTTCCTTGCATGTCCCTTTCTAGCTATCTGCCGTCTGTGGGGAGGATTATTTCTTGCGGATAAACGGTTGCATTCAGCCGAGAGCCATAACCACCTTGTCCTACATGGATAAGATAAAACACACATTCATGTCATCATATCCGCTTCAAAGCCTCCTGAAATTCTCAGACCTTCCTCATCCATTATTGATGATACTTGCCTCTCTCTCTCTCTCTCTCTCTCTCTCTCTCTCTATCTCTCTCTATCTCTCTCTATCTATCTATCTATCTATCTATCTATCTATCTGTCCACATACATGTTCCCATATCCATCTCTCTATCTATCTATGATAGATGCGCGTCGAGGGGTGGGTGCAACGGCGTTGAGCCAGCGTTTCAGAACCATCCCCCGCACAAATTCTCAAAACTACTCCCCGATCCGGGCATTCCTTCGTCCAGAGGGCAGTTTTCTCTCTCATCTCCTCTCCTCTCCTCCCACCTTCCCCTCCATCGCCGCAGATCCTATCCAAGGGCCACGGTTGACCCACTCTCAGAGCCAATGACTTGGCTCACTGCCCACCGGTGGTCCCGTCCCATCTGGCCGGACCACCATCTCTTCCAACAGTACTCTCCATGCGATCAGAGTAATCTTCCCTACGAACCAAGCGTGCACGCATAGAACACGTATAGAAGAAAGCATACATAGCTGCTTCATGCTGCATTAATGACGATCTTGAGCTTGTCTTCAGGCCGATAACCTGAGGCAGGAAACCCTACACCAGATGCGGAGGATTCTGACCATCCGGCAGGGCGCGAGATGCTTCCTCGCCATCGGAGAGTACCACAGCAGGCTTCGCTCTCTCAGCTCCCTCTGGGCCTCCTCCCGCCCCGAAGAGTGAGTCGTCTGTTCCTCCCTCTGACCTCACGTATTTTCCCGCATTATCCACCGCCGGCATCTCACAGATGCCATTTTTAGATTATATCTGCGATTATTTTGATGCATGAGAATCTATGATTTTAGCCCATTTTAGGGTTTGATCGGTGGGTATGTGTTCTTCACCGGTAGGGCCTCGCTCGGAGATGACGGCGCTCGCCACACTTCCGCCACCGACATGCAGGTTGTTCATCAGCACCCACAGGGCCATTTCTCGCCCTTTTGACTTTTCTCGCTGGCACACCCACGAGGCATCATCATCTTCTTCTTCTTCTGCTGATGAGCTGTTATGGGCCGAGATCGATCATCGTCAAACGATGCTTTAAATCCATAGATAAGAGGGGTCAACGTCAATAGATTAGGTGTACATCAAAGGGATGCTCGTCCGTTGACTTCTCCCGAGGTGGGAGGAGGGATGGGCTGCTGTCCTCTGCGTCATTTTGATTTTTTGTATAAATTCGCATTTCTATATGGTTGTTTCTTCCCCTCGTTCAGCGAGAGCTACGTAGGTCGTTCTTCAATAGGGCTGGCTGAGCTCTCCTTTGTTGACTTTCTTCCCATGGTTTTAAAGCGGTGGCCCAATTCGATCTTTTTGGCCCAGCTCGGGGCCCGAGGCCCTGTTCTCTAATTGGGCCCCGTATCCTCACTATAGATTACATCCATGGTGGAAATCGAAGTGGTAACCGATAGTGGGGTCCGAACGGCTGTTAGCAAGCCACGCACCCCTTTCTCATTACGATATGTGATATGACTATAATACCCCTTTTCTTACCGTTTATTTATCGATCGTTCTTGAATTGCCCAGAATACCCCTAAAATGAGAGAGAGAGAGAGAGAGAGGGAGCAGCGGATCTGGATTTCCTAAACTGCCCTGCGCCAACTCGACAGAGTAGACTGGACCACTTTAGAGAGAGAGAGATTTCGCGGTTATGAGGTTTTGCTTAAACCCTTCCGTGTGGTGGCGCGCACAGATTCTCTCTCTCTCTCTCTCTCTCTCTCTCTCTCTCTCTCTCTCTGTCTCTCGCGAGAGGAAAGCGGCAAGCAGCCAAGGTGCAGGCATTTTTGTCTGAGCTTCTTTCCCGTCTCGTAGTTCCCCTACAATCACCATCCGCTTCCTTCCCGCGGAACGCCTGGCGGTCGGGGGCGGCGCGCAGTAAATCGACACCGAGGACTCCAAGGTCTGGGTACCTCTTCTGTACGGATCTCGAGCAACCGAGGTTTCATATGCGGCACTCTTTTCTCCCTCGTTCTGAGTAATTGAATGTGTTCATCTGCATCGTTGAGTGGAATTTTACGGTAGTTGCCCTCGTATTGTTCTTTGAGTTCCTCCTCCTTGTTCCAGTTCTGGACTTGGGTTTGGGGTTTCCCTTGCTAGGACACCTGCATTTAATGTTTTTGTTGCTATTATCGTTAGCGTTAAACTTCTCTCTTCATCGAGGATAGCCCCTGTTTGAGACGGCGTTTTGTACTTTTCTGACGTCTTTAGTTGCCTTTTTCTTCCTTTATCCCTTCAGACTTGACGCCTCTTGACTCAAATAAGCGGGGCGTAGAAGGCCAGAGTGCGACGCTTATGGTTAATGCGACATAATCTTCACGGTAAAGTGGTGTTGTTTGCAACGAGTTCTTCACGGAAGAGCAGCTGCTTGATTGTGGCTTTGGTAACAGCTCTTGGGATTTCACTATCGTCTACTTAATGGGAACTCGGACACCGTGCTTTACCCCCGCTGATGTTAGGATCTCAGTAGGTGTATCAGCGGTTCTTGGAGGGAGATCTTTGACAGATAGCCGAGTTGGTTGTATTAACTGGCCAAAATTTGCCGATGAAAGAAATGGGGGTATTGGCCCGAGTATGAGATTCTCATCAGGCTTGCTTCCCCTGAGATCCTCTTTAAACAATTCCCACAGCAGCAGCCAGTACCACAAGGACCCTTTCTTGAATCTACACCCTGAGGTCTCTCTGCTTAGGGGTGATGGGAATGACGCAATCATTCCTCCTGGGAAGGATAATGTTGTGACAGAAAGTTCAAGGGATACGACCATCCCAAATAACTATAACGAAGCCAAAATTAAAGTGATCGGTGTCGGTGGTGGGGGTTCGAATGCTGTTAACAGAATGATAGAGAGCTCCATGAAGGGCGTGGAATTTTGGATTGTTAACACAGATATTCAAGCAATGAGGATGTCCCCTGTGTTTCCAGAGAATCGCTTGCAGATTGGTCAAGAGCTGACTAGAGGTCTCGGTGCTGGTGGGAACCCAGATATTGGTATGAATGCCGCGAAAGAAAGCAGAGAGACAATTGAAGAGGCAGTGTATGGTGCTGACATGGTTTTCGTGACGGTAATCTTTTCTCTTCTTTTGTTTGCCAATACACAGTCCGGATAACTATTTATGGCAACATATTTACAAAGTTGAACTTCTTATGTCGCTTCTGTTCTGGGTGCTTTTTGTTTCTGCCTCGTTGGCTTATGTCAAGCTACTAGTTATATTATACTTTATTGAGTTTTTTCTACACTCTGATAAGTTTCTGAAAGATAGTTATAACGTGTTGTTTTTTCTAGCCTTTGAACTAACCTGAAACTGAAACCTTTCATTGAACTTGCATTTGCTTAATTGCCTTCAACTACACTGATGATGCTTCAACGTCTGTTCAAAATCACCTACTTTTGTTGCTTCATGGAAAAAAATATGATTTGACAATGGAAGCGATATCTTTAGATTCTTGACAAAGGAATTGACTTAAAAATTTACTGTCGAAACAACCATGGAACCGTTGAAGATGTGTGTGCTGCAGCCAATACTTCAAAGCTTATCTTGGGACGTTTGTCTGCCGGAAAACTGTTGTCATCAAAATGAATTGTTCACCCCTTGTTAAAGTTTTCTACGCTGAAGCGAGTTGGGCCTGAGGTTTGTTCATCACTTGTATCTGTGATGTGGTGCCTCATCCTTTTCGTCAATGATTTTGCAAAAGTGAATAAAAAAATCTCTTTACTTGTTCAAGCCATGCATCCCACTATAAATAAATGCGCCTGAATGTATGTGTAAAATCATCGTTTGTAAATTATTTCTATATATTTATTTTTTTATTAAATTAAAAATCATAGTTCTTTTTTTGTCTCTTTCTTTATTCCAATGAAACCTAACTGTGGGAAATTCAATTCGAAGCATCAGCAACGTTACACGAATTCAATTTATATGAATTGACATTGCGATTATAGCTATGAATACATTTTGTTTTTATTATCTCATGTCACCCCAGTCAGAATTTCAGCTGCCATGCAATTAGTTTTTGTAAGTTTGCTGATTCCTGACCTGCAATTTTAGTAATCAACATATTATCATTTTTCCTCGTATTTTAACATTTCAACAAAATGAAATTTTTTCCATCCTTACTATTACCAAAAAAAAAAAAGAAAAAAAAAGAGAAGAAAACCTGGATGACTTTTAAATTTTGTTCTGGAATAGGACATTCTGCAGAAGAATACGGCAAAAAAAGAATCCAGCTTGATATCCAGTATTTTATTTTCCTTTTTTATTAGAACTTATGTTCAAAATAGTCCATTGGCTTTACTAGCCATGAAATTTGTTGTATTCTTGTTTCGTCAATTTATTCCACAGCCTTCATCCTTACACTACTTCTTCTGCTTATATCTTGATGATCTCGTTCCCATTTTACTTTGTCTACTTCATATTTGTGGAGTTTTTCATTCATTTAAAAATGATGTATATTTCTTTGTCAGCATAACTTTTTGATGGGTTTGCTGAGTTCATAAGTTTCTTTCGTACCCAGGCTGGAATGGGCGGTGGAACGGGCACTGGTGGTGCTCCTGTTATTGCAGGAGTTGCAAAGTCAATGGGCATCTTGACTGTTGGAATTGTCACTACTCCATTTTCATTTGAGGGAAGAAGACGTGCTGTTCAAGCTCAGGAAGGAATTGCAGCTTTGAGGAACAATGTTGACACATTGATAGTGATTCCAAATGATAAATTACTGACTGCCGTTTCTCCTTCCACCCCTGTTACTGAAGCATTTAATTTGGCTGATGACATACTTAGACAAGGTGTTCGTGGTATCTCTGATATAATCACGGTGTGTATTTTTTAATGGTGGGCTATGTGGCCATATATAAATATAATGTTAAACCTTATTTTAGCAACATATCACTCACATCATGGCATTTCCTTTTTCATTTCGAATTGGGTTTCTTCTAATTACCATCTTTGTTTCCGTTGATCAGTTGATCGTGGTTGAAGTATTTATTGATCGGATACTGGCTTTTTCATGCAGATTCCAGGCTTGGTCAATGTCGATTTTGCTGATGTCCGAGCTATTATGGCTAATGCAGGTTCCTCGTTGATGGGAATAGGAACTGCAACAGGTAACCGCATATATAGGGCACAGAAACTTACCATGCCTGCTGAGATTTTGTTCTCTTCTGATTCACAAGAGGATATCCGCAAACCCAGAGAGGAAAAAATTTCAGCCTGAAGTCTGTCAGTTCGCAGTTTATAAGGCCATTCTTTTACTCTTGAATGAAGGAACCGAACCCACGTCTTTTGATCCCCCCCCCCCCCCCAAAAAAAAAAAACAAAATGCCTGTAACAATTCAATAGTTGACCAGACTACCTACCGAAGGTCCCAGCTTTCCTCTCTGAGGGTCAACTGAGTGGGGGGGGGGGGGGGGCATTGGGGCCCCGCCGACACAAGTCTCCAATGTGTCTATGCAAAAGCTTCTTCAGATAGCAAGAACATGACTACAAATTAATTGAACTCACAGTGTTCTCTTAGCCAACAAGTTAAATTTGCTGATGAATGACCTTCCTTTTCTTTTCTTTTCTTTTTTCTCCTCGCCCCCTCCAATTGCACCGTATATTGTCACATTAGAGACTCTAGTTTCTGTTCACGAGGAAAATAATTATATGCCCAATTTCTTTCTGTTTCGAAAATGTAGCTCTTAATTAGTTATATGGGTACTTTTTTTATTTTATATTAGTTACATTATGAAATAGTTAATGGCCAGTTCCTGCTAGTCTGGATCCATGGAAATGTCGGAAAAGCCCCAACTCCCCACAATGGCAACCTTCTGTCATTCTACATCTGTTGTTATGAGTTCTTTTGCAGGAAAGACGAGGGCAAGAGACGCTGCATTGAATGCCATTCAGTCCCCTTTGCTTGATATCGGTATTGAAAGGGCCACCGGTATCGTGTGGAACATCACGGGAGGAAGTGATTTGACTTTGTACGAGGTAGACTCGCCCGCTGCCTCTCTCACCGTGCATGGCAGCATTGACTTGCTTCTCTGTCCTTTTCCTCCTACTCGCCCAATGGACGGCGGAGCCCACTGGAGCAAGTAGTGTGGCGTCGTTGATCTCTGCATCCCTTTATTTATTTATTATTATTATTTGGTCAACGACGCCACACCACTTGTGGACCGGTCCGAGTTCGTTCATATCATCATATTCCTTCTATCCGAGCATTTCTCTTTGATCGGCGGCGCCTATGCTGCATGCTCTCGACCCGGTTTCTAACGTTGTTTTCTTTCTTTTTTTGGTAATTACCAATTAAGGTGAACGCCGCAGCAGAAGTCATCTATGATCTGGTAGATCCAAGCGCAAACTTGATATTTGGGGCAGTAATAGATCAGTCGCTGAGCGGCCAAGTAAGTCAACCCCCCCACCCCTCTCTCTCTCTCTCTCTCTCTCTCTCTCTCTCTCTCTCAGATGGCCCGCTAGATCCCCATTTATACTGCATAGTTTTCATTTATCTTGCTTCCGTTCTGGGTGATGATAATATCTACGTAAATCGGATTAATCCTAAGATTATTTGAGTGTTAGGAGCAGACTATGCTCGTGCACATAATCCCCAATATTTGGGGTTTTTTTTTTTTTTTTTCTGGGAGCCCGGGGGGGGGATGTACGTTGCCGGGGGGGGGGGATCATATAGTGGGTATTTGTGTATGCTGGTTAGATAGATTAATCCTAAAGAATCTCTGGCATCTACTCAGGTGAGCATCACTCTCATTGCCACCGGCTTCAAGCGACAAGATGAACCGGAGGGCAGGCCCTTGCAGGTGCGGCAGCCCTCTCTCTCTCTCTCTCTCTCTAGCTGTTATTGCATGACATGATTGTGGGGCAGACAAGGTCCAATCTTTGCGCGAAATTCTTTGTGCAGGGAGCTCAGTCAGGCCATGGGGAAGGCCTGGGGGGTGGGCGGCGCCCGGCCTCAGCGCTGGTGGACGGCGGCGGCAGTGGCAGCGGCGGTGGCTCGGTGGAGATCCCGGAGTTCCTGAAGAAGAAGGGGCGGTCTCGGTTCTCAAAGTTCTTGTAAGTAACAGTGAGTGGATTGGCCTCTCCCTCTCGCGGGGGGGAATTCTCTTCTCACTTCCCTGTCTTTCCTTCTCATCTGAGATGCTCTCTCTCTCTCTCTCTCTCTCTCTCTCTCTCTCGACTAGTGTCGTCAAGTTCTTTCTTTAGAGAAATCTGCGCCATGCTCGTCTCCCTGCTCCCTTTTTTTTTCCTTTTTAACCGGTGCATTGCCCATAAATAAAATTATAATTAAGTAATTATTTAATAAGGCTGGTACTTGAATATGAGAGAGAGAGAGAGAGAGAGCGAGGGAGCTTCTGCAGCAGCGGGGGACACGTACCCCCCGGGCCGCCACCTGTGTCGTCGTCCGCCGATAATATCGGAGGCTGACGTCACAGTGCCGGAGGATCTTTTCCCCTGCCGCTCCTCCGCCCCACGCGCATATTAGGCCGTGTGGGAGCAGGAACAAGAAGAAACGCCACTGCCGAGCTTTCCCAGGCGATGGAGACCGGCGGAGCCCTCCTCCCGCCTTCTCCCGCCGCCGCCGCCTCCGCCGGAGAGGAGGGCCCAGAGCGGTGGCGCCGCCAGTCGTCGGAGGAGGAACGGCGGAATGCGGCGGGCATCTCCGGCGAGGCGGCGGTGGTGGTGGAGGAGAGCGGAAGGGAGAGGCTGAAGCGGCACAGGGTGGCGATGGGGGGGAGCGTGTGGATACCGGAGAGGTGGGGGAAGGAGGAGCTCCTCAAGGACTGGATCGACTGCGCCGCCGTTGACCGGGCCCTCGTTCCCGCCGGGTTGACCTCGGCCAGGGAGGCGCTCGTGGAGGAGCGCCAACGAGTCGACTCCGTCGTCTTCCCCGCGGAGAGCCAGTGCCTCACCGCTTGGGCCACGTAAACAAACTCTCTCTCTCTCCTCGCCTCTCACCGTCAATCTGTGACCTGGGCACCTGAAATCGCTCATTTTTACGATAACTCGAGGTCAAATTCGATTGCCACAAGCCCCATTGGCATCCTCTGGAGCACATATAAATGCAGGAGCAGCAGCATCAACGACAATAATAATAATAATAATAATAATAATAATAATAATAATAATAATAATAATAATAATAATAATAATAATAATAGTAATGAAGATGAATCATTGAAGCCACAACAGCGTTCGTTGCATTCATCCGCAATTGGATGCCATAAAAGGGAAGATGAAGAGTCCTCAGAGTGCAGCCGAGGACCCATCATCAATCCCCTCTCTCTCTCTCTCTCTCTCAATGGTCTCAGCAAGAACATTGCCATATCTTTATCGACCCATCATCGCTTGCCGACGCAAGTAGCCGTGGGTCCTGAAATCCAAAGAAGATATCAATACTACTGCTACTACTAATAATAATAAGAATAATAATAATAATAATAATAATAATAATAATAATAATAATAATAATAATAACAAGTGGGAGAGGGGAAGAGGAGAATTCGAAGAAAGATGGGCCTGAGAAAGTGACCTTCGGGTTCCACCTCACGGCGTTGACATCCATCTCATGGGCCTTCTCCTTCTTCAGGATCATCTTATATGACGGCCGATCAATCTGCAGTTGGTGGGTCCCACAGAAGAGAACGATGACAAAATTAGAAGCATAAAATCTTACGCACTCTAAGCCTGAAGCAACAACAAAAAAAAGGGTTTCCAACATTTCGGGAAGATTATTTTTATTTTTATTTTTTTAAAAACAAGCATTTCATATGATTCGTAATCATATTAAATTACATAATCATGATTCATAAACAAGAGCATAATCAGCATACTTTATACCATCTAGTTATCTGATGAATCATAAGATAATTATGATTCATAAAATTTCATTTGGGTTATGATAGTGGCATTGCGATCTTAAGCATCATGGTGTCATATTAAACAAACACATTTGAATAGAATCTGACCCACCAAGCATCATCACCTATACACCGAAAATGGTTTTATCCTCCACACGAGGTCCGCATTTAGATTGAGTTTGACCAGCAGACACCACGTCTCAATCTGATGCCACGGGTGCTCATTATCATTGGGCTTTGGACCATCATGTAAAAAGTCAACACACACAAAAAAAGTAGGTCATCAAGCTGCACTGCATGGAATATTTCCACAAAAACCATCTTCATGTCCCCCGATCTATGATTGAATTGGGTATCCATTTTGAGAACTACTGGAAGGCAGCTTTAATTGCAGCGCTAGCAAAGAATTAAAAGCATGGTTGACTCGTCCTACACTGATTATCTTATGCCGGGAACATTAAACGGTCAAATCTCACCAGAACAATGCCCCTCATATCTCTGAAATACAAGCATCTGCGTATATGAGTTGGCAACGGTCAAATCAATTGTTCGCCGCCCAGCCATGCTCTGCTTGTTTGCTGCCAGTCATTCTTCTCAACCGTGGCTCTTCGGGTCGCACAAGCTTGCTTTATGCCACGAGGATGTGCTATATATTTCATGTACAGGAGCCCTGGTCTAGTACCATCACAACCCTACTTGAAATCTCGGCATGAGAGACCCTTGTTTATTGGAGACTTGCCAAGAGAAAAGAAGAGGTGAGAGATAGTCTTCTCTCATTTATCTTATGTGGGCAATCTGTCCATCCTAAGACGATGTGGATATGATTGGCTAATAACATGCTTAGGGTTGATTTCTCTATCTTTATCTTGCGTAGCTTCAGGGTAGTGAGTAATCAACTGTCTGCATCGATCTGTACCATGAATTGGACTGCCATGTCGATGCTTCCTTTGAGTTCTTGAGTAATGGTCATCTGGGCTTTGAGCTCGAGGTTGTGTAATCTCGGACTAAACACTGACATGGGCTTCTAGGACTGTGTCTTGGTTGTTTTGGGAGCTAGAAAAGAGCCTTTTTCCATTTTCCGGATGAGAAGGTGGGGATGATAATACTGTATGAGAGAGCCATTCATTACAGCTACTACACTACTGCCTTCAAGCATGCATACCTGTTTAAGATAAAATAATTCTAATTCTCCTAAATAAATAAAAAACCCAGTCAAGATGGCAGAAGCTTAAGGCTGATAGAGCAGATCCCAAATGAATAGAACAAGGCTTGTCTGTCACGACGAATGTGATCTCAAAGGGTAACTTAGATCCCATAGGCATCGATTAGATGGAGGCATGAAACACCGAAGATTAAGTATGCCACATTTCAAAGGGCGCTGGGCACATCATAAATATACTTGCATGATGAATACATGAGAAGCTTTTAGTAGCATGGATTAACACAACAAGTAAGAGCTGGGAGAGGTATGATACATACGGGGCTATGTTTGTCCTCAACGAAGAGGCGAATGGCATCATCGGCAGCTCCAGTAGCAATTATACCCTCCCTGTTGACATTCAAGAAGCAAAACACTGAGAAAACCAATATCAGGCAGTTAAACTGCAACCCGAATGGAATACATGGCATATCAGTAATGGACACTGTATTTTAATCATGCACTAAAGATGTAAATTCTGAAAGGACATATATTTGAATCGTAATCAGCGGAAAAATGGAAACGCGATCATATTAAAATAAAATATTAAGGCATCAGCGTCCACAGATAAAATGAAACCTCTCTTCTTTTCGTCATCAGAATGATTGGCAGTACTAAATGATAAATTTAATGCACGAGCACATACCTTGACCAGTCAACAGAAAATAATGTCCGATGATGATATCCGGAAAGAGTGCAAATGTGTCTCCTGAAGGAAACAGTAAAAAACAACAAGGAGATAATGAAAAGGGATATATATTGTCCACAATGTAGTAAGGGTCTAACGTGCATTATCACATAATATTGATGCCAATGTAGAGGCTTAGAAGATAAATCACATTTAGTTCAATGGCCACTTACCTCTCAAAAGAGGTGAACAAAAAATATAGTTAGTGAACTATACGTGGTCCACAATTGAAGACTTCATCTTTAGGCGTTATGAAATATAAACAACACATTAACAGGTTTCCTTTGTTCCTCAAACTAGATGGGACAGAATGGTTAACCAGTTTGAGATACAACTATTCTACATGCAAAATCTAAAGGTAAAATATACTCTCTGATAAAAGTTCTTGCAGTTGGTTATCTTTTGACAGTCCAGTTTTGATATAACAACCTAGTAGGTCCAAGTGGAGATTCAGGCATTATAAGGCATGCTTCTGGCCATTACCAAAATTTTATGTTCAAAACCTGTTCTTTTCAGGCAAATAGTTTGAGAGAACATGTTCATTAAGATTAACCTAAAACGGCAATGAGCTAAGCTCATGTCGTCCACTGTCCAACAAAAAGGGGAAACCAATTACTACCAGTTTAATAAAAGTATAAAAAAACCGATCATCATGTAAAAATGGAAAATTATCAGAAAAGGGGATCCAAAAAATGTAACGAAAAAGGTCAATCTCTCACCAGGGGCTGTGCCCATCATCAATTATTTGAAAAGAGCCACTGGTGTCCCATATCTTTAAGGTTAGATCATCACTGCAAATGTACAATTTAGAAATCAGACACTTTCCTACGTCAGAAGTTTCCCATCGAGAATTCAGCCAAGATATGCTAAATCAACACTACTTTCATGAGCTTCGAAGCTGAGAGATGTACGCACCTACAGGTGGCCATTTTATCCCCATTCGAATTGAACGATAATGCCCAAACTGTAGATGTATGACCACTGAAAGCCATTAACGAAAAAAAGGAAATAGACGCTCAGATAAAAGCTGGACAAAATATCATACCAAGAAAGCATTTAAACCTTAATTACCCACTAGACTCCTCCAGTGTCTGGACACAACGCCAATCATCAATATCACCATCCTCTGCCCAAACCTGTTTGACAATCAAAGAAGAGTTCTCTAGTTTTCTTTTCCCCCCTGACGGAGTCGTTATCAATTCTAGTTCACATTGCATACCTTGATTGAGTTGTCATAACTAACAGACACTAGAACATCCGAAACCGGGTGCCACTGGACCATTTTCACATCCTGCGTATGTCCTTGCAAGACAGAAACACAGTCATACTCACTACCATCGGATTGAACTTCCCATATCCATACAGATTTGTCACGACTACACGTGGCAAGCAAAGAGCCAGAAGCATTCCACGAGACGCTCTTTACTTCATTTTCATGGCCCTAGGAAGGCCAACAGAATTAAAATATAAGCATTAGTAAGAGGAAATAATATTGGAAAAACACGATTGAAAATAATAAACATTCAATGATGCATAAACTTCAAACAAGGTACACACAAGGGTTCTGAATTATACAAATACCTCCAGTGTGGAGACACACTCGAAGTCATCACCAACATTTTCCCAGATAGCAGTCGTGGCATCAAAACTTGCTGTAGCTAATAGCCTTCCTGAAGGTGACCAGGCACAAGATCTCACTGTTCGAGTGTGAGTTTCGTCCAAAACAGCCTACACAATAGGTTATAAATGACTGTAATTAGTGTTCTGAAAAGCTATTGAAGCAAGTGACGACTAATCCCACGTTTTTTTTTAAAACCTTTAAGCCATGTCGCAAAATACATGGGCATCTCAAACCCGACAGTAAAAATACCATTCGACAGCTACCACCTCATCTTAGAGAAGTTTATTGAACAAAATGGCAATTAGCGCGAAGAGAAGTGACAATAATGAAAATGATGTCCAGACCCAAGCAAATGAAAATGAGACCGGGTCCAGTGATGATAGGACGTGGGAACTGCAATACTTGTGGCAGGTTAACCTTGATGATATCCAACCTTCTGCAACAGGAACCCCGCAGACACTGCTTTCCGAATAGATACATAGGAGAAATAGTTCCTTTCATGGAGATGGAAAGCGCCCCCCACCATTATACCCACGCAGAGATTAGCTGCAACCACATATATGGAGGGGTAGCCTCCCAAAGAGAAAATCGGTGATGATTTTAGCGATTTTGGCGACTTTGGTTGCAAATTAGCTAATGATAATTTAAGGTATAAGTCGAATTAATTAGACGTGTTGCCGACTCCAAATAGTCAACGTTTCCCGAACTTTCCTACTTTTAGGTTATGGAATGAATCAAAGCTTCGCCATTCTATAAAAGTACGAACTCAGCACAATCGAATGAAAACAAAAAAATTAAAAGCACCGCCTTAAATCGTCAAATTTTGAAACAGAAAACAGATACTTATTACACAGCCGGAGCAAACGGACGTCACTTCGAACAAAATTGCCATAATCTTTCGTAATCAACTATGTGCATGTTTCGGGTAGGGTAGGGAGCGGAAATTTTGAGAAACGAACCGTGCAGTCCCAGGAGTCCGCCGCCAGGTTCTGCCTCCAGATGCGAACGGTCTTGTCACCACTGCAGGAGGCCAGAACCGCCGGAACGCCGTCGCCGCCGGCGGCGGGATTCCACGCAAGGCTCCACACTCTATCCGTGTGCCCCTCCAATCGACACAGCTCCTTCAGCTCCACCTCCCCCTCCACCTCCATCTCCACCAAGACTTTGATCTCCCAGAAGCTCGGAAGAAGCCTTCGATCTGAGGCCCGCCCCTTCCGCCGTCGAATTCGAGACTCCGACGAGCGCTCCCTCAGACGGTCGACGACCCTATAAGGAAGAAGCCCCTCAGGAAACGGGTCGACTCGGACTCGGATTCAGACTCCAACACACCGAGTCGAGCGAGTCCAATCGGACGGCTTGACCGCATCCACGTAACCGATACTCGCTATTTATTTAATTTTTAAATAATGATTAACAATAACCTCGCTAATTCGATAATAAATTTTAGTACGAATTATATTTCGATTTTTTATTTTCTCCCCGATTTTTCTATCGTCTCACATAACGGCCAATTGCGGAGTAATATAGTCATTTAATCTTAACTGGCATTTTACCCCTCGATTTTAAGGAATGCGAAATATATCCCTCCACCTCTCTCTCTCTCTCTCTCTCCCTCTCATCGCCCGTCACGCCATAAATTGGAATATTATAGACGATGCATGAAATATTTTCTACAATTTATTAGGCAGAGAATATCCCGCAGAGTTCTACGCGACGGGGGCCGGGGGGAGGTCACAATAATCAAAGGTTTCCATGGGTTATTATTAAATTAAATAAAGACAGAGGTTTCTTAAAAACTTGACATTTTTCATGGACGTGAATCTTCAAAACCCCGACAACTGGGCCTCCAGCCCGGCCCAGTCTCAATACACGAGGCTGCGTGGCATTCCGCCACGTGGCTCCCCGCTTTTTCCCCCCAGGGGCTTCTGGGCTCTAATGAGCGGGAGGAATTTGTCAGGCCCATAATCGTTGGATCGGATCATTAGAAAAAGGATCCGAACCGTTATTGTACCCGTTAATTTTACTAAAGAGGGGGGTTGAGCAGGGTGTTTCCGCGGGGCTTCTTCTCGTTGCTCCTTTGGTTCGAGCGGCGGGAGAGATCGTCGGAACCCTAAATCTTGGGGGCTCCGTCGTCGAAGCCCTCGAGGCCGTTGGAACGATTCAGTCCGACGATCCCAGTGAGCCCTGCTAGAGGAGACGTAGCCGGTAGGGAGGTGACCGATTCAGCGTCCTTGAGTGATCGCTGCTTGAAAAGGGTTTTGGCTGACGGTCTGTTTGCGAGGGAAGCAGGAGGTGAGTTGCTAGTGCTATTTCTCTTTTATTCTCCATATGTGATATGCATTTCTCGTTCTCTGTCTTTGTGGGATCGGGGGGACTGTTCTTAGTCGGAGTGGCGAATTAGGCGAGTGAGGAGTGAGGAATGTTTTGATGGGAATAGTGTCTTTGCTGCTGGGTTCTGAAATGGTATGTCCAAGCAATTATTACGCCGTAGTTTTTTCTTTGAAGGATTGGATATCATTTTACAGGTAGGTGACCACGAGGTTTTCATTCCCTTTTACAAGGGTAAGCTTTTGGAAAAAAATATTTCGAAGATGAGGAAGTAAGCTATCCGGAATCGTGCCGGGAGGCTTGGCGGGGGATGAACGGAGCAAAATAAGGGGAAAGACCCGATTTCATCTGAAAACTGTTTTTATGGACTGTCTGTCCTGAGGAGATCGTAATAACCCTGATCTTTCTATATTTTCATGCCGTAACGTCTGTGTTTGCAGACCTTCGGCGAGTCTAAACTTCCACGTGGGTGTTTTCCTAATAGATTTTGTCATCCGTGATACCAGATGCCTACTAGGAATTTTACTTCCGTTGGTCAAGATTCTAAGAAAATAGTTTAGGCCTGAGCTGAATCAACTAGAGCATTATTTTCATGGATTTAAACGTTATTCGATGCATGCCCGGAGGTAATAGATCGGGGGGTTTTCATAGAGCATTATTCTAAGAAAACGTTATCCGTGGACATGCATCTGGTATTGTCCAGAGGGTCTAGTCACGTGGCATGCCCGGAGTGGATGACACGGCCTAATATTCGTCCATTTTCCTCTCATGAATGACTTGTTGATAATTAGTTATATGGAACTGAATACTAGTGTAGTTCTGTTTTTTTTTTTTTTAACTTGTGACACTTGAAAAACCGAAAACTCTATTTCTAACATGTGGGTATCGGCTCTCGTACCTTTCACTTGACACACAAAATCAAGTTGGCATGTTACGTAAAGAATTCCTCTCTCTTTTTTTTAAGTAGATAGTAGCAGATATTCAGAACATATTAAAAATAAATACGATGCAACCATTTTATGCCCTTTAGAATGGTGACAGTCTGCAGGTAGATAGTGTAGGCTTATCTATGAACCCACCTGTGGTGGATACGTACGAAATTGCATCTGACGGAAATGCTTCCTGAAATTGGTGAAATAATAAAAACTATGGATGAAATACACTTCCCATGGAGATTGATAATAGGTGAATCTCAACCGGAGGTTAGCATCCGAGTAGAGTTGTTGGACTTGGTGACAGGTTGCTTAACGGTTGGTGCTGATAGACAGGTCTTGTGTAAATCATCAAAAGAAAAAGTTCCCTGTCCAATAACTTAAGTATTTAGTAAGACATGTGTCGGTATCAAACCCTTAATCAGTAGTGAACTACTAGCTAACGCATTTGAATGATGCAATGAACTCCCAACCGCGGGGTATGAAGGACAAATAGGAGAGAGATGGCAGAGGAGATGAGTCTTGGGTTACTACCTCCTGTTAAAATGAGAGCACTTGGACATTAACGGGAAAGATGTTCAAGTATCTTTCCTAGGCGCGTCTGGATGAACCTTTTGCATCCTGGGAAATGGTAGTTTTATCTTACTTTGAAAGCATGTGTGCATTCAATTTGATTCGTATAAATCTTGATGACTTGAAAATCTGTAGCCAGAGATGAATTTCTTTATCCTTTGGATCATTCTTGTGAGCTCATCCAAATGCTTGATTTTCTTATCACATGACTTGAGTAGTTGAATGACCGGAATAAAACGCTATTCTGTTGACTAGCCTTATTCATTATGGGTGATTGTTTTAGTCCTTGCGCTTGCCAGAATGAAATGATGATAAATAGGGGCTGCTTCTTGAGAACCATGATATTATGCCTAGTTTTCATTTATTTATGATGTAGTATATGGTTTTTGGTTCACATGGTGATACTTTTTCTTTTTTTTCTTCTGTTTTTGTTGGTTGGAATCACAAATGTAGACACTTGAGATAGGCTGGAAGCATTTTTTTTTTTTTTGGTTCACATTCCAGTATCTAACCCTACAAAAATACATATCTTCACTTTTTTGAGCCTGTTTAGTATCATCTTCCTGATTATCTTTCAAGAAATCTTTCTCGTTGCTCTGTTGTTTCGTCTACTGGTATTACCTACCTATTGGCGAAGATCTTTCTCTTCCACATCAAAGCTCCTTTCAGCCATATGTCATGGCAAGAATCCAATCAAGACTCAGTTTGCGTCTCTTGTTGGCCTTTCTATTGTTTTCCACCTTTCCATTTCTCTATACTCCCCTTGCAAATGCTTCTTGCTCCTTTCTTTCCTTTTCAGTCGCCTTGCAAGCTTGTTCCAGATTTAAAAAATGCCAAGGGGAAGAGCTAGTGCTGCCGCCACAAAGCCAGCTGAACCCGTCAAGCCCGTTGAGACTGAAGAGCAGGTGGATCTGGACGAAGAGAACGATCCCGAGGAGGAGTACGAGGAAGATGTCGAATACGAAGAAATAGAGGAGGAGGTAGAGGAAGAAGTGGAGGAGGAAGAAGTAGAAGAGGAAGAACAGGAGGATGCTGAAGAGGAAAAAGAAGAAGCCGCCGTTGCACTCACCGGTGGGGACGACGAGATGAAAGATGACGAGGAAGAGGAGGAGAATGAGCAAGCAGAGGAGAACGTAGAAGAGGAAGTGAGTGAAGAGCACAAGGAGCTTCTTGCTCTCCCTCCGCACGGCTCCGAGGTTTACGTAGGCAACATCCCCCAGGACGTCTCCCATGACGATTTGAAGTGCTTTTGTGAGGCCATTGGCGAAGTCTTTGAGGTAGGCATTCTCCCTCATCTCTTCACTCTGTGTCTCTTCCTTGCTCTCCAGACATAAATATATATATATATATATATATATATATACTTACATTATTATCCCTTGTAAATAACAGGTGAGAATAATGAAAGGGAAGGATTCGGCAGAGAACAGGGGTTATGCGTTCATCACTTACAGGAACAAAGAATTAGCCTCTAAGGCCATCAAAGACCTCAACGGCACCGAATTCAAGGCAAGCACCTCCTCCTTGCTGTTTTCACCTTACTCACACACACTACTTGCCACTGAGATCTCCTCTGATCATGACATGGCCTGGTTCAGGGGAAGAAGGTGAAGGTGTCGGCGTCCCAGGTAAAGCATCGGCTTTTCATCGGGAATGTGCCTCGGCACTGGTCAGACGACGATCTGAAGAGGGAGGTGAGGAAGGTTGGCCCTGGGGTCTCCCTCGTGGAGCTGAAGAAGGTACGAGGATACTACATATGCGTCAGCCCTGCTCATATATATATATATATATATCCTCGTATAGAAATCAAATAATAGATGTTTATGCTCACAATTATATTATTATGCGTGATCTTGGTCCAAGGTTGGACCTTTCCTGTTCGGAATCTGATCGTTTTTTTTTTCTCTGATTATTGTGCGTTAATAGGACCCACAGAATGCGAGCCGCAACCGGGGCTTCGCCTTCATCGAGTACTACAACAATGCGTGTGCGGAGTACTCGAGGAGGAAGATGTCGACTCCGAAGTTCAAGCTGGAGAGCAACGCTCCGACGGTGAGCTGGGCCGACCCGAAGAACAGCGACTCCTCGTCCTCCTCCAACTCCCAGGTGAAGGCGCTGTACATCAAGAACCTCCCGAAGAACGTGACCCAGGACCAGGTGAAGGAGCTGTTCAAACACCACGGGGAGATCAGCAAGGTCGTCCTGCCCCCGGCCAAGTCCGGCCAGGAGAACAGCCGATTCGGGTTCGTTCACTTTGCAGAGCGATCCATGGCCATGAAGGCCCTCAAGAACACCGAAAAATACGAACTTGAAGGTTTTACTCTCTCTCTCTCTCTCTCTCTACTTTCTCTCTCTACTTTTTGTGCGACCCAAATTGGTCTGAATTCTTATCTTTTGGCAGGGCAAGTTCTGGATTGCTCACTGGCGAAGCCACCAGCGGACAGCAAGAAGGGCGATTCGGGCTCGAGCATCTCACAGAAGGCTCCTCTCCTGCCGGCCTATCCCCCTCGCGCCGGTTACGGCCTGGTCAACCCCTACGGCTCTCTCCCTGCTGCTTACGGCGCAGGAGGAGGAGGGTACGCCCAGGTTGGGGTTCCAGAGATTAGACGATTTTTCTTTTTATATAGATTGATTGATCTTTCCTATAGTTTTGGCCTCCGAACCATATTTATGTGAGTGGACGTGTTCTTTTTGCAGCCGTTGATGTATGGGAGGGAGGCTGCTGCCCCTGCGGGTCTGGCTATGGTCCCCATGATGTTGCCCGACGGACGCGTGGCTTACGTCCTGTAAGTCAACCCTTTTGACCTTTCTCTCGAGACCCGGATGCACCGTTGACTGGGCGCATCTGAGAAATCTGCATGGCGGCGCAGGCAACAGGGCGGCCCGGCGGCGGCGCCTCCCGGTCCCCTGCTGCACCAGCAGCGCGGCGGCGGCGGCGGCGGCGACAAGAAGGGCGGCGGCGGCGGCAACCCCAACAGAGGCCGCCCAGGAGGCGGCGGCGGCGGCGGCGGCGGCGGCGGCGATAGGCCCGGTCAGAGGTACCGCCCATACTGATTTTCTCCTCACTGGAACTGCACCTTCAGCTCGGCGGGCGGAAAATGAGGTTTCTTTTTCTTAAGAAATATCGCTGGAAGGGGCCCTGTATTATTATTTATCTCTACGCTACGCTATAATTGTTTAAATATCGCCAGCGTGTTTCCTTATCGGGTGGTGCTCCGCCTCGTGGAGATGGACTGAGTGCACGTGGCGCTGTCTGCCACGTGCGCACGCAGTGGTTAGCCACGGAATCTTTGAGAAAACGAGAGCCCACCCAGAGACACTTGGTGTTATTTGCCGCCGGGCCGGATTCTCCCACACGGAATCGTAGTTTTCTTATCGGGTCGGTCGGTCCTGTGAACCGATATGCGTCTCCGACGCGCGTCCTCATCGTACGGATGCCACGTGGCAAGGAAGCGGGATCGGTTCGGCTTCTTTTTTTTGACTGCTCGCGCCGATATTTAAACAGCGGCAGTTGCAGCGTAGGCTGGCAGTAGAGAGAGAGAGAGAGAGAGAAGAGATGGCGACGGTCCTGAGGCTGCTCCTCTTCATGTGGCTCTCAGGTGTGGTTCTTCTTCTCCTCCTCTTCATCTCCTCCCCCTCCCCCTTCCACTCGATCGATCCTGTGTTCAGTCGACGAGGGAAGGAGATCTGTACGCTGTAGTAACAGACGGAGAATTTTTCTCATTTTCGACCGGATTCTTTGGCCGTGGATCTCGTTTACGATCAGATCTTTTTAGATTTTTCTCCCCTGCTGTTCTGTTGTTTGGACTCGTTGATCTGAGACGATTCGAGTTTTTCTTCTTCTTCCCGTATGAGCGTTATCGTATAGACGAGAGCGGTCAAAATGACGGTTGATCGGACGCAAAGTTGGCAGTAGAATTCTGCAGATGTGGCGTATCTCGTTGTTCTGCGCACATGAGAATTAGGCCGAGACCCACCTGTTCTCAGCACGGCATCAGTCAGTTTTCCTACTACTCGGAGGTGAAAGTGGTTTGCTCTTTTCCCCTGTGGAATATATTCCCCAGTTGGGATTGTTAGGTGTGGCCACCGCGCGTGGTAAATGTCTCCGGCGACTTCCGCGAAGTCCCGTTCCCGTCCAGATCGCTCAGATCCGTCTTCCAGATTGCCAACGAGACTCGTGCTCTGGCGCCCGATTCACCTCCGACGCGAATTCCATTGGTTTCCTCCGTAAAGAGGTTTCGCCGAACGGTGAATCGCCGCGGAGAAAACAGGAATTGGCGAGATCGACGCGGTGGTCAATGTGCGGAAGGAAGGATTTCTCCGCTCTGCTGATGGAAGAAATCTTGCGCAAATCTTTCTTCAGATGTTCATCGCCCGGCGACATGAGTTTGCTCGCTGAGTCTCTCTGCTCCTTTTATTGATTTACAGGCCCTCTCCTCCAGGCGCATGGAGTCACCGTCGGCATCAACTACGGCCAGATTGCCAATAATCTCCCTTCGCCCTCGCAAGTGGCGTTGCTCCTGCAGTCCCTCAACATCAGCAGGGTGAAGCTCTACGATGCCGATCCAAACGTGCTGAGAGCTTTCAGTAGCTCCGACGTCGAGTTCATAATCGGAATCGGCAACGAGAACGTCGCCAACATGATGGATCTCTCCAAGGCCCTTGCGTGGATCAAGCAAAACGTCCAGCCCTACCTCCCCCTCACCAGAATCACCTGCGTCACCGTGGGAAACGAGGTGCTCTCTGGCAACGACACGGCGTTGATGGCCAATCTCTTGCCGGCGATGCAGTCCGTCTACCAATCCCTAGTCGCCCTCGGGATTGATGAGCAAGTCAGCGTAACCACTGCCCACTCCTTCGCCATTCTCGCCAATTCGTTCCCCCCTTCCTCTGGCTCCTTCCGCCATGATCTCTACCACTACCTTCAACCCCTGCTCAATTTCCACTCCCAGACTAAGTCCCCTTTCCTCATCAACGCCTACCCTTTCTTCGCCTACAAGGCAGACCCCGACAGGGTGCCATTGCAGTACGCCCTCTTCGAGCCAAACCCCGGCGTCACCGATCCGATCACCAATCTGAAGTACGACAACATGCTCTACGCCCAGATGGACGCTGCTTACTCCGCCATCAGGGCAATGGGGCACACGGACATCGATATCAGGATCTCCGAGACGGGGTGGCCGTCCATGGGGGATCCAGAGGAGGAAGGTGCTACGCCGGAGAATGCCGCCGCCTATAATGGCAATCTGCTGAAGAGGATAGCCATGAACCAGGGGACCCCGTTGAAGCCCTCGGTGCCGATCGACGTCCATGTCTTCGCACTGTTCAATGAGGACATGAAGCCTGGGCCCACCTCGGAGAGGAACTATGGCTTGTTCTACCCAGACGGCAGTCCGGTCTACAACATCGGCCTGCATGGTTCTTCTCTGCCGTCTTCGTATTCTTATTTTTCATCTTCTTCCCAGAGAACGGTCTGTCCAAATCTCCCTTCTTTCTTTCTTCTTCTTCTTCTTCTGGTTCTTCTCTCTCTGAACTGGTTTTTCCGCCCTGCAGGAGAGGATGATACCCGTTCTGGGTCTTGTGTCGCCCTTGCTCTTGCTGGCTCTTCTCTGAGATCGGTTCGGATTCAGCACCAGCAGCTGTTTGGAGAGCTGCTTCGGCCAGGAAGGAGAAGCAGAGAGAAGGAAGGGGGAGTCTGAGCTTCTTGTTTGCCAAATGAGGTAAGCCCCGTTGACCACCGCCACCTCCTTTCTCTCCCCATGGCTGATGAGGAACAAGCTTTGGCGAGCCGGTTAGGCCGCGCCGGTGGTCGTCTCCTTTCGCCCGCCCACCACATGGAAAGCGATTCCTTCCTTCATCCACCTTCTCTCTCGCTTTCTCAGTGCTGAGAGATTCTTCCCGTGCAGAGATACAAAGACAGAGAGGGAGAGAGTGAGGGGGAGAGAGAGAGAGAGAGAGAGAGAGAGAGAGAGAGAGAGAGAGAGGGACGTTCAAACAGAGAAAGGGACGTTGACCCGAGATTCTGGCCTTCCTGGGTCCAGTTTATTCTCCCCTCCGGATTCGATTCTGACATCCCACCTCGAGAAGATCGGTTCCTCTTGATCTCGTAGAGCCGCTCGCATCATCTGTGAATTATTTCTCTCTCCTCATCTGCTTTCTCCGTCCCTTGTGCAGGAAACCGGCGGCGGCGGCGGAGGAGGAAGAAGACGAACGACTGCCCCCGCGTCTAATCCGCCGCCTCCTTATATAAATTCGTTTTTTGCCCGCGTTGACCAGAAGCTACAAAAAGTGTTATCCGATCAGCATTTGGGCCGCTTTTTGACTTCACCCTCCCTTGGTCAACGATTTCCTGGTCAGTCCGTCCATCAGTCGGTTGTAGGCTCGGATGTTGGGTATAAATCCCGCGTCCAGCATGGCCTCCACGACGGCCTCCGCCTCCTTCCTCCTCCCCTCTCCGGCGAGCCCCGCCGCCACAATCTCAAACGTTGACTCGTCCGGCTGGAATCCCCCTCTCGTCGCCGCCATCCTCAACCTCTCCGCATCCGCCGCCCTACCTCCACCGCAGAGCGCCCGCAGGAGCCCGTTGAACGTCACCGCGTCCGGCGGCGCCGCCGCCTCGATCATCCTCTCCGTCAGGCCCACCGCCGCCTCCACCCTCCCGGAGCTCCTCAGGGCCTCCACCAGCGCGGCGCAGGTCACCGCCCCCGGCGGCCTCCCCGCCACCCGCCACAGACCGTCCACCATCTCCGCCGCCCTGTCGAGCTCCCTCACCGCGCAGAGCTCTTCGACGAGCTCCAAGCAGTCCGTCCCCTCCGGCAAGGCTCCCCTTCTCAGTAGCTCCATCACCAGATCGCCGGCCTCTGAAACCCTACCTGCGCGGCAGAGCCCCCGGAGGAGCATCTCTCCGGTGGCCGGCGAGATCGCGTGCCCCAAGTCGAGCATCTCCCTTGCGACGGCGATCCCTTCCTCGATCCTCCCTCGCCGGAGGAATCCTCCGATCAGGGTGTTGAAGGTGACCACGTTGGGGCTGCATCCCTTCGCCTTCATCTCCCTGAACAGAGCCACGAAATCGAATCCTCCTCCTCCTCCGGATTTGCAGAAGCTGTGGATCATGATGTTGAAGGTGACCACGTCGGGATTCACTCTGTCGCTCCCCATCCGGCGGTAGATTTGGATCACCTTCTCGTGGTTTCCGAGCTTCGAGAGGCCGCTCATGAGGACGTTGTAGCTTGCGGCGGCGGGCTTGCCGTCGACGGATCTCTGCAGATCGGCGAACGCCGCCTCCGCCTGGTCTGGCCGCCGCGCTCGGCAGAGCGCGGCAATGGCGAAGCGGAAGATCGGCTCCAGGCGGGGGCAGGAGAAGATGCCGTCGCCGGCGCAGGGGCAGGGGTGGGAGATCATGAAGCGGAGGACCTCCCGGAGATCGTCGGGGCGGTCGGTGACGGCGAGCGTGCGGGCGATCCACTCAAAGGTGGAGTGGTCGTGGCGAAAGGAGTCGACGCCGACGGCCCACCGGAAGACGTGGAGGTCGTAGGCGGCGAGGCGAGGGTGGTGGCGGAGCTTCCGGCGGAGGAGGTGGAGCAGATCTGAGGAGGAGAAGTCTGGTCTCAGGTGTGCGCGGAGGAAGCCGGAGAGGGCCTCCGGCTTGGCTGGCGTCAGCGATAGGGCCAGCGACGGAGCGGCGGCTACAGGCGGAGCAGCGAAATCCTCCGCCATCGCTGCCGGAGGCGGCGGCGGTAGCGGAACGGATCGGCGGCGGAGCTTCAAGAGGGAACGCCGGAGGGCCATTCAAGGTAGAAGAATCCCTGTTCAAACCCTCTATCTCTCTGAAGACGTCTGTTAGATTAGATGACGGTGATGTTTAATTTTGGCTGAATTCTCGGTAAGTTAAACAATAATTGTAGTACCCTATAATTACAATAATTAAAAAATAAGAACTGTCTTCATGTGCCCTCCTTTTGTATACTGGGACTACGTGGGCCCCTAAAATAAATTCTGCCTAGAGTTCGGCCCAGATGGCCCTTATTGGACTCCAATAAACCATGGGCCCGCTGGTCTTAAACTAAATAGGCCGTTATCGGGCTAGCTGGCGGTCAGAGGCTACTTGGGCCGGCAGAAGCTCTGTTCGTCAATGGGTGAAGCATTTGGGATATGATGACGTAATTTAAACGTAAAATGACATCACTATTAGCATGGGGCCCACCAATCCAGCCGGAATGGTCCTACTTCTTGGGGAAAAAAATATTTTTTCTGCGGACGGATGGCGACGTGGCCACCAGATAAGCACCCGGAGATTTAGAGTAATCTAATAGGTGTCGGCGGGCCGCATTAGAGCCCGCCCGTTTTTCCGGGCTTGAGCGATGAGGCCCGTGAGTTCGACGGGCCGGGCTCAATCAGCCCTGCAGAAAAAATGGGCTGGGGCGGGCCGGATGCAAATTTCCAGCCTTCTGCCTGCTCAAGTCGGGCTTCGAGGGAGTATCACGGGCCAGGTCCGCATTTCTCAGGGCCCGGCCCATTGATACCCCGACCCCACACCACCCCAAATCTCCGCGTAGTGACCTGTGGTGAGGGCGTAGTCATGAACCACTAGCTGAATCATCCTGCCAGCTGACCACGTCAGCCGCTCTAAACTTTTGCTGGGTTAATCCTCTGCGGCCGCAAGCGTAGAGAGAGAGAGAGAGAGAGAGAGAGAGAGAGAGAGAGAGAGAGGGAGGGAGGTACTGATGGCCATTGCACCACGCACCATCAAGAACATCATCTTCCATGGAAGCTGATATATGTTCAGGAGCAAGATAAACAAGCTTTCAACAGCTACTTATCACCACAGGAAGGAGAGAGAGAGAGAGAGGAAGAGAGAGAGAGAGAGAGGAAGAGAGAGGAGAGAGAAAGAGAGAGGAGAGAGAGGAGAGAGAAAGAGAGAGGCGATTCGTGGCTAGTGGACCGCCCAACCCTGGGAACTCTTTTCCTCGTTCTCTGGTATACCTTCTCTACAAGCTAAATAACTAAGCTAAGCTCTACACGTCGTGAGTAATTGTCAGAGACACAGAGAGAGAGAGATCAGAAGGGATCTTTGCCCTCTGGGATGCTCTCCAGCGCCGGCCTCCACACCGCCGCCGTCCGGCCTCTATCTTCGGCGGCGGCCCTTCGCCGTAGCATGGCGATCATCTGCTCCGGCGACGGCGCGCCGCCGCTCATCATCTCCGCCAGCTCCTTGCGGCTCAGCAGCACCTTGATTCTCACGGCGCCGCCGGGCTTCTTCTTGGTTTCTCCTCGAGCGAGGCGGTTGCCCATTCTCGCCGACGCCGTGGACGGGAGGACGGATGGCTCAGGGCGTGGAAACTCTCGTCGGCTCAGACTGAGAAGGACGGGTTATCCTTTTAAAGAAAAACCTCTCGATATGAGAGAGAGAGAGAGAGAGAGAGAGAGGGAGGAAGGGAAAGAGAGAGAAGAGAGAGGAGAGGGAGAGAGGGGGGGGCTTTGCCACCCAGAAACCCTCTCTAATCGTGTAGTTCTCTGATTTTGGTTACTAAGATATCATTGTATTAGTAAAACGCAGCTTTCAACGTCACCCCGAGCCCGGGTACCGCAAAATCAAAGAGAAGAGGCGCTATACATCATTTAAAAGATTTTACGGGGAGTTAAATATAATATAAAATAGATATTTAGATTAATACAACTTGTAGATTTAAACGGGACGCAGATCAGAGGGTCTTTTGCCGTCAGATTGGGATCCTACGGCCCCAATTCGGGCCGCGACAGAAGGAAGGGATAGCCCGCCGGCGCCACTCCAGTCCACCGACTTCCTCCCCACGCGAGGAAGAGAAAGAGGGAGAATCCGCGAGTTCCTCGTGCCGCTGTTGAAGATCGATGGCCGGAGTCGTCGGCCTCCGCCCGCCGCCGGTGTCGCCCCCGTCGGTGGCGGGAAGGAGTCTCCGCCGCCACCTCTCCGTCAGAGCTTCATCGGGTTTACCTCCCTCGTTTTCTTCTTCTTCCACTTCGGTCTCTGGGGTCGGCACGGAGGAAAAGCCGAGTCTCTCGCCGCCGCCCGGATTCAAGGCCCCGAAGCCCAAGAGGTTCGCCGTCAGGCCCGACAAGCTGCTCGATGTGCTGGGAGCTTCTCTGGCCCTCCCATTCCGTCTCGGCACCGGAGTTTTTGTTTCAGGGTTTGTCTGCTGCCCCTACCCTCTCTCTCTTTCTCTCTGTATCTTTCTGTCATGGTCCGGGTGCACGTTTGGCGGCTTCATATCAGAGTTTCAACCCTAAATTTGGGAAATTGCCATTGGGGAGAGCGAGAGACGGGCTTCTAAGACTCGACGCTGCCCCATTGATCACGCAGCTCTACCTCGCTTGAGAACTGCAGGGGTCCCTAATCTCTGGTTTTTCCCCACCTCGACAGGTACTCGGCGTCCTTGGTGTCGGAAGCAGACATTCCTTCTGACCAGTACGCCCTCAGAATAGCAGGTTCAGTGTCTCGAATGCTTATAGCTTTTAATATATCTCAAACATGCGTCGGCCCGCATTATTTCCTTGGACGTGAGATCGATGATTCCTTTTAGTTTGTCCATTCTCTGCTGGGTAAATTTGATATTATTCTCTATGGTGAGGGGATGATAAGTAGATGTCTGAGGTTGAAGAAATCATGAGTGACGGGTCTTCTTCACCAGGCCTCACAGTGAAGGAAACCTCAAAGCTGGGCCCTCGGCCGGAGAAGCCTATCGAGATTTACGAATTCGAAGGGTACGCTCTTCACGAAATGCTCTTAGAACGCGCACTTGTATGGGCTTTCTGGTCATATCTCTAAGGGCTGACTCTCGGACTCCTTTGACTTTTTGTTCCTTGGGGGCCACATGGGCTGTCATCGATCGCATGGAATTCAGCTGCCCATTCTGCCGCAAGGTCAGTAGTGTTCATGTTTTCTGAAGGTCCTGGTTTCAGTTTGGAAATTCCGAGGTGTTTGTACTGAAAGCATGGATTTCTAGATTGGGCATGGGAATGCATTGATGTTATCATGTATAATGGCCGATTATCCCTCTATTTATTTCGTCACTCAGAGAGTTGGGATCTGATCATGTGTTCTTTACTCATCTCTTGTGTTCGACAATTCCCTTCAATGGTGCACAGGTCAGGGAAATTGTGAGCATACTGGACCTGGATGTCTTGTACTATCCCTGCCCAAGAAATAGTCCTCAGTTCCGCCTCAAGGTTCTACAAATAGGTGGAAAGCAGCAATTTCCGTACATGGTAAGCTTTTCGAATCATTATCTTGATCTTTGTTTTGAAATCTGAGGCGGTCAATCGTTCGTCAACCATGCATTTTATGAGAATTTGGATTATCCGCAACTTTTCAATTGTACATCTCATAGTGAATGATCACAAATTGCTATTCTTTGACGAAAAAACTTGCTTATTTTTTTCCCGGTGTATAATTGTCGAGTAAATTTGATGATATGAAATGAGATTTATGCAAATGGAAAAACCTTTTTCCTAATAATATATAGTTATTTATAATTGCTCCTACTGTGGATCAAACTGAATTATCAAAAAAATTCTCATATCTCCTGAGTGGCTTCACTTATAAACTGCCATTGTTTGCAGGTGGATCCAAACACAGGCGTGTCAATGTACGAATCTGATGAAATTATCAAGTACTTGGTTCAGAAATATGGTAATTTTTTCTCAGCATATTTGCTATTTTCCTGTTGGCTTTAACGATAGTCATTGTTTCTTGCAACATGCGATGCAATTTTCCATTTTTGATGTATGGATTGTTAAACCCTGACTTAAATTCATGTGGATCTTCAGGTGATGGGACTGTCCCTTTAATGCTCTCTCTTGGCCTGCTAACTGTAAGCTTTCACAATCCCTCCTGAGCTTTTCCTCCATTACACAACTCTAAGGGGATCATGCAGCATGCTGTTTCGTTGTTCCATTTCAGACTCTTACTAAGGGCTTTGCAATGGTTGGCCGCTTGGGCAAGGCAAGGAGCTCTTCTCTCCACCCTATCTCTTTGCTGTATAGCTTGTGCTTTCCTAGCTGGTTCGGGCGTTTCATGTTGGTCTACTAGTAGTCAACCCTCTTCTGATGTCTGCAATGAATAGTCCCTCATGGTTTATTGTAGAAATAAGCTTGTGACTATGAATGAGTGAATGACTGCTCTCAGCCTGAAAGAAGGCACACCTGGTAAACCCTAAAAGTGGGCATGCCACAAATAGTCCTCCCATGTTGCTTACTTTAGAAGTAAATCGTCAATTGAGTTTGAGTCAGATGGGGTGGTTTTCGTCAACAGTGGAAAAAAGTAATACCTTTTGCATGGTTTTACAGGGATCTGCTTACACTCCCGCCAAAGCCCCTCTGGAACCTATTGAACTCTGGGCTTATGAGGTCAGTTCTCCTTGGGAAAGCTTCATTTCCTGTGATCCCTCTCGTCGTTTCTTCTCATCTGTTAATCTCGTGAAGAAAAAACAAGAAAAAAAAGCAAGGAAGAGAAGATCCAATTCTACTTTGCCGTTTCCACTGATCCATGCTATCTTGTCTTCCCAGGGCTCTCCTTTCTGCAAGATTGTGCGCGAGGTCCTCGTCGAGTTGGAACTGCCGCATCTATTTCACAGGTACCCTCTGGTTATGCTCTTGGCAATGATGAACTTCGCGCCTCTTGCGGTCATGATGGGCTAGAATTATTAGTTTACCTGGTTCTTTTAGATTCTTGCGATCATCTCCAATAGATCTTACTAAAAGAAAATATTAACTTCGGCCTAATGAGACTGATACCCAAGTTATTCCGGTCCCCAGACGCTGGCTTCAGCCTGGCAGAGAACCAGTGGCCCTGCTGGCCAAACTTTATTTTCCCACACTGAGTGGTGCAAGTCTCTATATTTAAGCCATGGCTTGACCCCTCTCATCCAATCTTAAGACCCACCCCTCTGCAATGAGGATCCTCCGTTTGGATTAAGTGATGGGATTCACCTTCGATAAAATGACGATAAAAGGTTTATTTTATCGTGAGAATTTACGGCGACCAAGAACTGGGAAAGATAGGATGAGTATTCTGGATGAATGCTTCCTAGAATTTCTGCGATCATCTCTCTCTCGAATGGGCGCGCTGACTGAAGCGGTTTGATTGCAGCACCGCCCGCGGGAGCCCCAAGAGGCAGGAGCTGTTCGAGAGGCTCGGGCATTTCCAGGTGACCCCCTCGAGCCGGGATCCTTGAAAGCGTATTTCCACACCGGTGGCCATTTATGGGATTCCTGTTTTCTGATGGGCGTTGACGATCAGGTTCCCTACATTGAAGACCCCAACACGGGCGTGAAGATGTTCGAGAGCGCAGAGATCGTTGACTACCTGACAGCAACCTACGTTATTCCGTAGCTGAGAGCGGCTCCGAGGCTTTCGTGGTGATCCCTCCCTGGTGCATGTACATCCACGTTGATCCCCTCTTGCTTCCGGGGGTCAACCCTTTCAATCCTCCGCCTTGTATTTGTTCGCTTGTGGGTTGCGGACATCCATTTAATCCATAACTTTCGGTAGGTATCGTAATGAATGCCTTTGTCGCTCTCTGTCTCTATCCTTCTTTCTCCTCACTCTTTCCGGAAGCCCCGATCGGACGGGAAAGGGAGTGGCCTTTCGGCGGACCCTCTTTTCAACACTGTTTTGTGTGGCGGAAGATTCCCAGCTTTTCGAAGCTCTCTCGGGGCCAGGTCTTGCCTATCCACTTGTTCTTAATGAAGGCGGAGCATCTTCCGGTAATGGCCATGGAGTTGACATGCCGAGAGGGGGATTCTCCGGATCGGGAAGAGCCCTCAGAAAAGCTTCCCAAAGCGGTAGGCTTTTCCGGTGCCCGGCTTGATCCCCCCTCGTATTTTCCTTCCTATCAGTAGATTGATTACCTGGTTCTTCTCCCTTCGGAAGGTGTTCTTGTGCTGGGATGGGTTCTGGTCTCAATCGGCTTCCTACTCGGTGCCTCGGCCGTCATTTGTTCCCGTCCTTTGTTACACAGCTCTCTCGGTCATCCTTCGTTGGTTGGGGCGGGGGGGAGGGAAATGATAGTCATTTCTGTCTCTCTGTGTCTCTGTCTCTCTCTCTCTCCACCTGGTTCGACGATGACGGCCATACGGGGTCTCTGGCCGTCGTTTTCTAATCATGGCTCCATTGGGTTCTCTCTCTCTCTCTCTCCCCCTCCCAATCTCTCTCCCCCCTGACGACGACCACCGCAGGTTCATTGTCTCGCATGCTTGTCTCCTTCACGGAAAGAACTTGTTCTCTTCGTCGCGGCCTGCGGAGACTGACGAGGCCGATCGAGCTCCTCCCCTTTTTTTGCCCGCCACCTTCACGAGGTGCGGAGGCCGCTATTCCTCCCTCATCACGAGAAGACTTTTGGAGGGGTACCATCTTTCCTGGGATTCTGCATCCGGCTTCCTATTAACTAGGACACCCTATTTAGAATGCTTTATCTTCACTGATTTGAATTCATACTTGCTTAATATCCTCAACAAGGTCGTTAATCTATTAATGGAAACATACAGACCGCCGGCGTGAAGGATCAGGTTTCTGTCCATCCTGGGTTCTCTCTCTCGCTCTCTCTCTCTCTAGCTGGTTTTCTCCACCACAAATCACTGAGAGAGACACGGAGAGGGTAGCGGCGGGGACCAAAGGCGCAGCTTTGAATCTCCAAAAATAGTAGACCCGGGATGAACGAATAACGGACATGGCCACGAAATCCTCGCTGTCTATATAAGCTTTCTTAGCGATCCGACCTTTGAACAGATCATCCTGCCCTCTGCTGCAAAGGATAGAGAGAGAGAGAGAGAGAAGGTTGGGTTCCTAGGGAGGAGAGGAAGCTAGACTAACAATCGCCGTCTGCCTTCTTCCCGGCAATGGCAACTCAAGTCGCCATCTGCCTGCTCGGGGTCATCTCCCTTCTCATCGCATGCGCTGGAGCTCACCGTAAGAAGAAATGCACCTCAACGTCTCCGTCTCTCCCTCCCTCCCTCCCTCTCTCTCTCTCTCTCTCTCTCTCTCTCTCTCTCTAGAATCTGACGAAAGGATCCTCCCCATGAATTTGTTTGAAGGATTCGTGAAGTTCGGGTACAGCGGGACGATATGCCCGGAGAAGTGGGGCGAACTGAGCCCGGACTACTCGCTGTGCTCCAATGGCACCCGGCAGTCGCCCATCAACATCGTCCGGGCCGCCACCGTCGTTGACCTGAGCTTGAAGCCCCTTGAGAGGGACTACAACCCCGCCAACGCCACCCTCGTCGACAACGGCTTCAACATCATGGTACCTAGGTTTCCTCATTTCTGGCGACGCAGAGATACAATATTTTAGGGTTTCATGAAGAAGACGATGACGATGACGACGATGACGGCGATGGCAGCTGAGCTACGGCGAGGACGTGGGCGCCATGGTCATCGACGGCAAGAACTACACGCTGAAGCAGATGCACTGGCATTCTCCCTCCGAGCACACTCTCGAGGGAATCCGGTAGGCCGCGAATCGCTACGCTCCACTCATTTCCGGCAAGCTCTGAGAGAGCTCTTCTTCTCCTCCGGCCTTCAGGTACCCGATGGAGATGCACCTGGTGCATGCCAGCGACGACGGGAACATCAGCGTCGTCTCCATCCTGTACCAGTACGGGCACGCCGACCCGTTTCTATACCAGGTCGGAGGCCTCTCTCTCCCCTCTGAGCGCCCGGCGGGGAGAGATTAAGGATACTGATTAGGGTTTGTGGTGGCGCAGTTGAAGGAGAAGGTTGACGAGTTGTCGAAGGAGGTGTGCGCCGGCGACGAGGAGGCGCACGTCGCCGCCGGGCTCGTGGACACGAAGGCCCTGAGGCGCCACACGAACAAGTACTACCGCTACGTGGGCTCCCTCACGACGCCGCCCTGTACCGAGAATGTCATCTGGAACGTCCTCGGCAAGGTACCCATTTCTCTCCCTCCCACCTCCTCTCTCTCTCTCTCTCTTTCTCTCGACTCCGAGTACGATAAAAGATATGAAAGGCCGAGTCTTTCTCTCGAATATACTCAGCTCTTGATCTCGCCTCATCGATCCGTGCTGTTCCATTCCTCGCTCTGATTTTGCAGGTGAGAGATATCAGCCCAGAGCAGGCGAGCACGCTGAGCTCGCTCTTGGGGGAGGAGTACCGGAACAACTCGAGGCCGACTCAGCCCCTCAACGGCCGCCGGGTCCTCCTCTACCACGAGGCCGTCTAGGAGGGAGGCAACAGAAAGGGGGTAGATTTGATATATGAATATATGGAGGAAAGGGTGTAATTTTTTATGATTAAAACCCCAGCTGTATCCACCGCGGTTCTTGATGATGATGCCGTGAGATTAGGGTTCTCTCTCTAAGGCGGCCCGCCGGATAGCCAGGTTCGCGGCGCCCGTCGTCTTATCCGGTGAGCAGTGAGATTGTGTGGGGAAGTGAGGTCGACCCGCTGAGCTCCCGCCGAAGAGCCCACACAAGCCGTTGAATTCTGTAAGGGGAATCTCCGCAGAGTCTTGAAGCCGTTGACCTCGCCGCATAACCCGCAGGAAGAATTTTGCGGTAAGGAGAGCAGCTGGAGAAGATGGCGGGGGCGGGGGCGGGGGCGGCGGCGGCGGCGACGGAGATGTCGCCGTCAGCCAGGGATGGGTAGATCGGGGGCGGCGCCACCATGAGGGGGGTGCAGAAAAGCTGAAAAACAAGGTCGCTGAACCCCGCCTGCATCGTCGTGTCATCTGATTCCGCAGGGCCTACGTCACCCCCGTGATGCCATAAAATAGCGTAAATTTTTTGTATACTCATCGTAGAGTTATTGATTGCATGAGCAGAGTGGCGTAGCTTACAGGGAGTTTTCAGGATCCGAGGTCAACCAATTTGCAACGAGCTAAAAAAAATAAATTAAGTTAATGCTAGTGGCGATTAGTTGTTATAAATTGTAATAAATTTGAAAATAGGATAAAATAATAGGGTGGGTTTAATGTTATGACGTCCGGCGGCAGCCATACTCTCTCTCTCTCTCTCTCTCTCTGTGACGGCGACCATTGTGGATTAGTATCGTTTGGTTGTCCCCTTCCCAGAGGTAACTTGCTAGTGGAAGCCGACTGCCCCGGTTGAGTTCCTCCCCCGTAGACACCTTCACGAGAAGCGGCTTCCCGCCACCCCCCCTCATCTCTCTCTCTATCTCATCACCGAGAAGAAGACTTCCCTAGGGGGGAATTATCTAGCCAGTGATTCTCAACCTGACTTTTGCGTGGACCAAGCCCATTAACCATATTTAAATCGAATCATCGTAGTCATGGATGTATAGTATCTTCAACTTACTTTGTTAATCTATTAAAGGAAATATACTGGCCACTCTCTCTCTTAGACTTTCGGCGTGGAGGATAGGTTCCGTCAATTCTCAGCGTGCTCTCTCTCTCACAGGTCGTCATTTGATCTTCCCATCATGAGAGAGAGAGATAGTGGGAGAGTGAGAGATGCGTTGACAAGAATCGAGGCTGTGATTCTCCCAAAAAAAGTGAACCAGGGGTGAACTAATAACTGCCATGGCCACAGGATCCTCCTTTCGCTCTCTATATAAGCTTTCGCAGGCATTGCATCTTTGAACAAATCATCCTTTCCTCTGCTCCAAAAGAGGAGAGAGAGAGAGAGAGAGAAAGGTAGGCTCCGAGACGGTGAAGGGAGAATAATTCCATTTTCTTCCTGGCAATGGCCTATTCAGTCGCCATCTGCCTGATCGGGGTCGTCTCCGCCCTTGGCGTATGCGCCAGTGCACACCGTAAGAAGAAGTGAACCTTCCTCTCTCTCTCTCTCTAGAATCTGAAGGACAAATCCTTGCCTTTCATGTGTACGCAGGATTCGTAAAGTTCGGGTACAGCGGAACGATCAGCCCGGATAAGTGGGGGGAGCTGAGCCCGGACTACTTCCTCTGCTCCAATGGCACCCGGCAGTCTCCCATCAACATCGTCGGGGCCACCGCCGTAGTCGATCGGAGCTTGAAGCAGCTCGAGAGGGACTACAACCCCGCGAACGCCACCCTCGTCGACAACGGCTTCAACGTCATGGTACCTTCTTCTCCTCATTACCGGCGACGCAGAGATGTGATATTTTTGGGTTCTCACGAAGACGACGATGGCCATGGCAGCTCAAGTACGGCGACGAAGTGGGCGTCATGGTTATCGACGGTAAGAACTACACCCTCGAGCAGATGCACTGGCACTCGCCCTCCGAGCACACCATCGACGGAGTCCGGTAAGCCGCCAAATCGCCGCGGCCCACTCATTTTCCGGCGAGCTCTTCTCTGACGGGGTTCCGTCTCAAGGTACCCGACGGAGATGCACCTCGTCCACTTCAGCGCCGACGGAAACATCAGCGTCGTCGCCGTCCTGTACAAGTACGGCCACGCCGACCCGTTCCTCTACCAGGTCGGAGGCCTATATCTCCCTCTCTGAGGAGCCTATGTGGAGAGATTATTAGGGTCACTGATTAGGGTTTGTGGTGGCGCAGCTGAAGGAGGAGATGTACCAGATGTCGAGGGAGGTCAACGGCGGCAAGTATAACGCGACGGTCACCGCCGGGCTCGTGGAAACGAAGGCCCTGAGGCGCCACACGAACAAGTACTACCGCTACATGGGCTCCCTCTCGACGCCCCCCTGCACTGAGAACGTCATCTGGAACGTCCTCGGCAAGGTACCCATCTCTCTCTCTCTCTCTCTCTCTCTCTCTCTCTCTCTCTCTCTCGCTCTAACAAGGAAAGCTTCGTTGCAGGTGAGGGAGATCAGCAGGGAGCAGGCGGCGTCACTGAGCTTGCTCCTTGAGGAGGACTACCGGAACAACTCGAGGCCGACTCAGCTTCTGAACGGCCGCCGGGTCCTCCTCTACCACGAGGGCGTCTGACCAGACACCAGAAGACTATAAACGTATATATATGTACTCGTCATTTATATCGAATGGGAATTTATGAAGGGGAGGAGGAAAAAGGAGGATTTTTCAAAATTAAAATCCCAGCCTTGTAACGAAAGTTGGAATCTTTGAATGTATTCTACCGCCGTCTTCCTCTTTTCTTCTTATTTTTCTTCATTATCGGAGGGAAAAGATCTATTTGATCTGGGAGATGATAGGACGGATGCGGGCCCCCGTGGGATTGCGAGGGCACCCGACGTTGCATCCAACAACCTCAGCTGCAGACAGCCCATACGTTTATCAGAAATGGCGGCAGCGGCGGCGTATGCAGCCGGAGGAGGAAGCCGGTCTCTGATGGGCTGCGTCTCTTTCGAATTGGCGGTCGCCAAACCCCTCCGGCGGATGGGGATAATCCTTTCCGGAGACGATCACCGGACCCACATCGTGTCCCTCACCTCCACCACATATAGGGTGCTGGTTCTCAATCGCAACGATGGTGGAGGTGGCGATGCCCCCATCGGACATGTGAGGTCGTTGTCACTGCCGCCGATCATAGGGCTAGCAGAGAGAGAAGACTCGGAGATTGTCTACAACGAAGAAGAAGAAGAGAAAATTTAAGGGTAAGAAGAACAGAGAAGTGGAAGAGAGAAGAAGTGCAAGATGGAAACAAAAAATAGAAAATTGCATTTTTTAATTGGAATCATATTGTACATCTATTTATAGGTAATGTCATCAGATTAGATCTGTTGGATCAGAGTGATCTTAGCCATTGATTGCATATGATGTGTCACTATTTATTGATGTGTCTATTAGCTGGCTATTGGTGATTACCGTTTCCTTTGCTTGTTAGTTGACTTTTTCTTTTCACTCCCTTTTAAGCTGAGCATGGGATAAATGCAAAGCTTGTTTGGAAGATAAAGAAATTGAGCTTTAGGTAATGGCTTCGTTAGAATGTCTATTAGTTGCTGACTGCTTGGAACAAATGAAATTTGTAGGGCTTTGGAGGTGACATATTCTTGGACGAAGTGGAAGTCTATCTCCATGTGCTTGGTTCGTGTATGAAAGACTAGGTTTGTTACGAGCTATGTTGCGCCTAAATTGTCATAGTAGAGAGTTGGCCTTGTCGTGTTGATGTGAATTTCTGTAAGAATTCGTTGTGTCCAGAGGAGCTCCACCATTGTATTTGTCAATGATTTGTACACTACTTATGTGCTGGATATTGATATAGTAGGTTGGTTTTTTGAACTCCATGAGACTAAATTTGGTCCAAGATAAATAAGATACCCCATGTTGATTGTTTGTCTTCTTTTGATCCAGCCTAGTCCATGTCACTAAATGACAAAATTGTTGATGAAGCTTGATTGCTATAATGAAGTCCATGAAAAATCATGCATTTAAGATATCTTAATAAGTGCTTCAAAGCCGCCTAGTCATTAGCTGTAGGAGCAACATTTTTTGTCATGCTTTATTTATGGCATAAGCTATGTCAGGCATAATACATATTGGAGGGATCCCACTAGGCTTCAATACATAATACAATCGACTAGAGCAGATGATTGTATTTGAGAGGGAGATGTAGAATAGGGAGTACTTAGAGGTTTGAAATCTTTTATTTTGGCTTTGTGCAAGAGGGAAGCTATATATGTGGTTTGAGATATAGAGAAACTATTGAGAATTCGGATTAATTCTATACCTAAGAAATAGTGAGCCACATATAGAGAATCTTTGATGAAGAAATTAAATGATATTTTTTAATGCTAGTTTAATCAGGACTAATTAAAAGAATATCATTTGACATAAATTAAGAAAAAGATTAGAAAACATGAATGAAGTTTGTAGAAAAGAGAAGTATTGATTTTCGATCCTAGAAAACCTATGGTATGAAGACAAGTTATGAGTTTGCAGAACCATGCCCTAAGAGACTGTTTTAAATCATAAATATATTTGTTTAATTTGTAGATGTGATTTGAGAATTTTCAATCAATAAAACCTTGAGGCTGTTCCATGTAAATTGTTTCTGATAAATCTCCATGTAGAAAAGCATTAGAACCATCTAATTGATGAATAAACAAGTAGTAGGTGGTAGCTAAAACTAAGAGAATCCTTATTTGGTCATTTTAATAACATGACTAAAAGTTTCATAAAAGTCAAACCCTTCTTGTTGATGAAATGCCTTAGGTACTAATATGGCTTTGTATCTATCTATGATATCATCTGATTTTTGTTTCAATTTATAAACCCATTTATATCCTATCACATTTAGTTTGTATCTATGCTTTGAAGATTAGGTAATCGGGGAACTAACTTCTAGGTGTTATGTTTGATTAAAGCATTATATTTCGAGACCATGGCTTGGACCTAATGGGGATTCTTAATGGCTGCATAGAAGGTTGATGGTTCTAGAGTGTTCATAATGGTAGAAGTGAGATAAATTAGTAGTGGATGTCTGGTGGATAGGTGTGCTTTAGGTTAATGTTTGGTCTAAAGTTTCTAAAGATCTATTCCACAATCACGATATATGTCTACTAGTGATTGATGTTTTTCTAGAGATGAGGGTGTGCTTGAAGGCTGATTCTAATCAAGAAGATCTTCTCTATCAGAGGTAAAAGGTGATGAATATGAGTCAGAGGGTGATGGAGTGTAAGTGTCTTGTGAGAATATTTATTTTTGTGTTGTCTCATGGTAAGTTAGGAGGATCATCAATTGTTCTCACAGATGTCAAAATATATTGAGATCCATAATTTTGGGGCTAGGGAGGAAGGTTTTGATTTATAATAATATGGATATGAGATGAGAAATTCGGGGAATGTCCTACAATCCCTACAAATGCATCATGAATTGAAGAATTTTAAATCATTTTTGGGTTTGAGAAGGGAAACATGTTTTCATTAAAAATGACATGGCAAGATATAAAGATTTTACCTGAGTTTAAAAATAGACATCGGTATCCATTGTGCATAGAGCTATATTCGAGGAAGACAATAATTTGATATGGAAGTAAGTTTATTAGAAGCATATGCACATAGATGACAATAATAAAGACACCCAAATGTTTTTAAAATGCTATAATCAAGTTGAATTTTAAAAAATACTTTAGAAGGAGATTTGTTCCTTAAGATGAATGTTGGCATTTTGTTTATTAAGTAACAGATGTGAATACTGCCTCATCCCAATATCTTTGTGACATACTCTGCTAAAGAAGGGATAGGCATGTCTCAATTAGATATCTATGCTTTCTTTCAGTAGTTCTATTATGCTCAGAAGTATGAGGGCATAAGACTTTATGGATTATGCCCTCATTTTTAAAATATTTTTAGAAGAATTGAAACTTTCCCCCCTAATCTCATTGAAATGAGATGATCTTGGTGGAAAATTATCTTTCCATACGTTTGTGAAACTCTAAGAAGACATTACACACATTGCTTTTTAGTTTTATAGGATAAAGCCAAACATAGTTATTATAGTTATTAATAAAAATAACATAGTAAGAAAAACCACAATATGAAAGTATGGGAGAAGGTCTCCATAAATTTGAGTGGTTTAGTAGAAATTCGATTAGATTTAGAAAACAAGTGTTTATGAGCTTTAACAATGTAGCATGAGTCACACAAGTAATGTTTAGGTAATTGAGTAGTGCAAAGCTCATGTTTATTGATTATTTACTTCAAAACTTTAAATTGTGGATGTCCTAATTGATTGTGTACGATGTTGGTTGAAGTTTTTTCTCTTAGTAGAGTAGTCGGATTGTGTTTAGTTCCTTGAAGTAGATAGACTCCATCTTTAGTTGTTCCCTTGAGGAGGATTTTGTGGTTTTTTCCATCCTTCACAAGATAGTAAGTGACATGAAATTTAAAAGAAAACTTAGTTATTTGAAGCTAATTTCTCTACATAAAGTAAATTTCTTGTGGCAGCAAGTAGATGTAGGATGTCTTTAGTCTTTAAAAAAAATATTTTGGAATTTAAAGTATTATTACCAATAGAGTTTATAGATAAACCTATCCCATTACCTATGGGTGAGTTGATCATTTTTGTGGTATGGAATATATTAATTCATAATGTTTTGATTCGGTGTAACATGATGAGAAGCCCCATTGTCTAGATACCATGATCCTACCATAGATGGTTCAAAGATGCTTCTGATGTTCATGTAGTAAGTTTGGGGTTTGCTCTACTAGAATGGTCCGATAGGGATGAAGGTATAGGGTTGATTAGTAAGAAAGTTTTGCGAGAATCTTTCTTTGCATTCTTTACCCCTATGTCCAAATTGAGAGCAAATCTAACATCGAGGTGTATACTGTTTAGATCTGTCTCATCTTCATCAATTTCTTTCCTGATTTTGCTGAATTCCCTTGTTTTGTCATTAATGATTTTGCCAATTTTTTTTGTTGCGGGACTATGATGATATTTGGACATTGTTTGCCACTAGGGTTATGAAACTTGTGAGCCAATTCTGATAGTAGGCTTGAATCACATCATGAGATTTTAAGTTGGTAATAATATCCAAATGATAGATGATTGATATTTACATTGATGCTAATGGTAAAGGAGATGTATTGAGGACCAAGACTGTAGAGGAAAATAAAGATCATAGATAGTTCATCCACTAGATGATCAGTGATTGATAGTTCTTCATATATCCTTTTGAAATACTTGATGTAGTTGTCCATACTTGACATGACTTAGTCATTATATAATGAATTATGTAAATTTTAAATTTATAAAACTAGAAAATGCTAATTTTAAATTTTAAAAAATATTTCAAAATAAATAAATAAATTATAATTTGATAAAAGGTTCTAAAATAGTGAAAAAAAAATTAAGTTTCTCATAGAGATGTAAAATAATATCTAGTAATATGTCAAAAAAATTCTAAAAGAATATGATTTTTTATGATTTTTATATTAAATATTAAATATAAATATATTAAAAAATTCATAAAAAAGAGAAATAAGGGTACAAATGTTACGATGATGTCAAGGCCGATGAACACGAATCGGGTGAAAATAGAGTTATGTCTGGTGATTCTTACGTAAGTGATTAGAGACGATTTAATGAGTCAAATTAAGTTTTGTAAAAGTCAAAAGAATTTTAATTTAATGAAGAATAGTTTCAAAACTTAAAATCACATAAAGTATCAATAATTAAAAAAAAAAATTAAAGTAGAAAAGGTAGAGTTTTAGCTTCGAGATAGTGATTGTTGAAATTTTGTGTGTTCGGGAGAATTAATGTGTAATATTTATGACCTCAAAGACTCTCTTTAGACATAGATGACATGGATAATATTTAAATCTTCTTACAAAGTCCATAAATTAATAAATTAGGTTGTCAAATTGTCTCTAATGGTTGTCACCCAGTGGAGTAGAAAAATGGTAACTTTGTAGCTCTCTAATGGGTGTCACTCAGTAGAATGGAAAAACGATGACTTTACGGCTCTCCAATAGATGTCACTCAACAAAAATAAGTTGTATAGAGGTGGGACACATTTTAGAGAGCTTTATCCTTAAGTCTGCATAGTAAGAGGAGGTTTTTCATCGCATCAGGTATACTCACAAGAGGTGACGACTCATCTCCTAGTAGATCGTCCTCTTCCCAACTATAGCTTATTTGTCGATCAATCGGAGATGATTTATTTGATGAATTTGTGATCTTTTTATCCATAATTGTTTAATAAACTTAGTAATGCTCTGCGAATTGCGTTGACAATATTTTTGCCGATGATTAAATGATTCTAGTTAATTATTCACCAAAAATCTGTAAGAAAATTATGATTTAATCAGATAAAAATATGAGTTTTGGCTTTGGTAGGATTTGAACCATCACTAGTAAGATTTGGTAATCAATGTGTCTTTTTCTTGCATGTGTATGATCACTTTTTGTCCCATGCTTAATTGACTACTAGTGACATGGAAGGAGAGTGATGCACATATGTTCCCTACGAGCCTATCCTTAATTGATTGAGTCCCTACTTGCGACTTTGCCTAATTATACTTTCAACTCACTTGTAAGCTCAATTGGTTAGCGAGTTTCTCTCTTTTTCTATTATTTTATTTTATTTTATGTGAATTTATATGATTTTTATAATTATATAAATTCATATAAAATCACATAATTAGCTAAAAATTCACATTAACTAATTAAAAATTGTTTTTCATACTTTAACATAAATATAAGTCTATTTATCATGAGTTAAGATTAAAACTATATTATTAATTAATTATTAACTCATAATAATGAAAACTTATCAATACTCATATCTCTCTTATTAGAATTATGCAATTGTCTTTAAAGATTCATTATGTGAGATCATTCTTTGAAAGCATACATGGCTTCGATTGCTTCTCATATTTCTTTAGATGTATTCTTTTTTCAAGACTCGAAATAACCAATTCGGACATGAGGGAATTAATAAATTCTAATATTTGTTAATCATTCCTCCACCATACCTTATATTCCAAATTCTGAATCACATTTTTGGTCGCATCAAAGGTTGAGATTGGTGGAAGATCATCTTCAAAATATCTCATTAAATCAAATCCATTTAAAATCAGAATCATGGTATTTTTCCATACTAGAAGGTTATTGCTAATAAGTTTAACAGAAGGGATGAATCTTGTAGGAATAAGCAAGGGTACTAGAAGGTTGTCTTCAACTAATATTGTGGATGGAATGATGGCGCTCGTAAATGAAGCCATAGTGTTGATTAGATCTGCCATAGAGCCTCTATGGCTCTAATACCATATAGAGAATCAAGAAGAGGGAAGAAGAGTAGAGAAGTGGAAGAGAGAAGAGAGGCAAGATCAAAACAAAAAATAGAACATTATATTTTTTAATTGAAATCATATTGTACATCTATTTATAGGCAATGCCACCAGATTAGATTTTTTGGATCAAAGTGATCTTATCCGTTGATTGCATATGATGTGTCGCTGCTTATTGATGCATCTATTGGCTAGCTATTGGTGAGTACCACTTTCTTTGCTTGTTAGTTGACTTTTCTCTTCAGAGTCATTGATCAACCGAGCCTACTCCATGAGGCCATTGGCCCTGCTAGAGAGCCATTGGCAGAAGAGCCTCAACTGCAGCCGTACATCTGCCATGGAGTTCGTCACTTGGTTGGAGAAGGTGTAAGAATAAAACTCCCAAACATATGACCAAATCGTGTAGAAAGTGAAAGAGAATGTGTTAAAAGAAAAAGGGGAAGAGGAGAATGCAACGAGTGTCTTGTGAGTCCTAAAAAGGAAGAGATAAAATGGCTACTATGAACTTTATTAAAATATTAATAAAAAATGTTTATATAGAGGTGATAGGAGAGAGATGATAAAAAAAGAATAAAAAAAGAATAAAAAAGAGAAAACTAGGGTCGTGACCTAGTATACTAAATCATGTAAATTTAAATTTTTAAAAAAAATTAGAAAACACTAATTTTCATATTTTGAAACTAAAAATTGAACATCACAATGGTGATTCCTTGAATTATGTATAGTTAGAAGATTTGGTATAACTATCACTTAAGTAGAAATGAGATTGATGAAAGTGGAGTGCATCTAAGGAGCTTCATCATTAGGTCTGCATAATAAGAGGAGGTTCTTTATCACAAATAGATCACTATGAAGAAATTGTGAAACTCTCTTGGTGAATTCCTTAGCCCTTGATGTTGGTTTGTTTGTCAACTAATAAAGAATATGATTTCCTCCCAAAGTTCTTATTTTTCTATCTAAAATCTAGGGTCAATTACTAATGACAATCTAGAAAAATTGTCAAGTCAAAATATAAGAAAACATAAATTGTGATGTCGATGGGTTTTGAACCTCCGTCAATCACTTGGCTGCATAAGTAAAGGTAAGAAAATATCCATTATATCTTTGAAATGGAGAATAGACAAAAATATGACCTTTTCTTAACATAGGGCCATTTTTGGCATTATGGTTCATAAGTGTGACCAATGGTTTAGTCCCACATTAGTCATTTTAGGGAGTTTTAGATCCATGTAAGTTTGGCTATGTTGTGTATTCAAATCATTTTCTAAGAAACAAAATGACAAGGACCACCTTGGGAGATGTGTAGATGAGTGGTTTACCCCCATGCAACACATGTGTGATGAGATCATACATTGTCTCACGTACAGATTTCCTCCTAGTGACGTGGAAGAAGAGTGACACTTATGTGTATGTGGGTCTTTAGCCACTAGAGCCCAACTTGTGGTTCCACTTGGTCTTGGTCTGCCCACTCAAGCACAGGACCCTCTAGGTCGATTGTTGAGTGTCAATTGGTCAATTGGGTTCCCCCTTATCAATATTTTTATTGATTTATTTTATTTTACTTCATTTTTATTTGAGAATATAAATATAAAATCACATAATTAAATTCATATTAGTAAATATAAGGCTACTTATCATTAGTTAATGTGTAAATTAATTAATTAATTAATTATTAACTCATGATATGAAAACTTATTAGTGGGGCCACTTTAGCCACGACCTTCACTAGTGTATGTATATCATCCTTTGACACTCCTTTGATGCAAAGCTTAATAAAATTTAGATAGTTTAAAGTCTTTATAAATCTGTTGAGAATTTAATCTTTCATTAATCAAAACTTCACCTTTATTAAAACTACAACAACTTGATGACATATAAAATAATGGTGACTTTCAATATATTTAGTTCTTCCATGAAACACTAGTTTATTGATTATTAGTATGGTTATCTTATTGAAATAATAAATTTCTATTGTATTAGATTGTGCTAAATTAAGATATTCCATAATCTACCTCATCATTTGATGTGCTATGTAGCTGATGATGCTGTAACATATATAGCTTTAGATGATGATAATGTTGTGATTTCTTATATCTTTGAGCTCCAAGCTACGACTCCCAATCTGAAGTTGAAGAAAATTCACTTGTTCTCTTCCTATCATCTATAGATCTTTCTCAATTGTTGTCAAGAAACCAATTAATTAAAAATGAGGTTTTGGCTAGTATGAATTTCTACAATTATTGGTGACATAAATATAGTGGAGAATTCTATTTGCTGCTATAAGGTGATGTTTTTTAAGGTAATGTATAAATCTTGAAATCAAATTGACTAAAAACATAATTTCAGTCTCCTATAGTTAAATATATCAATCCATTAATCAAACTTTTATAAAATTGTCCATCTATCTTTATAGCGTCATCATTAGTGCCTAAGTTTTCATTTGTATTCATTAGAATACAATATATTTTGTAGTTTAACATGTTAAACTTCTTGAGCAGATCAAAGGTATTTATTTTGAGAAATAAATATAACATAATTAATCTTAAGCCTGCAAAATAAAAATGACATAATTTATTTTGATTAATCTAAACCCTGAAAAAATTAATAAGTAAATTTAAATGTCATTTCAAATTTTTTCTTCATAGATGTCTTGAAATCATATATAAATTCAAAACATGATCCATTATAAATAATATCATCCACACATACTATCAAAATATTCCCTTCTTTCATGTTCACATAAAGTGATGGTTCACTTTTTTCTCATGAAACTTTTTTTCCTAGAGATGGAAGCAAGTCAATCATACCATGCCTCTATTGCTTGATTAAGCCTACGCAATGCTTTCGTCAACTTGTAAATTTTCTCTTTAGACATCAATCATAAATCCTAGAAGTAGCCTCATATACACATCTACATC